AGGGCCATGCCGCGCTAGTCCTATGAATCGGTATCCCATTCCTTGGGGGGGGAACTTTTGGGGGTTGATATGAGACAGAATGCAAAGAATAACGCACGCTACGCACGCTACAATAACTCCGTCAGCGTTTGTCGCGCTATTATTTGTACGATGACTACGTAGATACCTAACCTATCGACCAACCTGTACATATATTTACCCGAGCTAACGAATGTCATACAGCGAGTGGTAGCATTATATCACTATATGTATGCTTCGAATATGTATGTAATGTCCAAAGTACTACATACCTATTTTCATCCGCCATGACACCTCGCTACTACTACCAGTAGACGGTCTCATAAACGCCGCCGACGCCACCACCACAAACACTACCTACCACGACCATGTGGTGGATATGAAGGATCCCTCGGCAACCGCTCTCCGCGACCTGGTTTTTCGGCCCATCCAAGACCTTCTGCGTCCTGGCTACTGACCTGTTTCGCTGAATTTCCCGTCTTACAAGCCTCGCATTGTTGCAACGTAGTTTAGTAATAAGACGACTTCTTAGGGGTCAGAGCCTAGCAAAGTTGCGTCTATGTGTTGCGATAGCGGAGACTATCGCGTAAAAAAAGACAGTGGCAACATGTAAGGTAAGGTAAGGGACTCCAACATCGGGCATTTTGCCTTTCTTCTGTCTAGTTCTCTAGCTAGCTGTTTCAAGCTCACTTCGAGGGCTCCAAACGGGCATAAACGGCCGCCATATGATGGCTTGGGATTATGTGATACTGAGGGGATCAATACTATCATATGTCCGGGCTCTCGGGTTGGCCGCGTGATGGCATTGGACAAAAAGCTGGAGAAGTCCGAAACGGGCAATGAGAGGAGTTAGGGCTTACACCTATTATGTCAAGCAGAAGAACAAAAAGGAAAAAAAAACCCTCACCAGACCATCTGGTTCCTCCCTACAGTTTGGTGAGTTTTCTCCAGACTACCACGGTCAGATAATCATGCAGAATGAGATCCCATTCCCCGAACCCGAACATACGGACAAAAAATTTCGGTGACCTCTAACCCCCACAACGGAAAAGAGAATCGTAGTTTTTGGACGTTTCCTACCTATTTCGCCCACACATATCTTAATAAATACAGGGGTTTTCCACGGTAGTTTATCTAATTATAAAATGACGAATAAGTTACTCTTATAGCCAGGGCCCATCGAATGGCCAAATTTCCCCTCCTACTACTACCTTTCTCACCTACTCAAAGCGCTTACATGCGACCACGAGAACACGGTGTCTGATAATCATGAATAGGTAAATTGTGCTATATAAAACAACGCTACACGATAGGGGCGAGGCAATGCAACGCAAGGAATGCCGGCACCCGGCAGACGGCCTGATCAGATATGCATAGAATGGCGTGGGGTTTGTATTTTGACCCCTCGGTTGCGTGGCAAGGACTTTGCAATGCGGTACACCGATGCAATCAATATGCAGTCAGCACTGAAAAGGGGTTGTTGGGCTACAATCCACGAGGTGACTGCGGTTAGCTAATAATTCCTTCAACCAGTTCATGAGAGTGAAACACTGAAGCCACCGGGGGTAATTGGAAGTTATCTCGTTCGTTAAAGAGTTGAAGGTACATCCGGGGCCAGTCCGTCCGAATCTACGAAGCATAATTCTTCTTTACATTTCTCATCTGGAAGCGACCGAGAGAGTTCTACTTTTCGAAATAGGATTGCCGCGGACCGCGCGTTCGTTCAGTATATGTCATGATTTTGGCTGAAATGCGAATGTGACGGCACGGCCCGGCCGGTTCTGCAATCGAGAAAAAAGCCGAAAATTTAAAAAGGTAAAGGCGTTTAAACCTCATCATAACATCATCAAGCACGGCATACCAGGCATAATAGAATGAGTCAACTACCAGCCACACAGCTATTCGGCTAGAGCGGCAGGGTCCTCTGCCATCTCCTGTTCCGTACGACTGGCGCCGATGAGGATTGGTAGAGCACATGCTGGGATTGGCGACCCCTGATACCGGAATGGGAATCCGGCGGCCAGAGACCGGGTTTACATAAGTGAAGAGCGGGTGCTCCCGTTGCGTGTGTCGCGAACACATAAAGCTTCGTCAGGCTGCGAGCTGCGAGCTGCAGGGCCGACGATGACATCTATTGGATATTTCTGGCTTATTGTTTCCTACACCAGCAAATCATAGAAGCGATGACGGCTATCTCGTCAAGAGATAATAACAAGGACAAGAAAAGCCGCGTCTGTATGTATTGCTGACAGAAATCTCTGAGATCCAGGGTTCCATGTGGCTTTCTTTTTCCTTTTTCTGGCTTCCGCCCAAGTGGAGTTGTTCACCTTTCAGCTGCAAAGAATACTCATAGAATGAGGAAACCCCCACGCCCAGTTTCCTTATGTTCCACCTTAGTCAGACTGGATCTGCAGTGACAGGTCTAGCTATTGAACTGCACGGGCGCCACAGACCGGGACACGAATGATGTTAGTGATGTTGATTTGTTAATTGAATCCGCAACTGAGGATTCCGCGCCTTTTGCCCTGTGCATGGACTACTATATCGTCGTTACCTTTCTCTCGGAGTCAGCTCCATGAGAAACAATTTGGCAATGAGGACTCTGTGCTTCGTAGCCTTGTCTGAGGCTGGTGATACGTAAGTTGTATTACTCTACAGTCTCAGTACCGAAGTAGTGTTGCCCAACAAACGCAAAGGTGGCGGCCAGGACTCTCCCAATAACCTCACAACGAAGCCTAACATCTCCGAAGGATAAGAAGAAGCAAGCGATATAGAAGTCGATGCCGCTCTAGCTTCAGGAACAGAATATTACTGGTGGCGCTTACAATACCATGGGAATTACTACGCAATTCGAACCGAATTGAGGCATTACCAAATATAACACATATAATGCGGTGCTGTTAAATTTAGGCCGCTCTATTCTCATGCGAGATCCAGATTGGACTGTTCCCTGCGTGTAGCAAGCGGTAAAGATCGAACCAATTACTTCCTTTCAAATGATCATATCCGGGGATCGTCCGAGTCTTTTGAATCCCTGGTACGATCCTTACGTGACCGCGGGTTCGCAAGGCCGGCTCCGCGCTGATATAAAATATCCCATTTAGGAAACGTGCACATTTTCGGTCATATGAGACGGCACGATCTTGGTCTTTCTGATACATCATTAATGCCCTATCTTACTCAATATGATAACCGCCCACTTCCATATATTCGATTCTGTATGGTCCATCCCATAACAGAGCCCAACGACAGGGACGGCTTGCGTAATATTGTAAATTCGCTATAAAATACCTCTTCGTACTATTGCCCGAAGATAAGGGCTAAACATCCAAGTGGCTTCCAAGTCGCCACTCACTTAGACAACAGGCGTGTAAATCGGCAACAATAATCAGCGCTTAATCCTTCCATGTTTGAAAAATTTCAAGACATGGCCCCTATGACGTCGAATAAGGGTACGGGCAGCCTAGCTTCAACAACACCCGCTAATCAAGGCTGTCATACTTGAAGATACCTACCTATGCATCAAATCCCGATGCACGTAAGCGCTTAGGACCACACGGGTAGACGGGTCAAGGAGAGAAATGCTACCGCGGCTTGCACATATTAGTGACCCCCATTTTAGATAATCGGCCAGGACGAGAAGACGAGACACAGGGTAACCAAATTATATCTAAGCTTATCATTGGCTCGCTGACAGTGTAGATCTAAGGTGTTGAAAGAAGCAAGTCAGAAATAGGACTTATTTGGGCTTATTCAGACTTGGTTAGACAGCTCGTGACCTTTCTCACCATAGTTGACTGCGATGAAGGCTATTTTGGTCTAATTCAAAGTAAATACCCTTTAGATGAAATGGAAGATAGAGAGCAATATTATAAACTGCCTTAGCTGCAGATATCTAAAAGTCAATGTATTATCTAGTTCTAGAGAAGGCCACATTAAGATACGGTAACGATGGTCCCGAAAGGATTGTCTCCTCTGAATGAGATTAACTTAGAGTTGATATATTACTTAATAAGACTTTAAAAAATTCAGTATTTCGTTTTGAGTAGTTTTTACTTGTTCCAATGCCAAAGGTTTCGACGTGGTTGTGAACAGCGCTTGGATTAACGTTACACTAACAAAGTACTCAAGTTATACCTCTTTTCAAGATTTGAGCCAACACTTGCTCTTACGGTTAGAATGAAATAACTACACGTAATATAATAAGTTAAGTTTTATTATGCCTCATTTTATTCATGATTTAATATCAAACTATCGATGCTTTTATAGTTAGTGTATTTTGTTTTTATTAGGATGCCTGCCGGGTTTGCGTGTTAGATATATTAAATTATTCTTATCTCCTTTTCTGCATAGGTTAGGGAAGTATGAAAAGAAATAGTAAGAGAACAATAAAAACATTCTATATTAATAAGTTAGATATAAATATATGACGCATAATGAATAGCAATAGTAAAGAAATATAACACTAGACCACGGAAGGCTGCCAAACTACCATAAGTATCCTCACGCCAAACAGACAGTTGGCCATATCCAAGTTCCTCAAGCTATATTATTTATCTCTCATAACATAAGTGACTTATAACTGTCATCATTGAATCTATCCACCGTTTATCAGAAATTCCAAAACTTATATTCACACATGCATGTGAAGCAATTTTATTGTAAGTACGGAAAATCAAATCATGATACTGTTAAGTACAACTCTTAATTGATTTCACACATAGAATGAATATTAAGATAGATGAATTGAGCCATTAACGTATGGCCGCCTACCCTCTTTCGAGGGTGCTGTGCGCCTCTTATTAGTATGTAGATTTACCCCTGAATCTACCCCTGGCCCACTTATTTCCCGACTGGCATTGAAGTTAACAATTGAGTATCTTATGGTTCAAGTAGGTTATTTATAGATAGGTATTTATACATTTTATCAGCTAAAAAGGTTCAAATAATGTAAAATTAATGTTAATATAGCCAAAGGCCCTTCAAAGGCATTGTGAATAATAATCATTCTGGAACCTGCATGTTGTCCCAGCAGCACAGACAGTGCATCCATTCCAGGTCTTGCCGGCACATTGCCCATATTTAGCCGCAGCACAGGCGTTACCACCGCCAGGAGCCGGTGGTTGTCCGGGTTGTCCACCTGTGAGTTAAGAGAATGTGTCAGCAATGCCCTGATAAGGTAGGACTTGGTGTAGAGGCAAGAGAAATATTTACCTTGAGGCCCAGATATCAACACAGGGGTACCAGTTTTCGAGGTGAGATCAATACTGCAAGTATTTGCACACGATCCTCCAGCTCCGGGGTTCGTGAACGGGTTTCCAGGCACCGGGTCTGTGCTATTATAAACGATGTCGATCCACTGAATCTGCATCTCCGCAGACTGGCCCTTGGTCATGTTGCCACTCCAACTGCCACCATCGCTCCAGCTGTTGAACATGATACGGCTTGCGTCGCGGGGTGCCTGGAACTGGATAGAAGACATAAGTTGCCCATCGACGAACCAACTTGTGGATCCCGGGGTCCAGTCCATTCGATGATACTGCCACTCGGACCAATCTACGCGGTTTGGTAGGGAGACGTTTCGAGTTGCCTGGGGGATATCACCGGCCTCGTTCCAGGATGGCTGGTTCGTATACTGTATCGAGTACTTCGGGTCGACAGTTCTAACCTCAAGATCGGCTTCTTGTACTTGAGAAATCTGTGGCGCTTCGCGGAAAGTGAACATAGCCGTAACGGCCCCTGGCGCACCCCTAGTCCTGGCATACATACGGATAGACAGGTACCGATAACCGAGGGAGATAGACTCGATCTCTGAAGCCGATTGGAAATTATCATGACGCATCGTTCGCATTACGAGATATGTCTTGGAGGACGCTCGTGGGTCTGAATTCCTGTCGAAGTAGATATTATTCGCTGAGTTCACCATCAGTACCGACGCATCACTTCCAGTAACGTCCGAGCTGCCGTTCATGAGAGCACTGTTATTCCATGTCTGGATAGACCACATGCTCGTCCAAGTAGGATCGTTAAAGTAATTATTCGTCACAGGCGCATCAGCGCTACCTTTTGGATCATTGATCGGCCCTGGCACGCGGACATTCTGGGTCTGATCCCTAAAATCGAAGAAGCGATGATGCGTAAAGTAATGGGCAGTCGTTGTATTGGTTCTATAGCAGTTGCATCTCGAATCGGTCACTAAGGGATAGTTTTGCGCGTGGACGACGGTCAACGACGAGAATATGGCTATCAACGTAGTAACGAGTCCCCAATTATTAGCCATATTTGAGGCTTAGAGCCAGCAGACCTTGTGGCTTCAATACTTATGTTTATCGTTCTTACAATATTCGAGAAGGAAAGACACGTCACAACGACCTCCTACGAGCGAGGCTACAGGTGGGTAAAATACCAGTTCATACTAGAGGGACATACGCGCATAAACCAAAATAGAACACAGAAACGGGGAAAAGAATCCATGCCAAAGATCTTTATGCCGAGTCCAGCTATAGGTTGCCTGTCAGCGGAAACATTCGATATGAGGCCGATGGTTAGCATCACGGCTCAGGGAAATCTAGAACTAGTCGGTAAAAACATGTTCTCCCACATTGCACCGCGCGGATATAGGGCAGTTCAAATATATAATAGGCTTAGCGATGAAACAAGCTTTTTCTGCAAGGAATATCTTGCGGGGAATAGCCAGATCCGGATCGTCGTCAGGGGAAGGGGGAGAAGTAGAATGGTCCGGGTAAATCGTACTAGGTCAAAAACCTTGAATGCCAACGTTTTCATATTAGAAACACGGACGGCATTTCTCCCTGTTCTTATAAGGGGACACATTTGTATGATTCGCAATGCGAGGGTGGTATTACGGAACATTATTCTTAAAAATTTTTGAGCAGTGAAGCTAATATAGACATGACGAGTCCTACTACTCGGCAGACATGTGTCGAGACGTGAGGACGATGGCATCTTGAATGCTACCACACCGCGACGATACAACCACCTAACGAGATCTGAGATGGGGTATACCAATAATACCACGAATAACACCACACCGTCATCTCTGAAGTGAAGCGCGGTGGTGCGATACCACTGCTACGTGACGTGCCGGTGATTGTAGCATCCGACTATAGATCCGTCGAAGCTATGCTCTCCGTCTCGACCTACCGAAGTTAATATCGACATCTTATATATTACGTAAAATATACTAGGGAATATATACCATAACTGTGACTTTTCGGTCAGGTAATTAAGATAAATGACGTTTGATGCTGGATGATTCTTCTCGTGGATAAAACATAAAAAAAAGAACTTATACTTGTTATTGCTCCTAATAACATATATCTTGATCATAGCTAGAATAGGGACGAAGAATTGTGAATTAAAGAAAATCGTACTTCGAAGCGTAGACGTCATGTTTAGGTAGGTATTCATTTTATTACCTGTCTATATCATTTCTAATTTTTGCCTCGATATTCGTAGGAAATGCTTGGCGACGCCATTATTCGGTATTAGAAACTTGGGCAACCTGAGTAGCATTTATTAGGTAAATAATCGTTATAAATCTACTGATTATTCGCATATTTCTACTCTACCTCAAGCCTTATCTACATATGCGCGATGGATATAAGTAGGAGATACTTTAATGAAATGAGTATATGTAGTGTATCTTGGAGAGATAGATTATACATCGAAGGTCTTGAAAGGTTCTTAGCGTCGAAATCTGCCGATACTTTATACACAAACAGGTACCTCACTTACCTACCTACCTACCTAGGTATTCAAACACAGTGCATATATCACAATGATCATTATATGCACTGTAAGACTCATAGCATCGAGTGTGTACCTACGTAGTTCCGTGCGCTATGCCTTCTGTTTTAATTTGAGAAGTGACAGGTGATGGCGCGTTTGATTTTGGACGCGTTAAAACTTAGAATGACGCGACTTTCTTAACATTTAATGTTTGCCTCATCAACCGCATCAACTTGCTACTTAGCAACTCTCTCCATCCTAGCAACTCTCTCCACAGCGGGACACTTTCATTTCTTCCTGTTTACCTAAACCTATCGTAGTATTGTTCTGTCGAATTCTATTGAATTCTTCTAATATTTCTACGTAAGACTACATTTATTTATTTACATCCTTAGGTACATTGTTAATGTATCGCATCAAGAGTGCGATATATCACTTACATCTATTGGCACTATAAAACCGTCGCCTTATGTAACTATGGATGCGAATCCTCCTATCAAGCCCGAGCCTTCGGATTCCGAGGATCGTTTCGTTAAACCGGAACCTTTGGATGATCCAATGACAGCACCTCCAATTTCTAGGGTTGCATCAGAACAACCTTCGCACAATGTCCTGACTATGACTTCCGGTGCGTCTTTTTCATCCGATCCTTTCAGTCCCGCTCTTCAGACTGAAACAGGAATGTCAACTTCTCCGAATGCTCCTATCAAGGCCGACCAGGAGATAGAGCAAGATAGAAACCCAAACTCTCCTGATGTGGAATCGAGTGGCACAAATTATCTCGATCAGCTGATCACTGTGACTGTTCCCGAAACACTAGAATCTGGCGTGACAATTGGTGTCGACCTCCTAGATCAACTGAAAGTTCATCTAAGCACTTTTAAAAATCCCGATGTTGATACGTGGCTCGATACAATCAATACGTTAAAAGAGAGTGCAAAGCCAACGCGCACTGTCGTAGGTGTTGTCGGCAATACCGGCGCTGGTAAGAGCTCCGTCATCAACGCACTTCTAGATGAAGAACGGTAAGATCTCGGTTGCTATTACATTCTCAACCCATCCTCTCATCACCTCCCTTTTCCTATCCCCCTTTCCCACTTAATCACCTAACCCTACAATGCATTTATACGTATACTTAAAAGTCTCTAGATTACTTCCTACAAACTGTATTCGCGCATGCACTGCGTCGCCGACTGAGATTTCGTATAATCACTCGGATGATCCCTCCGAATTATACCGGGCTGAGATTGAATTCATCACTGCTCAAGAGTGGATTAAGGAACTCCAGATACTATTTAATGATTTGTTAGACGGCAATGGTGCGGTTTCGCGTGACTGTTCCAACGCTGATAGCGAGGCCGGTGTTGCTTATGCGAAGCTAAAAGCCGTTTATCCGCATAAGACTAGGGAAATGATCGCCGAAGGGACACCACAAGATTTTGCCAACGAACCAGCTGTTCGAGGGGTGCTCGGTAGTATCAAGACTCTTAAAGAGAATTCCGCGAAGAGTCTATATAGTCGGTTACAGCATTATGTCGACAGTAAGGAGAAGATTACTGGGAATGAGAATAAAAAGCGAAACGTCCCTATGGAATATTGGCCCTTGATCAAAGTTGTCCGAATTTACATCAAGGCAAAGGCGCTGTCTACGGGAGCCGTACTGGTTGACCTAGTAAGTTTTTTCAACCCACCTCGCAAGATAGGGGTCACTGTCTTATTACGGAGAGGAAGTAGTCTTATACTGACTTAATCAGCCGGGTGTACAAGATTCCAATGCTGCTCGAGCAGCGGTGGCGGAAAAATACATGAAGTCATGTACCGGTTTGTGGATTGTGGCACCTATTACCCGAGCCGTTGACGATAAGACAGCCAAGTCACTTCTCGGCGACTCTTTCAAGAGGCAATTGAAATACGACGGCACATATTCAGCTGTTACCTTTATTTGTTCCAAGACCGATGATATATCCATCACGGAAGCTGTAGACAGCCTTGGCCTCGAGGAAGAAATATCTGAGTCCTGGAGTCAAACTGAAGAATTGACAAATTCGATGAAAACCTCCCAATCTATCTTAGAGGAATTGACAGACAAGAAGACTGCACTTGGCGAGCATGTCGATGAGATTGAAGCTAGTTTGGACATATGGGAGGACCTACAAAGTCAGCTTTCGAGCGGAGAGACAGTTTACGCGCCGTTCGAAAAGTCTAGGAAGAGAAAGAGGCTTTCCAAGCCCTTCCAAAGTCGCAAGAGCCGCAGCCCGTTTGGATCTGATATCGATAATGTCGACAATGATGATGGCCAGGATGCATACGAGTATGACTCGAGTGATAAGGAAAACTCGCAGTCGATCAGCGCCGGCCAACCTCTTACCAGCGATGATATTGACGAGAAACTTGCGTCACTCAGGGCACAGAAGAGAGAAATACGTGACAAAAGGCGAGGCCTTGATGCACAAATTGCAGATGCTCGCAAGCAGATACGAGAGGCAAAAGCTGAGCGACAAGGAATTCTTGCCGAGATCAAGGCACGGTGTATCCAAGGACGCAATAATTATTCTCGCGGTGCAATTAAGCAGGACTTCGCCATGGGGATCAAAGAGTAAGTCTACTGTTTGTTAGCACTAGCCTATTGCCGTATCAGTTATAACGATACTGATTGGTCTTCCATTTATCCGCTGACAATAATTAGACTTGATCAAGAACACGCTGCAGAAGAAGATGACACAACGTTCAACCCCGATGAAGATATTCGCGACTATGATGAGGTTGCTCGTACTCTACCCGTGTTTTGTGTAAGCAGTCGTGCTTACCAGAGTCTAACTGGGAAACTCCGGAAAGATGACTTCCAAGATCATGGGTTTATGTCTCTAGAAGATACAGAAATCCCGCAGCTTCAGCTGCATGCGAAGAAACTAACAGAGGAAGGACGAGCAAGTAACTGCCGTAGATTCCTTAATGATCTAACCCAATTGATCAATTCTATGAAACTATGGGCTAGTAACGATGGAACTCAATCTACACTGACGGATGTGGAAAAGCGGCGCGAGGAAATGCATCTGCGCAAACTCTTGAATGATTTGGAGACCGTACGTTTTTGTCTAGTTATTCCTGTCCTATGATTTACCCATACTATGTTGCTGCTAGTGCAGGTTGTTTTATTCATTCTAGCTATTCGCAACATGACGATTTCGGCTGTTACTCGTTAGTTTCTCTACCTAGGTAATCATGACTGACATTTCATAGGGATTCGATACATCTATTAAGGAGGCAGTAAAATTACTTAAAGAGTCACTTCAAGAGCATGTTTATTCCGTCTTCACGTCGTCTATTCCAGGGGCTGTCTCTGCTGCCCCCAATACCGCAAGCGGATGGTCAGCGCCTAAACAATTAGGCGGTATGGTCTGGGCGACGTATAAAGCAACCGTTCGGCGGAGTGGTGTTTATACTGGGGCCTCGGGTCCTCGTGATTTCAACCAAGAGTTATTCGACCCAATTTCTCGCAATCTAGCAACGGGGTGGGAACGCGCATTCCAGCGTCGGCTGCCAGCCGTTCTTGATGAGTTTGCTTCAAAGGCAAAGAAACAACTAAAAGCGTTTCATGAAGCTGCCGAAACCCGCGCTCGGCAACGCCATACTAACGTATCAGGAATAATTACCCTGTCCAGTCAGATATTGGCCCATATACGTACATTAGAACAACTACCAATTACCTTGCGAGCCGTAATTACTGACCTTCAAAGAGAGGCTAGTCGACAATTTACCCCTGCTATCTGCAGTGCCATGCAGTATGCCTATCAAGTTTGCACAGAGGAGCGCGGCCCCGGTTCTTATAATCGTATGAAAGCAGCAATGGCGAACCATGTTGCAACTTCGCGTCATACTATGTTTAATGAGGCCACCGACACAGTGAAAGCACAACTGGAAGCGATGTGTCGTACTGTCCAAAAGAGCCTAAGTGACGAAATGGAAGATATGTTCAGTTCTATCTTTCGCGACTATATGAAGGTTCTTGGTGAGTACTTGACTATTACGGCCTACATAATTTTAGTACTAATATTACTACAGTTGGCACCACAGTCGATCGTCACGCCAAGCTGCCACCCCAAGAACTTGCCATGCGAGCAAATGTTAACGACTTCCTGCAGCATTGCGACTTGATGTTTTCATCCGTTCTAGACGAGACAGCCGTCGATGGACGTATGGAAACAAAAGGCACAACACAGACGTCAGAAGAAGACCCAATGATAGAGGGTGAGAATGAGTATGGTGGGGAAGTGGCGTCCGTCAAAATAGAAGCCCCAACTGAGACCCAAGCCTCCATCGACGTACCTAGCGAGGCCAATAACAACCACGCTATACAAGATGTAAAGTACAACTCAACGCTGGCTGAAGCTGATGAATTAATGCAGCAACAAATTCGAGCGCAAAGCCAAAGCGTCGAGTGCGAGTGAAATTTCTAACCACATGTTTCTCTTCTGAGAAACAAGTAAAATCACTCGCGGGCTCTAAATCGATGGGCCACATAAAGGACCGTATTCCCTTCTATTCAGTTCTGTGAAAGGTGGTCGGCAACTCACCCGGTTCGGTAGTGAGTTTGGTCTGGTTTGGTGTGTTTGTGTGTAAAGGGAGTTAGCTTAAGGATAGGTAGTGTTAGCAAGGTTGCTATCATATGATGGTTGGTAAAAGTTTGTAAGGGTAGGTAAAGTGAGCTAGGTAGCTATATAGGAACTGTCTCAAGCTGCTGTGTAAACGTGGTTCACATAGCTTTGGACCAATAAAGAAAATCACTGATATTTTTGGTAATTTGTCTTATAATCTCCCATCTACGCAGCCATTTTAGGTTGATGGCATGGCTCTTGGATTGTCGTCGCATAACTGTGTTGTCTTATTTTAGATCGATAGCTTTTGGGGCCTAGCCCTTGTAGTGTTAACTCTTAAACTTAATAACAATTTCATCTAGGTATAATGAGACGTGGTGGAAGGTAAATTAATAACATATATAACAGTTAATGGCAGCTATGTGTGCCGTGTAGCTGCGATCTAAATAGTAACACTGCGATAATAAATCCGGCCCAAGTCCCCCCCTTTCCTTGGGGCTTCCGCAGAAGATGACTGATAAAACTAAGGACGCGCAGGTATCCCCGTGAAATATCATAATTGCACACATTTATCTCCCAGTTCTACTTGGGTGGGTATTCACATCTCCCCTTCATCTCTACATCGTAGTATGAGTCTCAAATAACAGTCACGAATCAGCGTTCTTATGGTCTCGTCTTCCATCTACCGGCGTTAACTCAGACGAGAACGGACGATACGGATCCTTGCCTCTCGACGGTGTTTTTTGTAGGCATCATTTCCACCGTCTGTCCACCTCTATATACCGGTGGACCACCGTATATAGGGCCGGGCGTGTACGGAGGACTAGGATCGTTCGAGGTGCTGTTATGGCGACGATGGTCGTCTCTTATAAATGGAGAGGGGCCGTGATTAGGAGGTATGTTATTAGGAAGAGGAGTATCGTTTATGTGAGTTCGAAGCTTCTCTCGACGACGCATTTCACCTAACACGGCTGACATAACCCACATCAGCCAGGCGAATGCTGACACGATGGAATAGGCGATGATTAATCCCTGGGACGCCTCTGCTAGTTTTAGTCCGAGCCCGCCGTTGATGATACCTAGGGTGATGGCAATTCGGCCGAGCCACAGGTGCGCGTGCGAATAAAAGGTTCGACGTCGCAGACGCTTGAACTTGGAATGGTGGGCGAATCCGAGTTGCGGCTGAATGAACATTACCACGAGCAGGACGATACCGATGATGGGGTGTGCGTTTTTCGATGATATTTGTAACTAATTTGGTTATTAGCGGGCCAGTATAGAATCTAAGAAAAAGGGGGTTACCTACCAAACTAGAACCACTAGGAGGAATCCTCACCATCTCTATAAGATGTATCCCGAGCGCGGCAGCGGCAATGTATAGAATGAACCCAATAATCTGAGTTGCGGCGTGTATTATCCAAGTGTGTCGACTAGGTAGTAGTCGTACGAGGATGGCGCCGATGGGAAATATCACGACAAAACATAACGCGGCAATAATACCGTGAGCCGTGCGGTATCGAATCGCCTGATCAACGTCGAAGTCCGCAAATACACTTAGGCCGCCTCCTATTGTGCCTGAACTGCCTGAACTTCCCGGCCCGTTCCCATAGCCGCTGTCTCCATTGTCCCCGACCCAACCCGCCCAAGCACCGCCGCCGTCGTTGTTGTATGGACCCTGGGCTTGTACACTTCCCGCTACGCAAAAAAGGTTAGCCCATATCTAAGGCTTACTTATATATATATATCTATCTAGGAATTATAAAGAAATATTCCATTCACCAAACGTTATATACGAAATGTGGCAGATGGACTGAACTTACCTAATAAAGCGAGGTTATAAGCAAAATGCAACCGATTTCATATTGACACGCGGCCCTTGAGTAAACCAATAAATTCAACTCAATTCAGCCCTCTCTCTCTCTCTATTCATCTACGCCGTGTTAAAGTTATACCACATCAAGCGTGAGAAATGCAGAATATAACTCAATAGAAAGTTACTTTTGTTTGTAAGTTCCAGTCCCCCCTTACCAACGGCCACCCTCTTTTACATATATATATCCTCCCCCTTCCCCCGCGATCTAGCACGCGCGGCTCCCCAGAAGAAAGAAGGTCCAAGCCCCCCTAGAGCCGTTACACCACTGATAGTTTTCCAGCCTTAGTACCTCTTGTCTCGGAACTTGGCCTGGGGACGTGCCGCCGCGCCCCGACCACAAAGAAGGTTCGGGACCGAGCGTCCCACGCCCGCCCGTACCAGCTAGCCAACCAGCGCTCCCGACGCCGTTACATCCTAAATCTAATAAACGATATTTCCTTCGTCGACGGCTTACCAACAGGTCAGGATTACGTCAGTGCTATCGCTCGTGTTCCCCCGTCAGGCTTCCCGACAGGACTTGGGATTGCGTAACGCGCCCCGGTACGCATCACCACGTGGGTCTAAGTTATGGCAACGATGGGCAGAATTTTAATGACGTTTTAATTTTTATCTGAGACTTAGGTTTAGATGCAACACCGTCACTAAATTCTTTAACTATACTAATAAACGAGTAGTTAGCACATTATCACTCAGTAGACCAAAATACTCCGTTACTTAACACTACTAACTTAGAAGATGTCATTGCAGGTAATTTAGAAATTGTACTACGATTAACAAGCAGATAATAGTTAAAGCCGAAGTTATCAAGCCAATCACGGGCCCTGAAGCATATACTTTGAAATTTGATGTAGTTATTGACTAAAGAAAACCTGAGCGCCTATTAAGCCAATTTAATGCTTGTAAAGGCTAAACGAACGTCACCAAGGCAAGTCCAGGCAGAACGCCATTCCACTACTACCGAAATCGAATGCACCTGACGATGAATTGCTGCAATAACATAGGCTAGGATAATAGAGGAGCAGTTTAGTTAAATTTCCATAGCTTTCATTATTCCATGAGCTCCTATTTGTATTCGGGGAATGTACCAAACAACTAAAGCCATAACTATCGTCATCCGAGGCAGATAGTCGGGAATCAGGGCGGGACTATATAGTCCTTCGTATTCCGTCAAGCCTGCGAAGAAGGACCATAGTTGCATAAGAGTATAGAACTAATTATCTCGATACTGCCGTTTCATAATAGAGAGCTGATTTTTTACAACCTCGAGGCAGGGGCTGGGAGGACTCGGTGCAAGCAGTGATATTCTTCGACGAACACATGCCAAGGCGAATGAAATTGATTGCGCTATCTGCGAACAAGGCGTATGTGTTTTCAAAATGTCAAGGCATTAGGACGCAAAGTAGCCGCAGAAAAAAGCAGTTGCAATCGCCAATGTTTGAGACATGTCGAAACTATATGCCACGAAATTGTCATGAAGGAAGACTCGTGTCGCTCAGGTTGGATAAGATGAAAACCAAAGAAATCGTGAAATGAAATCAACGTCGTAGCAAATAATGCAAATGGTACACGGTTCTCCTGTAGAAACATCCACTTTTTGACAAACGCCATAAAGTCAATGAAAGGCAAGGGAAACAACTGCCTAAGACCCCCGAACCCCGTGCGCACCGCCCATTTGTCGTATCGAACTCACCAACGCCTGCATATCATAACGAGGAGAAGGATGATCGAACAACCGCGTGTAGATGGTGTCGTACATGGCAGGGAAACAAAGATGGATAAGACCGAGGAGCCGAAACCAGAGAGCGATACGAGAGACTGAGAAGCATGCCGAAACGCCAGAAACGCAGGACGCCGGTTATGCTAGATCATACCAAGTGCGACAATTCATACCGGGTGCTGAATTGTTGCGAGCGGGTTTACTAAGACAAGGTTAGCTTCTCCAGCAACAGATGCAGGGGTAGTTGCAAGACGTACCTGAGGACCTAAGCCGCCAGGGGGAGGGCCCTGATGACCACTGCCACCAAAGCTAGGACCGGCAAACGGACCGGGACCAGGTGGACCAGGAGGGCCAGGGGGGAAGTAATGAGGCGGGGGAGGGGCAGGACGATACGGGGTACCTACACCAGAATTGTTCTGAGAACGACCCCAAGACAGACGAACCCGCGAGTTACCAATTGGGTAGCCCTGCATCTGATTGATTGCCATCTCCGCGGCGGCGTGACGGTGAACAAACTGAACAAAACCGCAGCCCTTACCGGGTGGGATCTTAACGTAGGTAATCTCGCCAAAACCCTGGAAAAAAGATCTTAGCTCGTCTTCTGTCACATAGCCAGAAAGACCTCCAACGAAGACAGTTGTATTATTCGGGTCTGTAAATTGGTTCATCGTTAACGGGTTAAACGTTCCGGGTTGCTGATAGCCATAGTTAGGCGGTTGCTGCTGCTGTACCCACTGGCCACCCATATTGCCAGCATGCTGCGGGACTTGGGGGGGTTGGACCATCTGGTGGCCGTAGGGGTTGTACTGCCCTCCCTGATGATTGCTAATCATCATGTTAGAAAATATTTACCAGATATTAGAATATATTACTTGCCGGTTCTTAGGAGTCGCGGGCGAAACTCTCATAGGTCTATTACCACAATAAACGCCCTGCATCTCCACCAGCGCACGCTGCTGATCTTTTTCATCGGAAAATCTGACGAACCCATAGCCTCGCGACTGTCCAGTCTGCTGATCGGTCATGATCTTAGCGGACTTGCAGCTAGGGAATCGTGCCTGGAACAGAGCGACCAGGACAAACATTGACTTCATGACCCAGATCTCCAACAAATATCGAGAACTCGGGAGTTCGGTCGTCACGACGATCAATAAGACCTCCGCCCGAAGCCCAATTCAAACGGAAAACACGGTCGGTGTTGGGGATGGGCGTACCGTTCAGCTGCAGAGCCTTCTGGGCAGCCTCTGGGGTGGCGAATTCGACGAAGCAATAGCCGGCACTCCTATTTTTATGTGAGAAATTGTTGGTTTGAGGTTGTGGGGGAGAAGTTAAGTAAGCAGGATCGGGGATGATAGGCTTCTGCCGCTTGGAAGGGCCGGTAGTATTACGGAGCCCACTGGAGCTCCCGCGAGGAACATGGCAATAGACAGGTTCTTCATACCCAGAGTGACGATCTCGGATGATCTTAACCTGGACGTTTTCGTTGAGTGTCGACTGGAATAACGTGCGAATGAAACCCTCATCCATCCACCCCGCTAGTTCACCCATCCTGTATAATTCAATCAGTGTTACTTGTTATTATTGAGTGGGGATAGGGTCTGTTTTATACCAAAGGGTCTGACGAGCAGAATCGGCAGGGAAGGGCTGCGTCATGTCACCGCCAGCTTGACCGTTAGTCTGGGCCAAGGATAGGCCTTGTTGGGATACACCAGGGGCACCGCCAGCACCTTGGGAGCCAGCATCGCCTTGGGAGCCAGAGCCGTTAGACGGAGGCTTGCCGTTATAGGGGTTAAATCCGTCCATAGTAACCTGCGAGTGGGTGTCAGATACAGTCTATACTTGACACTTTGCGAGGATACGATGTATACGGATAAGATTGATATTGGGGGTGTATCCCGATAATCGGATGACAACGGTAGGGATAAGCAAGTCGGGGAACGATGAACATACTAAATCAAGACTGTGGCGGAACTCTGTAAAGTCTTATCAATAAAATTCCGAGTTGATCGCTGGGATACTGCAAGTAGAGACGGCTATATTGTGAAATATCGGTTAATAAATTGAAGTCGGAGCCTAAGGGCATGTGAGAGGAGTTTTCTCAGGTAAGGAGCTTAAATATGTGTAATATAGGAATTGATCATTATCAAAGAGCTGGCCCTTGACCGATTTGATGATCTCAAGAGTTGAGGAAGGCACTAGTGACGTTTGGCAACAACGATAGAAGTGCACATCCAGATGATGAAGAAGCAGTAGGAAAATACCTAGGAGTTGAAGGCTGGGAGATAGAAAAGAAAGGGTGCAGGGCCGAATAGGAAATGAGGAAGTCCAATAGTTGCACAGTGCATTATGCAAGATGGACGACAAGGTAGACGATAAAATTCGCTAATATGACTCACCTATCGTATTTATTGTAGTCGATAAAAGCTGTGTATGGCCAAATGTAGATTTTCTAGCAAACAGGATGTCAGTACGCAGATTTAAAGACAGTGCTATTTCAAAACAGTGCATGTGCAATATAGAAAAAAAATTTCCTGTGGGTCGCTTAAGAGCTCGAGCAATGGTTTAAGGGCATAAAAGACAGTATTAATATTGTGCCATGGGCAATGTCTGGGTGTGGCATGTTGTACGAAACATACTACATAGTGTATATTGGTCAGAGGCTAAACATGCGAGATATTTTAGACACATGTCCTTGTAGGAACTAGACTCCTCCTCGGTGAACTAGATGACAGAGTTGTTACGATAGAGAGAAATTGGCAAAATAAAAAATCAGAACAAAAGTCTAGGCTGGAAATAGAATAATTCGTCGGCGAGCAATATTGCGCTTTGGGACGAAACTATAATCCTTGCTACAATATGCCGCCAGACAGCAAATCTGTCAGGGGATTAAGAAATAGGGATTTAGAGAGAGATATGGACCTTTTGTTGATAGGACAATAGCTATCACTGACGAGGCAAGGGAATAATCATATAAATATCTGAATACCAAGAGTAGACTATATGTTCGTGGTAGTAGCTCTTTGAGCTAGCCAAAGATTTGCGCTGATACTGAAACTCGCAGGGAGACCAGTACAGCGAACATATGCCAGTCGTGAAAGGAGGCTAAAATATGAATAAAGCAACTATGCTAATGTAGAGGGTGCTAGGATTTAAATAATCGCCATCTACTTAGATAATATCAAACTGATGATAGTATCGAGGTGGCTTAACTTAATATATAGGCCCACTTGGTCTTATTTCATATTCATATGGGACATTCGGTGCTCTTCAAAGTTTGAACTAGGTGTCTTTATCATCCGCTGACAATAGGGGCAGGACAGAGGGAATGCGGGGAGGGGTAAGTGATCATGATGCTGAAATGCAGAGGCAGAGAAGCAACATCTTAGAGAAAAGTAGCTTAACCACAAGATATAACTCACCAGGAGAAAACACCCGATTAATATCTAGATCCCGTAAGTCAGAGACTAGGAACCAAACGCCGACGCCTCAGGCTTCTTGTTCTGATGAAAGTGGGAATGCAAGTGTTGGAATCTGAAGCTATGCTCCTAAATTCCGTTTCGACGACCGTAAATATTAGAAGACGCCTGATCAATTGAAAGGATGGAATCAAGCTTTCAGGTCGTGTGACAATTTCTATTGACGATGGGGCCAAGGATTCTGGAAAACCTGTAGCCGGATTAGTATCATGGGGGCAAAAGATAAATATTTCATAGCCAGCATAACGGTGTCTTCAACATTTGAACTCCAGGTAGCAAAAGCATTGTTAGTATGGCGGATCCGATTTCCCTGGTGGGTAGCGTGATAGAATCCTAGGGTATATATATAGGCCAATCTATCGAGATCAGATATTATTATGCTTCTTCAACTGTTGGTATCTGTATTAGAATGCGTGCTAATGCTCGTGAACTGTTTCAATACACTCGCCATACAGAATGCGGGTGCTATGATGATAAATTCGCGGCGCATGATCTGCGTGAGAATTGACCGAGCAGAAATTCAATCATGAACCGTTAGTTTCAGGGACAAATAGTGCTGTTGATAGGGTATTGGCTTGTTAATTGTATAATCTCTGTAAATATATCTGGTTAGTAGTACTCTATAAGGTAATAATGGCAATCCGGACAACAAACAGTAAATACTCATAAAAATTCTTCCAAGTAAACTGATAACTATGGGGGCTTTAAATGGTTACGAGATGGTGCTAGGAATATGGGTACGATGCCGAGGCGACAATTGTGCGGGGTTAGAAAATGAAAATTTACTTACTTTAGGTAGATTCAACGTTTCAACATTTAGGCAGGTATAGTTCAGTAGTGCCGTCTCGCTGGGGATTTGCACTTTCTAGCGCCAAGGCGAGTCTCGATTCTGAAGTCCAAATTTCGTCGTGACGATTCGGCAGTTTCCAGTCCAGCTCATATAGCTGCCATTCTTGTTGCAATGGAAGTCTTCCATCCATTTTAAATATTGATGAAGTTTCATGTCGTAAGTCAATCCTAGAATTATTGAGTCCTTCCCCAAGACAAGTGGATGCGCCTGGATAGCTTCCATCTGGTAACCGTGAAGATTTGATTCCATAAACTCCAAAGCATATATACCCTTAGGATCGAGATATGCTCCAGGAACTAGAAGTTGAACCGTAAAAGAAAACACGGCGTCGAAGAATTCGTATATTATGGACGAGGGGTCTTGACGTATCATGATTACCAAACTGAACATGTCTTTGGCAAAAAATATAGCCGTTTAGATGGGATGGACGTACTCGCAATGTCAAGCGAGTTTCAGCTAGTCGTATTCTCGAGCACGCCCACACGATCTATCCCCTTTACCCATATGCGGGAATCTTGCAATATGTGCTGATATGAGAAGGTCCGTGAGGCGATTGGTAAGAATAAATGATTTATCTAAGCTATCGATGGTTCGCGCTCCATGTGCGGCAGAACTCTTTGGCGAGAGCATTGTATCAAGACGTCGTGCATCACCAAGAGGCTCAGTCGAAGCTAGAAGGCTAGCCTAGCAAGAGGTGGGGCTGATCGTCCAGGATTTTCTAAAGCTCAAGTCGATCGAGCATTTGCGCGCAACTATATATTCTGCGATGCGGGGCATTGTGCGCTTCATGATATCCAGCAAATTCCAGGAGTGCGCACCATCTATAATAGCCACAACAATGCAACAGTGGTATCTTGTATCTGGCTAGAAAGAGCTAGGATTCGATGACGCAGCTTCGGTTCGGGGATGTAGGATCCGAGGGTCGGTCAATCCAGTTACTACAACAAAAATGTGCAGCCTAGCCAATTCTCGCGGCTAGAGAGCCTCCAGAGAAAGATGTCCCGTGGTTGCAAGGTCTTATGGATCCATGAATTGCAGTTATCCAAGGGGTCCGAGGGAGTTCAAATGCTGAAGAGCACCAAGGCGCAATAATATTAGAATAAGAGTTTGTGCACTTACTTTTAGACACCGAACAACACTTTTAGTTCCGAGTAAAGCAGCAGAAATGTAGCGCCTTTGCGAACTCCAGCAAGATCCGAGGGTACCGGGAGATGTCTCTTCTCGTTAAAAATAGCAGGATAGTTCCTTTTTAGACTCCTAGATATCGAATTACGACGCCGCAACAAGAATTGGGGGAACCGTGATAATTGGGAAATAAAACCCGCACTGGACCGTTGCGACGATGCGATAGACGAAGGATGGGATACCGAGCAGGCCGCGCGCACACACAGAAAACGCTTTTTTTTGCCAAAACGCACACGCAACCAACAAATTCACGTAGCAGGCAAGAAGGATTGGGCTCGCGACGTTAATTAGGGTTGGAGAGAAGAGAGGAATAGAAGGAAATGAGTGTAAGGGTGGAGAGTGAGAGAGCGAGAGAGAAGGAGAATTAAAACAGCAAGCAAGAAACACAAAATCAGAACAACGATAGTGCTGGTTTGGTTTGCGCGTAGTGTGGATGTGTGTGAGTGGGAAAAAAGGTGGAATTGGACTGGGCTGGGGCCCTTCGGGTGGAGGAGAGACGAGTCTCCACGGAGCCATGGCCGCCAAATCTTCTTCCATCAGTTGCCAAAGTGGAGCTTGCCAGACCAAGGCGCACCTGCGACTTCAAACTTAAAAAAATAAAGCCCTCTATGAATGCCGCTAATGGCTTAAACCACCTAAGTACTCATTGTACTTAGTAGCTGCGACTAAGCAAGCTTCCAGTATATCTTAGGGCAGAGGAAGTACTGTACAATATAGTACCTAACAGCTTCGATATTTTAAACCCCGCTACAAACTCTGACGCCTACATCCTTGCTTGAATATATTGGCATATACTAGACATCGACTAATAATTCATATATTCTTCAAACAAAAATGCTTGTGATGTAAGCCACGAGAGATAGTTGATACCGATATAATTGCCCCATAGGAAGTATCAGCATACTATTAGAAACCGAGTGAAGCACCATTCGTACCTCGAAACTATATACAGATAGAACACTCGGCATATTAATAGTGTGCTGTCTTGCTTTGCGGGTAGTTCTATGCAGGCGAGCGTACTTAAGGTATGTAACCAACCTAGGTAAATCTCAAGAAGCTGCCCGCTCTAGGCATTAGCTTGTTGAAATAAGTTGGTGGAAGCTTCTAAGCAGTAAATTCCTCACGTACCTGACGTAGGTATGTACTTACTGTACGAGGGTACAATATATGCAGGTGAGGTCAGTGCCCCCACCTCATGGCGCTAGATGCATGCATACGTAATAGTACTGCGAAATACCTCTAAAGTGGGTACATGCCTATATACAAGTAGCTACTTGATAATAGAACGGAATCTCGCAGAAATACATACCTACCTTATTGTATCTGTGTAGGATGTATTTAGAACAAATTTTCCAAGTGCTTATATTATTCCTTTGCACGAGATGATATGAGAGAGACGATTTCATTGAAGGCGTGAATAAGGCTAGTGTGTATTTTCATACTACCCATCTTATAAATACCTACTATTATGTGACCTTAGAAATGAATAGAGATTGACTCTATCGGTTCCTATGATATATCTGTGTATCGTATTAAATCTAGCATAGGTAAAAATTCAGTACCGATTTTTATTAGTACCGCATGGTTTATAAACGTGAAGCTCTTTACAGAGATATGTTGTAAGTTCTTTTCGATAACTTGGCTAATCCTGTAATAAGACGTAAGCATTATAGTCCAAAGTCAAACCAACCCTCTTCCAATTTTAATATGTACACAGGTATTTATTTCCTTGATACCTACATAGTACCTAAAATACCCATTCACTTATACTCATGCTGAACATTCCGATAATTGAATTAATTACTACAGCTGAGGAACACGATGTCTTACCTTTTAGGAATCTTGCTTATTAGGTATTTGTGTATGTAACCTTATTAATGAGTTCGTAAAGAATTTCGCTATGTTTACTCTATCCACTAGGTCCATGTCTGCTAGGTACTAATAACTTAACATTGTCCTGCATGTCTTGTTTTGAAACGTGTCTTTTCAGATCCAAACGGAGTGTAATTTCTTAGCTAAGGATATGTATGCGATCTATCAATCTCTCGATTTAGGCCTCGAACTATTATCAGTTACGCTTGCGGAAATCTCGGAAATATACCCAGGTAGTGAAGCCATCACTCGAATAGATCTGTAAAAAGCTTAGGGATAGATGGTAAGTTGGTTGGGTAGGTACCTAGTTGATATATTGAGTACTTGATACCTACGTGAAGCAGGGGGGAATTTTCTATCGTGTCGACTTGATTGGAGTTCTGGAGTTTACACCAGCCTCTACGATGTATGTAGCGACACTCGGGCACTACCGCAAACGAGTCGAGATTGGTTGTGCGACGGCGTAATCGCACGTGTGCGAGGGGGAGGGCGATGAAATCTGGGACCGGATCTCGAATCATAAAATGGCTCTCACCCCGGGAAATGCGACGATCTGCAAGATCCCTGCTTGGTTGGCGGCCTGAATGTAGATTGCGAAATGACAAGCATCATTTCGAAATACAGTATCTTTTTTACACCAGACAGTGCGCTTGCGTGAGGATATTTGACCTTACGACTACCAGTATGAGGTGAATAATTCAAATATAAAGTATAAGCCAATATATAAACTAGGAAAGACGCACAAAAATGAATTGCGCACATTATATTTGTATTAGAGATAAACTTTAATGAATTTTTTTTTCTGACAGGCCCGAAAAAAATGGACGATCAGATGGGTCTTGGCTTTCCTAGGGCTGCTGTACCCAGGTACTAGATATGTACATATATACATTTAAATACATTCACTTCCATCTTTATTGAAGCCATTATGTACATGATGTACCTGTATAGAATCCAAGAACCGATGTCTATTTGTTTCTATAGGTGGTCCATATGTAAGCATCAATTTTGGTACCTATTTTAGGCCAGCAAACTTTTTTCTTTCTTTTCCTTTCTCCCACTTCGTTCGTTTCCCGGCTTGCGAGCAATTACGCGCATGCAACTAACCACTTGATCCGCAATCGGGATCCAATACTTTTGTACTTTCCTTTCTTTTTTTTAAAAAAAAATTAATAAATAAAAATAAAAACCCTTTTTGTGCAAGATGATAGCATACCTTGTATGGACATGTATCGATTCAACCAAGTTTGTATAGTACAAGACACAGGCTGCAAGGCACAATATGCTAACCCTTTTATATCCACCAGTACAACCCACCCAAACTACCTACCTAACATAAATGCCTTTTGGTAAAACTCAGCAAACGCGAGAAACAAATTTTCTTCGAAAACGGAGTGATTTTCGTTTCAAGTCTCACAGCAGCACGATCTATCCAGATAGTACGAGTCTCGACTACGTAACGTTGGGGACGCAGCGTCTCTTCAGATGCTAATGGCATATCCTACTTGTCTAGGTACCTACTTATCCTTTCAGAAGCTCGCCTAGTCAATTTCTACGTCATCCCATCGTTTGGTGTTGAGTAGTGTGACTACCTACGCTAAGATCAAAGCTTGCGGGTCCCAGCTCCGTCTGTGCACAACGGATCTTCCGGGCTTCCGACCTTTTGCTCACAATTTGAACGGATTCACTGAATCGCGCCAATGAGCTAGTATATCATTCCTTCGATAAAATGCTCTATACTAGTGATGTCTTTCTTCTTTCTTCGCAGGCCTACTATTCTGAGGGTGTCATTCTCATAGCTAGACTTCATTACGATGAGATAACTCTATGTCAAGCTGCTCATATATTACTCGTATCAGGGCAAATATTTTCAGCTCTATTCGTTGATAAGGTTTATCAATGTTTAAGCATGATACGCTAGGTAAGTCTATGTTAGCAAATTCAGAGTGAGTTAACTCGCGGCTTTAATGCAAAGGCAAAAGCTTCTCAACTAGTCGACAGGTAGTCAATCTCCGCAATACGGGCTCTTCTAAGGCATAGATCTACTACGTAGCTTTAGGTTCTGTCATAAAACGTAACGCGCAATGAAGGTTCAAGCCGAACTCGGTACCATCATATACTTGGTAACCCTAAAGGCGACAACTTATTAATAAGGTGGCGTTGTATCGGAGCCATCATCTTCGTATCAAAGAGGAGGACTATACTCTAAACTTGGCCACTTACGTCGGCTAGCCGCAGTGTCCGGGATTGCTGCTGTAGGTGATAGTGATGACATTATCTTGGTAGAATTGACTATTAGAGTCATCCATAGGGTAAGGATTGTAGATTAAGGATGAAGCGTTAAAACAAGCAGGTAAAGTCTATTAGGGTCTATACGAATCTATACGAATATGAACAATGTATTAAAAGTAGAGCTCCATCCAAGATTCCGAGTATAACCATGAGTTGAGCCTCTAGTCAATGTGCGGCTGAATATTTCACTGTTCTTATGGTGTGTATAAATGAAACTTGACGCGGTCTTCCGTCAATATTGTTCATCGGTTTATAGGTAGGATATTAATTTCGGGAAAGACAATAAATATATAAATATTATATTATTTCCAAGATAATCACCCATCTAATCTAATCCAAGAGGATATTTGGTTAATATCTACCCATGGATTTAAATGGGATATATTAGTGTAAGCAACATTTTCAATACGCGACATATAGCAGCAGCTTATGAAGATATACAGTTGATATAGAACATAGAATCTTATATTTACCAAGAATTTCAATATTTGATATTTGATACCGATTATCACATCACTTATGAAGTCTCGTTTGAACAACATGACGAATTGTACTTAGGACTAAATGCTCGATTGGAAAGATAGAAGCCACTTGTGGCAGTGGTTGTGGCTGATGATTCTGTAGATGTCAAGGATCTGTACCTAGGTACATATCCTGACAGCCTGATCTGTACCGCCACATTCTTCTTGATTCTACCAATTGACTCCTTGTTGACGTGCGCATCTTGCTGGCTAACGAGCGCCGGCACCCGAGATGGGAAAAAAAGACTTGGGTTAAGAATATTATAGGCCCCTCAGAAATTTTGGGAGACGATACTACATAATTTTGCAAATTCATGCAGTTGAGATGCGATTGAAAACATCAACCATCAATCATCAATCATCAATCTGAGTTTGGCGTGTACCTGACTACTCACTGCTCACTGCTCACTAGCAGACATCGCCTAGAATATCAGGAGTACTTTCAACGATTTTAATAAATTCTCTATAATTCTCGGCTAATGATGGCTTCGTCCAACGAAGATGCTGAGCTGAGGCTTGTCTCATCAATACGGTATAAATTCGCCAGTGTTTCTACCGAGGAGAAGAAGCTTAGTGATGCACTCCACTCTCAACTTGTCCCTCTCCTTGAACGGGCTGGTAGTCAGTATAAGGCTGTGAGAGATGCTGTACGAACCTCATCCCTACCTAACGTATGTCCGAATACATAACTAAATTCTCTGGATAGGCTTTTAAAGCATTCATTAGCGTCAACAACTTCGTTAAGCCTATAGGGTATGTATCATATTGAGCAAATGGATTTGCCCCTTGCTAACCCACATGTAAGCGTCGTGTTGCCCGTTGCAGCTCTTGTAGAGCAGTACAAAAAAACCAGTTCGCCTATGGTTAAGCAGCTGGACTTAAACCTTATAAAAACAGGCATTCTAAGACTTGACCAACTTAAGCGTCGAGAGATACTCCCAGTAGTATTGCGAGGAATCTCCAAGGAAACGAACTTGGCTGGCGCCGCCGGGTTTTTCAATATCTTCTTGCGTCTGCTTCTAGAAATCAAGCTACCTGGGCGAGGCAGCAAGGAAGATGTCGACCTTCGAGAAAGAGTTGGTCTTTCGGATCCAGGAGATGCCAGCTACATATCACAGTGGCTTGGAAAGCTTTTCTTATTAAGACAGGATTTAGCCTTGGCAACCGAGGGAGAACTCGAAGGGAAGCTCCTCGCTTCGCCGTCAGGTCTTACTCGTGAGGATATCGCATTCCTTGAGAAACAACAACGAACAAACTTGGAAACCAGGTGGCCCAGCTAGTTTAAGCTTACCGGAATGTAAAACCAAGGCTGTCAATTTTCTAGCTAGTGGTGCATTTATAGACGACGAGCGATATATACCAATGATATGCGCCGCTGGTTCCGCAGATTCACGAATCACATCGATTGCTGACGATGGTATAAAACGGTCTAATGTTGACCTCGAAAACAATGGCGTAGTCCAGTCGCTGTATGACGCGCATAGAAGATTTCCAGTTGCCCATCGGATACAGGTCCTCAAGCTACTCTCTAAATCATCTATCGCATGCAGTTTCAAGCAAGAGATGTTAGAAGCCGTGAGGCAGGATTTCAGGATTGTATCAGGTGATGATGCATCTGTTCTCGGTCTCGAAGGCTTGCGACTAAGCAAAGCATTATTGGCATTTCTGGGCTGGATTGCTAGAAATAATTCCATTTCTAACGGCAACGGTGATGATATTGGGCCACCTCTTGTTCTAATCTTGAAGGACTACATTCTGAAGCAAGGGTGGCCTGAACCCACACCAAGAGGAAACCAGTCGCAGATTCAAGACGAACAGAGACTACGAGCTAATGCATATGAAACTATAGGTATTCTTGCGAGAGGTGGCCGTTTCGAGTATAAGGCAAAAGATTCCCTCCTGAAGTGGCTCTTTGATTCTCTAGTCTCCGACCCAAGCCCAGATATTGTGGTCTATATTGAGAGTGCCTTGTCAAGTATGATGGGTCTTTTCAAGCCAACAACTCCGGGGCAAACAAGAGATCTGGAAATATTGCTCCTGGAATATATGGCATTCTCTGAAGGACAAGGAAGAAGAACAGCGCGACATATCGCAGCGCGCTATGCGAATAACTGCCTTCCTTACAGCAATATCCAAGCTCGATGGATCGATATTCTTGCATTAGGCGGTGGTCCTTCTGAACGACGCGACGTACTAGAAGAAGGACAACGAGGGCTTGATCCGTGGTGGGCTGCCAAACTTCACCCTGATGATGTTCTAGTCCTGCCCGATTGGACACAACTGGTGCATATGTTCTTCAATAATGACCATGAAGACAACGAAAACCGGATGGATATCGATCAGAAATCCAAATACACATTATTTCACAATGATCGCCTTCAGGCTTTCCCAATAGCAATACGCTACGTTAAGCAGATCTTATTTCTTACTGCCTTAGGCGAGGATAAGTTTGAGATAGATTGGGAATCGCAGCTAGAACGAAAACTTCAAAATGACTTAGGGAGCCGGGATCGTATCAGGAAATATTTTGGCGTCGCAAACGTGGGCTCTCTCTTCACACTCCTTAACGCGGCCTTTGATGGTCTTCGAGATCATCCCGAGCTTGGTATCGAGGAGTATATTGGATGTCTCGCAGACATCTTGTCATTTGCACCCTCAACAACTGTTATATCCCCACTGTCTGCGAGAACTCAAGAGTTACTTCTTATAATTAAGTCCAATGATCAAAAAGTTAGGAAATTAGCGTCAAAGGTCTTCGGTATACTAGCGCCATGGAGTAGCCAGTCTGCCACCTTTATTTCTTATCTGCGGAATTTTGTCACCCTATACCCGGAGCCCTCTGCTTCTCAGTCTGCTGAGTACCAGGGTTCGCTTGTTTGCTTGGGTAGTTACTTCTCTCGTGCTGCTTATTATGGTAAGATTAAGCCCGAAGATGTATCCGAACATGCCCAATTTATCTGCCAGAGGCTTATTTCATCGTTGCGGAAGGGAAGCGCAGACATCCTAGCCGCTGCTCTGGAATCCATCTCCCAACTGTGGACTGCAAATATTCATTTCCCTGAGAAAGACGAGCATCTAACGGAGATCATAGACTCCTTGGCCAAGCTTGCACTTTCGGGAAATGAGAAAGCGATTAGTACTTTGGGGAGGCTGGCAATTCCTTCATCGGCCGACGTCCCAGGCAAGGAGACAGAGCCGGTAACAAATATCCTAGATAAATTATTCGCGTTATCGGAAATCAAGCGAACCGAAGTCCATTTCGCGACTGGGGAGGCAATTGCATGTGCAATCGCTCGGTGGGATTCCGAAGCTGTGCAACTTAGCCTAGACGTGGAACCTTTTGGATCGGGCAGATCTGACATCGTCGACAACCTTGGAAAGCGACCTCTTAGAATTGATGCCACGATAAACAAGCTTATTGAGGGTTGCAAAACTACTAAGCCTTCCGTTTTGAAAGCATCTGGCATATGGCTTTTCTGCGTTATCCAATATTGCTCAAACCTCCCTGAGATCCAATCTCGTCTGCGCCAATGTCAGGTCGCTTTCATGAGACTTCTTTCCGCTCGAGATGAGCTCGTCCAAGAAACGGCATCACGCGGACTTGCGTTGGTGTATGAAAGAGGTGACCCGTCTCTTAAGACGGAGCTTGTAAAGGATTTGGTCTCCAGTTTTACCGGAACTAAAGCACAATTGAAAGTTGACGGGGACACTGAATTGTTCGATGCCGGCGCCCTACCGACAGACGAGGGAAAGTCAATTACATCTTATAAGGATATTGTCAGTCTTGCTAATGAAGTCGGCGATCAAAGTCTAATATATAAATTCATGGCTCTGGCCACGAACGCCGCGACGTGGACTGCTCGTTCCGCCTTTGGTCGCTTCGGACTAAGCAATATTCTGTCGGATGCGGAATTGGATCCTAAGATCTACCCAAAATTGTACAGATACCGGTTTGATCCAAATTCGAATGTGCAAAGATCGATGAATGACATATGGAAAGCGGTCGTCAAAGACCAAACAGCAGTGATCGACAAATATTTCGATGCTATAATGACGGACCTTTTGAAAAGTATATTAGATGGAAGAGAATGGCGTGTGCGAGAGGCAAGCTGTTCAGCGATTGCGGAACTTATATATGGAAAGCCATTCGCCAAATACGAAAAGTACTACGCCGATATCTGGAGGCTCGCACTTAGAGTCCTAGACGACAAGAAAGGTTCAGTTAGGGCTGCTGCTCTGAAGTTATGTATGGGGCTGTCAAAGACGCTTGTCACGCAGCTCCAAGAGAATAACTCCTCCGCTTCTGCCAGAGCAATGATTGCTCAGGTTCTCCCATTCTTGTTGTCCGATAAGGGAGTTGAAAATTCCGTTAAAGAAATCAAGTATTTCTGTATTAAGACGGTTCTGGATGTCGTCAAAAACGGAGGCGATGCACTAAAACCATTCATCCCACCTATTATCACGCATTTCCTAGGCTTGTTGAGCACCGTAGAGCCAGACGAAGTCAATTTTGCGTACCAAAGATTCAGTGAAGAGGATCGCGAAAATTTGGACAAGCTACGAGGCACCTTTGCTACTCGATCGCCTATGTTTGAATGCATCGTTGACTGTCTGCGGTTTGCCGACGAGGATGTCATGAAAGAATTAGCCCCACAGCTGGTATCGACCATCAAATCAGCTATTGGAATGCAGACCAAGATTGGTTGTGCTGAACTTCTCAGTACCTTGGCACTTCGACATAGCATTCTGTTGCCCCCATACAATGCGCAATTTTTAAAGACGATGGAGACACAGATCCTAGACCGGAACCACGAAGTGAACAAAGCCTATGCTAGAAGTTCTGCATATCTGCTAAGATCGGCAAATTCAGAGACTCGAGATCAATTCACATCGCGACTCGTAGACTTGTACTTTGGAGCTGAGGATGATACCCGCCGGCAGAAAGTTGCCGATGTGGTTCTAGCCATAGCGAAGGTCTCCCCTGATGCATTTACAGACCTTGAGGCTCGTCTCTTACCCTTTTCCTACCTAGCAAAACATGACACGGACGATTACGTATCCGAAGAATTCGAAGCTGTTTGGAGCCAACACGCCGGTGGGAGCCATAGTGTAAAACGCTTCGTGGACGAAATTACACAGTTCGCGCTGAACGGTCTCAATACGTCGAAGTGGGCTCTTCAACATGGCGCCGCCATAGCTGTGGCGTCTATGATTACCGCACTCAGCAGTGCGGTTGGGAAAAATGGACAGTTCGCCGACGCAGATATACAGAAAATATGGCCCCCGCTGGAAAAGGCCCTGTCGCTTAAGACATTTACAGGCAAAGAGAAGGTAGTGACTGCATATCCTCTCTTCATACTTCACGGCAAAAAGTTTTGGAGCACGGATTCGGCTCTTGCAGTGCAATTAAAAAAGATAGCTATCCGTGAAGCAAAACGAAATAATGATTCATATCGTCCTCATGCCTTCCAAGCACTCGCGGAGTTTGCTAGTGCCCGAGAAGATTTAGATATGTATGCAGAAGTGGTCGCTATTGTATCAGATTACTTGAAAGCCGATGAAGTACACAAGATTACGGAGGTAGAACAAAAGACAGTTGATGCCGCACTCAAAGTTACCCTAACAGCATATAATCGCCAACGAATGCGGGAGGCCCCGCTTGCCGTGCTTGATATTATAGTGACTACTATAGAGGGGGCAAGGGAAGCAATTTCGTCGGCTAGGGATACGTGGTTCACCAGCGCCGCTGATGTCTTGAACCAGGCCGCAATCTCTAAGGGTCCCCTGGACCCTTCAGCGGGTACGGCGGCTACTCGATGGTTTAGGCTGCTGGTGGCAGATGAGAGTGATGTTATCCTTGAAAATCAACGCTCAAGCCGGGCAAAAGCGCTCGGGGCTTTCGTGATGGCGCTAAAGAAAGGCATTTTTGGCGCAGTTAGCGAACAGGGACCTTTACTTGATGAAGTTGGGCGGAAGTTGAGAGCTATGATAGAAACAGAAAGATCCATAGATGTACAGAAGCTACTAGAGAAAGTTGTTCAACAGCTTGCTGTCTAGGTTAAGAGAGAGGCCATGTAGGGAGCCGGGGTGGAAAACGTAGCTATAGCAAGCAATGAACTTACCAAATAGACTTTTTCGTTAGGTATATTCTTAAGAAGTAAACTAATTAACTATGTGATAAATACGAATACAGATGATTTATTGAGTAGAATTTCTTTACTCGATAGCGTTGAAGGGGAAAATAAGATGAATTGTTCAAATATTGAAGTCGGTATAAAGAGGCTTGGATACACCACTGTGTTATGTAAATGTATATAACCTATGGATAGGGTTTCGGATCCCTTTGTTGAGTATTACCAGGTAGGTAATGTTAGGAAGTAGCTACTAAGTACCTAAGTACCTGGGGGAGTAGTGGACCTTAGGTCAACATTAAACGGGGAAAGGTCGGGAAAGGATAACAGCGGCCCCATTATTTTATAAGGTGGGTACCTAGGTATCTACATAGGTAACTTTATCTGCCCTATCTGCCCTATCTTAAGGTATCTACTTCCTATCGGCGGTCGGCCCCACAAGATAGTTGTTGCGTCACAATAGCCGCCTTTAAACCATTAGTCCATTACTACTACAGCACAGTCATCTGCTACAGCATCATTCTCATGCAAACAACTTCTTCTTATTTCTGTTTGCAGAGGTGATTATCGCTCACTCATACTTTTCTCGAATTATGTGGATTGTTCACGTTGTTGTTACAGGCAAAATCCCATCAGAGTATTTAAAGCCTAACTAGTCCATTGTGAACTTAGAGCCGTCGCTAACTTTTATTGATATTTCAGCTACGAGTGCCTACGAGTGCCTACCGCCTGCTACCTAACTTAACGAAAGCATATTTCATCTTAGAAGTTCCTCCACGGCACGATCTAGACCTACCCAAACCTATCGAATACTGGTCTCACGCCTAAGATAATATCCAACACGTCCACTATTATCTATACCTACCTAGGTTAGGTATCTATACAAGTTTTAGAAGATGGATGAGGACGTGGTTCAGTTTATGGCCATAACTGGCATCTCTGCCGATCATGTAGCTCGCGGCTATCTTGAAATCTCAGGCGGTGATCCTATGCAAGCTATTCAGCTCTTCTACGAAAACCCTGAGTTGCAAGCCAGCTTCAACCAGCCTGCCGCTTCAACTTCTACTCCAGCAAGACAACCTACATCGTCGTCTGCAAGCCGAAGCCAAGCTTTTACCGGTCGCGAAGATGCCCGCGGGGTAATTCACATAGATTCCGACGACGACGATGATGTACACATGGCAAACAATGATTTTGATGTACCTGACGATGCGGATGATGTCACGGCATTAGTAAGAAGTGCGCAAGAGGAAGAAGATGCCGAGATGGCGAGACGGCTACAAGAGGAAATGTACTCTGAAAACCACGGATCACTGGATGGAGTAAGAGCCCCTATAGCGCAAACGACCGAGACTCTCGCAGCACCCGATCCCTCGTGGGGTTTAGACGACGACCGAGAAGCTGCCGTTATGGAGCAACTACGCCGACGGAGAGTACAAGGTGAGCCTTTACTTTTCTTTTATAAACTACATATATCATTCCGCTGTCTCTCCTAACTTTCTTCATAGGTACTAGTGCCAACCCCTTCAGTCAATCCTCGGTTGACTGGTTCGACCGGGAAGACGGCGTTCGACCGCGAAATACGCCACCTACCTCCAGTAATACATCACGAAGATTAAGAGATCTATTCGCACCCCCGACAGGCTTGATTACCCGCCTACCATTAGATGCTGCAAGAGACCTCGGAAAAGAAGAGAAGAAGTGGATACTGGTTAATCTTCAGAAGATGGATGATTTTCGGTGCCAGGTTCTTAACAGAGATCACTGGAAGAACGAAGACATTGTGTCTTTGATTCGTGAACATTTTATCTTCTTACAATACACTTTAGATGACCCAGTGGCCCAATCATATACCACATTCTACTTCAACAATCAAGCTCACGAGGACGAAAATAACTATCCGCATGTTTCTATTATCGATCCCCGTACCGGAGAGCAAGTCAAAGTTTGGTCAGGAGAATCATTTCCTTCCATGGCGGAGTTTCATTCCGATCTCGTTGAGTTTCTTGACAGATACAGCTTAGCGGCCAACAGCAAGAATCCCGTGGTTAAGTCAAAACCGAAGACGAAGCCCGTAGATATTAGCCGAATGTCGGAAGAGGAGATGCTTAAAATGGCTTTACAAAACAGTCTTGACGAAGATGGCGGATCATCGGGACCTAGCGTTCAGGATCCTGACGCCCTTACTAAATCAAACCCAGATATTGGAAAAGGCAAGGGTAAAGAGGTTGATGAGTCTAATGACCTAGCTGGTGACTCTAACCAACCCTCTAATGCATCAGAGTCGGCATTTGCCCAAATATCATCAACCAACCCTCATGTGGAACCCGAAAATAATCCGGCAACTACAACTAGAATACAATTTCGTCACGCCGGCGGTCGCATTATCCGAAGATTCTCTATTGCAGACCCCGTTCGCCGTATCTATGAGTGGCTGAAGGCCGAGCCTCTCGAGGGCAAGGAGAATATACAATTCGAGCTCAAAGCAATGCCGGCAGGCAGAGATCTCATCGAGGAGTTAGGAAAGACTATTGAAGAGGCTGGTTTGAAACAAGGCACAGTCATGATCGAGTTTATTGAGGACTCATAGTAAATCATGACGCAGGAAAGGAACACGGCCCATGATGAGTGGTTGTGGAATACACACTTGCATTGATATTTATGGCTCAGGAGATGCGTTATAGATTCACTTGCCACGATTGCGACGGTCGGGACTCCCGTTGCCTACTTGTCTAGAGCTAGCTCCTAGCAGAAATGAATTCTTTTCCGCGCGTTTGTTGACCTTATTCCTAATACTTGTGATGTATGCTACGTTTAAGGACGAATTAGATTACGTCCTCTACTACATACATACGTAGCTTTGGCCTTGTCCTGCAGCAAGAGAATAATACGAATTGATCCCCTAAAATTTGCAATAATTTCATCTACATGTCTCTTACCCTAGTTAATAGTAGTTGTATGTGGTATGGGTCGTTAAATAAATAGCCTAGGGCAAGAGCATCTTCAACAGTAGACCTTGGCTAGCGGGCAGAGTGGGGCCGGCGATCGGCCGGGATATCAACGATAACCTCCGTATCAAAGCCGGTACTCCAACCAATAAACATTCAAGAAAACCAGTGTACGAATTTGATTAATCACTTCATAATTATGCGAATAAAAATATTAAAGGAAAGCTTCAGTATTGACTGCCTACCTAAGGTAGCTACATGTTTTTCATCTAATGCCTTTTGTCTCCTAGCTCAATAGGCTAAAGAGAATACTTGGTTCTGAACCTACTCGAGTCTCAAGGGTATCTGCAATAAACTGCCATCGACTCTATAGCATCAATAGACTTGCATTTTTTGTCACTTTGGCAGATTTTCCCCTATTGTGTGACGTATTGGGGGGGGGGTGCTACGATGGAAAGGAAGGAAAAGTGTAGGTATAGCGATAGCAACGGTAGAGTCGATGAGGAGTCAAGACTGACTTGTCTCTCTTCGCGTGCGACGTTCATGCCATTACCCATCTGCCATCACTGTATCCTCATCTACCTCATAGTTGAGATAGATCAGCCCCGTAGCTTGATCTTTAAGAATGCTATTATTTGCGAAGATCTTTGATGGATCGCGCTGCTCGGCACAGCCATAGCACGTGCGGCCATCCTCAACTTGGCTAACAATAGCATCCAGTTGGTCCCTTCCAGTGTCATTGGGAGTTAAACACTGACCACTAGCGTGAACCAAGAGCGGGAACATATGGCCTTGTCGGTGGATGGCATAACCCTCCTTAAAGGGAGAATGGTTCAGCATCGCGTGGCAGAAGGCGCGACAACGGTTTGCATCCGCATTATGGATGCCCTCGGCGGAAATTACATCCTCAGGGTGCTGCGAAGTTTTGAATGAGATCGCAGTCGTGCCCATCGGACAGAAGTCAGCAAAGACCCACCAAGGTTGCTTTAGGATATTTTTTTGCGCTGGCGTCCGCATTTTCTTCGCTTGTTCACTACGCCACTCGTGGCAATTGTTGTGATTACATTGCTTGGGCCCCGAGAAGAAGCCAACTGTTTTCTTCTCATTGATAAGGTCCTTGCTTCCGTCCTTTCCGTATGTAGATGCTCTTTCGAGAAGATCCAAGTAAATCAGAAGACTTCCCGGATCATTAATGTTGAAGAGAACATTCCTGGGGCGTAGAAGCCAATCCGGAATCCGTTGACGAGCTTTCTTGGTATCATTCGTCTCAAAGATATCAACCTTGTCGTTTCTATTGACGCCATCGGGACGCTCGACAAATGCCAAAGCGTATCTGTCTATGATGAAGATGTCCTTTTCAACATCACAGAGCGTATGTGGACTTCCTTTACCCGGGCCCATATTTTGGGGATTGACACCATCTCGCTCGTCAGCTTTGTGATACGACTTTCCGTCCGTGGCGATCATTTCCCAATGAATATCATACATGCTAGTCCGGGGAGTGTACCTCGCCGGTGCGGTTTGGGGCTCGCTAGGTCCATAGACATAGCGGTATGATGTAGCCTCGGGAACTTCTAGTCGTTTATCGTCTCCTAATATCAATGCCTTAAGTACTTGGTCTGTTGGGGCTGTGTTCTTCTCGCCCATCACTTCCCTGGTCGTAGTAGATTCGGAGTATTTCCAGCACTATTGTTGCTCCCGCTATCGATGCCATCGTTGTTCACTTCGGCCTTACTAGACTTGGTCGCGGATTTGCCCTTCTGGCGCAAGCTCTTTTCGTAAAACTGACTAGCGGTTTTCTCTTTCACACCTTTCTTGTAATCATCATTATAGACAAGGCCCCAAATGACAACGTCGGCTGTGTCTGAGCCGCTTTTGGCGATGGCCATAGCTGATGATTCGGCGCTTGTAGCCATTGTTGGAGGATGAGTAGTCAGAGCTTTGACTTGGATCGCTAGGAGAGAATCAGAATCTGGGGTGATAATGGCTTGAAAAGTCTTGAAAGGTGCAATAATGAAGTATTGTAAGGCCATATACATATATATCATATGGGACAATAAGTAAGGGGTATCAGCCAGTATGAAAAAGGGTAGTTTCTTTTCAATACAATGGTCTGATTTCTTCAACGCATTTTTATGATTTGTGTTATTTAGAGAGGGAAAATGGTAGTAGGAATGTGGAAGGGAAACATGTTAAAGAGGTAAAAGACAGGGCGTAAGAGGAGTCTTGGGGGAATACTAACCTTCGAAACTCGAAAAGTAATTGAACTGGCTCGACCTCAAAGCTAAGATTACTTAACTGTCAGGTTGGTTTAAATTAACTCGGGTGAAGAGATAATTGGTTAATGTGGTTGCAGGTTTCGAGGAACTCGAGTGCAATAATTAAAAGCCTCCTGTGAAAGAAAATATTGGAAAGGTAAAAACTTGGGATTTCCTGGGGAATTATATAGAGATTTCGAAAGTTGTGTTCCTGAGGAATGAGGAAAGGCCAGTAGGTGAGAAAAAGACTGACTGCGGTAGCTACCTGGTTAGATTGCACATCGTGGCCAATGGTAGAGGGTCATGAGAGCCTCTTAGGCAAGTACATGCTAAATTTTCGTACTTTATGCGGGTCAATCTGGTTGACAGGGCGAGTACAGGTGATAATCGAAACCTAATGGAGAGTTAATGTAAGGAAAGTGCACAAGATAACTTCATGTAAGGCGAGTACACGCAGGGTAAGTGAATGTAAGGCAAGTGAACGTGGAGCAGATACTGTTTGATAGGCAAGTGCTGTTAGGCGGTCACATGCTGTAGTCGCCGACTATACAGAGGTACATTTTATAGTCGATGGCTTAGAAAAAATAATATGGCGTAGACGCCGATTATAAAGAGGGGCGGCGTATACTCGACGAGTATAGAAAACGTCATGTTATAATCAGCATTCACAGAGCAGCTTATGATATACTTAAGAGTATTGGAAAGCACGTACTGCAGTCGACGACTATATGAGACTATATGATGGTGGATACTATTCATCCTTGGTAACTATTCACTGTGTTGTGAATATAAAGGTGAGAGCTTCTTGTTTCGATAATGCCCTTGAGTAATTATTATGACTTCTCTAGTAAGATTTCTAATGACAACGCTAATAGACTCTAATATTTTATATTAGGGGTATCATAAACTATAAGTATTGCTATAAATATTTACATATGCAACAAAAATTATTGCTGGACTCTGTCACGGTCAAGGTCTACATCGGCCAGCTTGACGGGTTTTGTCCAGCATATGAGTTTGTGCCCGACAAAGAGCACAACAAACAATATAAGGCTAATATATGCGGCGAAGAAATCGCTGGTTTTCCACTCGATGAAAACAGTAAATCCGTTAGTCAAGAGAATCAATACGCAGAAGAAGAGTCCAAACCAGGTTAAGTATGGTTGGAACGGAGCCGCGTATGGGAGATCTTTTCTGGAAATCCCCTTAGTCTTTAAGGCTTTCATGAATCGTAAGTGGCAGACGCTGATACAAGACCAGGTGATGAAACCAGCTATGGCAGTGATATTTAGTAGCCAATCGAAGACGTCGCCGCCATTCGACGATAGATTCATAAAGGCGAGAAGCCCGATTGCCGAAGTGACACCAACCGCGAAATAGGGAGTGCCATACTGATTTGTACGGGATAAGAATGCAGGGGCGTTATTCTCCGAGGCTAGACCAACTAAAATACGACTCCCGGAGTAAACGTTTGAGTTTGCAGCAGAGAGCACGGCGGTTAATAGGACGGCGTTGATGATATGGGGAAGCACGGAAACCCCAGCGAGGTTGGCTGCGATAACAAGTGGCGTGGCGATGCTGAGGCATCCGTAGTGCCGATTAGAAGAGCTTCCGTATCATAAGGCACGAGTAAGCCGACAAAAAAGATGGTTGAAACGAAAAGAGATAAAATTCCCCAGAATGTCCACCGAATAGCCTTTGGGACATTCTTTGCTGGGTCATGAGTCTCTCCCGCGCCGATGCCGACAAGTTCTGCTCCCTGGTAGCTGAATCCGGCGGTAACGAGTACCGACCAGAATCCAACAAACTTCCCGGTGTTTCCAGTAAAAATATATTCGGCGAAAGGGCCAGGGTGTACCCAGGCGTCGAAACCGAGATATCCATTCTTCCCCGCACCAGCATCAATACAAATGGCGAATATGATGAAACCGACGATAGTGACGACTTTGATGCTAGAGAACCACATTTCGAAGGCTCCAAAATAACGAATTGGCAAGAAATTGGCGCCTGTGAAGATGACCCAAAAAATAGCGATAAAGATTCCGATGCTAAGCTTCGAGTCCCAATACTGGATAATAACGCCGGCTGCTACGAGTTCGAGGGCGAACGTTATGGACCAGCTGAACCAATAAATCCAGCCCATCGCGAAACCAAGAGAGCGGTCGACGAATCGAGAAGCGTACACGGTAAAACTGCCGGCAACCGGAATAAATGAAGCCATTTCACCCAAAACTCGTCATGACGGAGAAGACGATTGAACCGACGAAGAGAAAAGCGATTAGACAGCCAACAGGCCCGGCTGTCGCCAATGCCTCCCCGCTTCCTAAGAACAGGCCAGTTCCGACGGTTCCTCCGATTGCGATAAACTGGAGATGGTAACTGCGAAGGCCCCGATGTAGCTGGTCGTCACCAGCCTCAACATCCTTCTCATCCTTCTGACCACCATTGCTAGTCAGAGAATTCTCCTTGGGACTCTTTTCTCCCTCGCTGATGGTTAGGTCCATCTCGACAGTTAAATCAGCTCGACAACAAAGGCGCACGAGCGTAACGTGAGAAACACTAGAAGGATCGTGTTATGTAATTAATTACTTTACTTAGGGGAGGTGGGAAGTGAAAGGGGAACGTGATGATAATGTATACGAGGTGAGGGGAATTCATATAAATAAGCTTTTTGAGACGGTTACCATCGACTTTATTAAAAGAGACATGTTCTTCCAGAAAAAGTTTTCGAAATAATAACTGGTCTGCTGGTACAGTTTACATAGACTACATAGTACCTAACTAGACTACCTGCTTGAAATACTACGGCATTGCCGAAAATGTCTCATGATCCAGTCGGGTCCATTCATCGCGACCAGTGCGACGTAGACTGGAAATTCGGCTGAAAGAATAATTTGCCCTATCAGTGGCGTATCGTAAAACTATAGCTCCACTGAAATATTTTTTTTTCCCTCCTTCCCCATCAATTGACGAATGGGACTCTAAGCGCGAGCTGCTGTAACGCTATCAAGGGTGAGTGGGTTGCGTGGGCCAAATTTAAAAAAAAAAAAAAAAATCCGCCGTTCGCGCGATTCCGATAATAGTTCTCGGTATTGTTGACATCATGTGGTTGGTTATTATAAGTGAGGCTCTCGTCACCGGCCGTGGCATGATATCACTAAGAAGACCGAGAGTCTTTACATACATCTTTTACGAGGGAAAAGTATTGTTTTTTTCCAATTCCAAACGTGCAATTTCAACGTATAACTAAATGCTGATACCTATACCTATACTAATACGGATATTGACGCGTTAGGTTAGTACTTAACTTAATAAGTAGGTACCTAGGTAGGCTAATAACCATTACCATTTCATATTAGCCAACATTAGCCAACGATGCGATAAGCTACCTATGTTTTTAAGCTTTTAACTTGTCTCTTCTGATTGCTTTTCATTCTTTCATTCCTTCATACTGTAGCAAGCTAAAATAATCTCGTGGGTCAATGTCTAAGTTAAACGTTAGATCCAACTATCAGACCCAGCTGGACTCTACCCAATTGGCTTTGGCGTGAGTTATAAGCAGGAAATATGTTATTAGTTCCCAGTCGGGTAGTCTTAGCTCGATAGAGAAATCGGTAAGGACTTTCGTGGGCCTCCTCTTAAGTCAACATTAGGTACGCAGTCATAGCGGTCAAACTGCTTAACATGGCCTGCAGATCTCTTCGGGACTTTGCGCATTATATGCACCGCACTCGCCTCTACTTACGATTGAACTATCAATCACATAAGAGTTAATTGGGAACTTTATACGCATTCTAAATAGTATGCTGCATTTACAAATGATGTTCAAAAGACGACGGCCAATTTCATACCCAATTAATTCACCAAATGTTAACATATCCTGATTTCAATGTCATGTTAATTGGATGGAGATAGCTTCACTAGTTATATATAATAACTAACCTAGGTAACTACAATAGCTAGTCTCCCGAATATAACTACTCAGCCTACGTATCTGTAGACTATATTTTTTTGAATTACGTTGATCCTAAGCCTAAGATGGGGTTCCCCATACCCCTTTTCGCATTACGATCTAAATTTTAGCGGCTATTCTAGGGTTATCTTAATCTGTCATGACTGGCCAAGCAATCCTTGACATACATAGGTAGGTAATATTATCTACAACGCAGCATACATGCCCCATCATCCACAGTTCCTAGAAACGGATATCTGCTTGAAGATCATAAAAACAAGAATGAGAATCAAACAAACCTACTGTTTGTACCGCCCCTCTCAATTGAAGTCGAAATACAGCTCTCGTACAGTCAATACTAAGGCCAGTTTTGTTTTCGTCGTGATTAGCTCTTCGTTACCACATACCATGTGTGCAGACTCAAATGTGTTCTATTAACATTTAACTACAACAACAAAAAAACCAAAAAAAACCCTCTCTATAAGGAATTCTACTCTATAATAGTAACCGTTCTTGTGCACAAGGAGGAAGTTCTTAACTCCTCAATGAAAAGGTAAAATTAAAGTCTTCGGGTGTTAGGTAATGTAGAACTTCGAATGGCCGATCTATGTGAAGCTATAATTTCTTGGGTACCTAGTCACATCAGAACCGATCAATACAGAAAGTCTAGGTTAGAACTTGGGGTAGTTTACGTGATGAGATCAAACCCCAAATTAGCATTACTACCATATTATGTAAATAGGTCGCCGAGTTGGTTGACCATGATAGCCGAGCAAAGTGCCGAACTCTTCTCGAAACAAAAGCAGTCCTAATATTATCTGGTAGTCTTTGGAGAAAATGGTACAGCATTGGGGCAGAAAATGGGGATAGAGAGGTATGATATTAAGCCTCAACTATCCTCGTTAGCTACTCGTCGAATTGTCATATAATAATTTTGAGTGTTACGAAGGATTGGTATGGCTTTCGCCTATTGCGAGCCTTAATGGCAGTTCTATTTACTATATTACATTTATCATCGAGCGTTTATAACCCATTGTAAACTATTATTGATAATATTTACTAACTTACCCGTAATGAACATTTCCGCCGTCCTTTAGATTTTGTCATGGGGACATATAAATTATACCGCTAACCCCTATACTCTAGTTATGTTGGTTTTTTTCTTTCAAAACACATTCCTCAAAATGCTACTTAAGACTCTCACGGACATGATCTTGCTGGTTTATATGCCTTGTCCAGCTATAATGAAAACATTAGATGAATATATATTCCTAAAATTAGCCACGAACTTACTAGTTCCTCTCTATATACTCCTACCTAGGTACATTTAATGACATTATTGATATTTAGTCGACTTTCTATATGTGTTTGCTGGAGCCTATTTCATTCTAACCCTTGTTTACTCCGTTGTCGCATGCTATTTCAGCCTCCGTATCGAGACAAATACTCTCCCTATAACCTGGATTATGAGGTCTACTGTAACAACCCCTTCTACTCAAGTTCTAATTATCAGCGTTAAGGATATACTCTTGGACTAATCTTGTTATCCATGGCTTTCTTTCGTATGGTGCGCTCGGAGTATTTCGATAGTAATCGTATTCCCTGTCGCGGAGGTGGCCACGGGCTCTATTGTACAAATCCTCAAGGGTAGGCCTCTCCAGCGGATTAACAGCACAACATTGAACGACAAGGCTTTTAAGATCATTGTCGATATCTGGGTAGGTATTGGAAGGAAAGTTGGCATACGATGTGATGGTCACATTTAGCCCACTAACATTAATCCTTACAGGGACAGCATGGGCGTCCAGGTTTGTACTGCCCGTAAGTATGCATCTCATTATCTGTTTAAACATAGGTAAGTATGTCAATAAGTTAACCGGGATTGTATATAACGATAAATGGCCACGTACCAGTCCGATACTTAATATATTCGACTGCACTGCTTCGTTATATCTTCACGGATAATGTCAACGTTATTGTGCTTTTGCTAGTAACTACCGGGAGAAAGATAGTCTTACCTGCGTGGGTTAGAAAGTACCTCAGCGTCTTCGAAATCTATAAGTTTCAACGGGGGGATCACGTAATGATCGAGGTCACCAGGAGGTTCAACGTCTGCAAACAGTACTAGATTTTAAAACAGATATATTAGTAAACGACTCTTAGCACTCTAGTAACATCTATATGGATATGCATCTCTTAGATAATTAAGTAGAAGGGAGCTTACTATTATTCGTATGCATGTCGTGGTGGATAAGTTGAGTCTTCCGCTCCCGCGCAGCTCTTGAATCAGGGAGTGCCTCCCTTTGAGGTCTTGCGCGTCTTCTCTGTCTTGGTGGGAACGCCATGGCTATACACATGCGAACCACTAGATAAGGGCCAAAATGTTAGCCTTAACGATAATTAAGTATCAAATTTCATATCCCCAGTACTACTTACAGCACATGAATAATATATGGAATATTCGATTGGATTGATGGTCTCGACTTCGCGCTAGTCTGGTGATGAAATTTCCCAAAGTTCCATTAGGAGCCCATTCCATTATCACTGTTCGACCTCGCGCGCTATCTATAGGGTTACGTATACCGGAAGTTCGATATAATTGGATGATGTGTTTGGCTCCGCGCAGCATCTTTGAAAGAGTAAGCTAGGTCTAATGACAATTATAACGGGGATATAGCCGTATGGAATTTGGAAATCCCATAGCCTCCTTTAGGTTTTCAAAATACTTACTCTCAATATACGGTTTTCGTTCCTTAGCTTCCTTTGGATTCCACCACAATCGCACGTTTAACGACAAACATCTGTGAAGAATGACGGCTAAACCAACGGCTCCTCAATTTGACCTTAACCGCAACGCTACTCGCACCATGGCCGGCTATACCTTGATATTGAAAATTCCTTCCATCTCTCTCGAAGAAGCTTCGTATGTTGCGGGCCTCTGTTCTTGACATTTGTCGAAGCATTTCGCGAGCGTCAGCTCGTGCTCTTGCTAGAAGGTTGAGGGCTGTCGGGGGTCTAGGTTCATCTATAGGTTGAGGTATATGTGAAAGTGCAGATTCGTATTCAGAATCTCCAGAATCTGAAGAATCGGATTCTGGAGGTGATGGTCCACCTGGAGGTGGGGGTGGGGGCGGAGGCGGAGGCGGAGGTGGACGACCATCTCGCGAAGGCAGCGTTCTATAAGAAGGCGGAGAATCATGTGATGATGGGGGTCGATCGCGTGAATGTGAGTGGTGAGTCCTATGCGAAGATTCACCACGCGAAGACTCACCACGCGAAGATTCGCCACGTGAAGATTCGCCTCGTGAAGATTCACCTCGTGAAGGCCCAGGATCATGCGAAGATGAACGACTGGTGTCACGTGAAGATTCTGCCGGATATCTCTTCACTGAAGGCGGATAATATCGCGATGACGAGCGATCAGGGCTATATGTTGTTGAAGGTGGATATAATGAAGACGAAGATTGATAAGAAGGTGTAATCGGACTTTCCATTAGCCCAAGTGGGTTGCGCGTTGACAAAGAGGAACGGCCACGAGAAAAGGGGTGACCACGGGCTGTCGACTGTTGCCCTGATTGTGCAGAATTATATTGCGTTGACTGTTGTCTTGATCTTCCGGTATCGTATTGCGTCGACTGTTGCCCCGATCGTGCAGAACCATATTGTGTTGACTGTTGCCCTGATCGCGCGGAACCATATTGCGTTGATTGTCGTCCTGATGTTGCAGTTTCATATTCGCTCTCGGGCTCTCTGGCCACATTCTGTCGAGGTGAAAACTCAGTTGAATTCCTAGATGAGCGCCGATTTGTATTGTGGGAAGCACGATGTCTATGCTGTCGCCGATCAAATATAGACAGATTAAACATGACGATTGGTATTTGTAGCAACTTATCGTCTCGTAGTTACTATAATGTTGTGCCGGTTTACGTCGATAGGTGGTAAGGAACTGGGCATTCTCTATTTGACTATGAACAGTAACCCCTTTGAAGTCATTATCCTATTAAGCTATATCCCTTATTAAACAAAGACTGATATGATTTAACAAAACAAAAAGCACATTTCCGCAATCGTTTTGATCTTACTATGGCACAGTCATCTTCTATGTTCTGCAGGCATTATTCATATACCGAGTACCTTTTATTATGCCAAATAACCGGGCCGAGTGATACCTGGGCCGAGACTTGAGATGCAGGTTGGTATGGTAGGCTGGAAGCTCGCATCAACGTTATCGGTAGGTATTTATAATAAGAACCTTTCTTAGAGAGTATCTCTTTATGACTTTTATCTCGACAGTCCGGAATTTTAATATCTCATGATAGAACACAGCATGAGGGGCTGATATTAGTATAACGTCATTTTCAAGATTTACAATACAAACAGAAGTAACCATTATAGATATAAAATCAACTTCATAGTGCCTCATTATCCTTACTCCATCAAACAAGGGTGAATATGTCTTGTATAATCTTGGCAATATATAGGTATCTAATATGCTGCCAGGTAGTTTACCTAAGGTAGTCAATCGTATCTGAATCTATATAACACTATTTGAAAACTAGCAAGATCAACATCATAGTTATGTCTCTCTAAGACTTACTTCGGGAGAAGTTATAACAGATATGGAATTTGGAAATTTGATCTCGGGAACAGGTGCTATTCCCGAAAAAGAAAAAGCCATGTCTTTTACCAAAGACTCCTCCAGCTAGCTGACTCCTGAATCAGGGGTTCTGCTAAGTCCCCGAACCTGAGCTCGAACCCTATGGGCCATAGCTGAATGCGGGGCTGGTGGTGACCCGAATATTCGGACCCAGGCGCCAAGTGAATGGGAATGATCGAATGTTATCTGAAAGAACACCTCTATTTGTTTCAATACCTAGGTACTTATATACATGCGAAATAATAGTCTCTGTTAACAAATAGCAGAATAAACACCAGGCGTTTACTTGGCAAATGTGGAATAGGAAAGTAAACGCGGTGTGTAATAGTCGGTCAAAGACGGCAATCTACCTCGGAATTTAGTAGTGCCTTTAACAATGGATGAGACTTATTTCTCAAAACGCCGATCAGCTGCTTATTAATTTCGTAGTGAGCATAATAATCAATAGATATGATTTAATATAATAACTATTTAATCTGACAAACTTGTATAAAACTGATTTTCTTTTGTTAGTCTTATTTGAGCCCATATTAATGTAATTCAAGTTTTCAAGCCTTATTCTACAATCCGTATGTACCTAAAAAGTAGGTACCTATTTAAGGTACATAGGTATATAGGGCTAAGAGGCTATATCTAACGCGGTGGCGCGTGTATCTTATATATACCGCGACTTTTTATGACCTTATTACGTGGACTGCATGGTTTACGCAGCTATGTACCTATGTACCTAAGGTGGTAATAACGTGACGACGTAACGACGTAACGAGGAATCTCAGCCCAGCGTTTGCGCGCATGCCCGCAGTAGCCTGCGGTGCCGGGGAAACAGGGAGATAAACTCACCGCATTAGTTTTTATCCAATCGATTAACGTCCCTCTTTCAACCCCACGTTACCCATAGCGGGAAACCTTGTCCAACCCTATCCAACCCTATCAACCCCCTGTCGAACTTTGTTAACCCTTGTAAGACCTATCAGAATCTTGTACATACATGTACCTAGGTACATATTCTAATTGCCCTGTTGCCCTGTTGCCCCCAGTGCTTTCAGTTGCCCAGCTCTCCCGCCGTCACAACAAATCATCTGTCTCTATTTTTCTTGACTTGCCTATTTCTCTCACTCATCACATTGTCTGGGCATGCATTGATTGCCGTTGCCGCGTTTGTTGACATTGGACATCGATCTTGTCGCATTGGTACATGCATGCTACCGAATCGCCGGTGCTTTTTTCGTCTTGTCATCTTGTCACTTTATCATCTTTCATTCCTCGTTGAAGCTTCTATTTTGTATTGGACAACCCTTTTTTTTTTTTTGAGCTTCGCACTCTACCTTCATTCTTCTCTGGCAAGCTGATCAAAGCTGTCTTATGACTTATACAACCTCTGAATTATTTAGGTAGCTGGTTATGAACGTTTATGTTCTGAAAATTCGAGATTTATTGCAAGCAGGCCTTCACCTCCTTTCTGGAATCAGCCAATCCAAAATCACCACGATTTGATTACTTTGATACCTACCCCGATTACTTAACAACCAACGTCGCACTATTACGATTCACGAATTTATATACTACGAATAACGAAAGCTGCGTTGCATTATGGCTGAACGAGATTATGACGAGAGCAATGAGGCCCTAGACCCCGAGCTTCTGTACACCAAAGAATACTGCATTGGTCAGACTCTCGCAGACGCTCTGCATAGGGACTACCTTGGGGATTATTGCTGACCTGCGCTTTAGGTGGGGGAAGCTTTGGAAAAGTTTACAAAGGGTTTGTGCTTCCAATTGGGTCATCTTGTTATACCAATGGCTAACTTTAAGACAAGCGTTGAGAGGCGGAGCGGTCAAGCTGTCGCTATCAAAGTCATCGATATCGAGAGCGCCGAAGATGAGGTCGAAGATATTATACAAGAAATTGCCATTCTCTCCGAGCTTCAATCACCATACGTCACCAAATACTACGGATCATATGCGAAAGGTGCCGAGCTATGGATCGTGATGGAATACTGCTCCGGCGGGAGCTGCGCCGATCTCATGAAGCCTGGCATGATAGGAGAAGACTACATTGCAATAATCATAAGGGAGTTGCTCTTGGGCCTTGATTACCTTCACGCAGATAAGAAGCTTCACCGAGACATTAAAGGTATTACCGCAGAGTTTTGTAGATGTTGCGAATATGAATTTGCTAACAAGGTATTGGTTTAGCGGCGAATATTTTACTCAGTTCCAATGGTCAGGTGAAGCTGGCTGATTTTGGCGTCTCTGGCCAGCTCTCCGCGACCATGACAAAGAAGAATACGTTCGTTGGTACTCCGTTTTGGATGGCTCCTGAAGTCATTAAACAGTCCGGATACGATCACAAGGCAGACATCTGGTCGCTGGGAATTACAGCTTTAGAACTTGCCAATGGCGAGCCACCTTATGCCGACATCCACCCAATGAAAGTTTTGTTCCTGATCCCCAAAAATGCTCCTCCTAGATTAGAAGGAAACTTCACAAAAGCATTCAAAGATTTCATCGAACTCTGTCTACAAAGAGACCCGAAAGAACGGCCGGTAGCTAGAGATTGCTCAAGCACCCTTTCATCCGAAAGGCGAAGAAAACTAGCTACTTAACAGAGCTAATTGAGCGTTATAATCGATGGAGCGCAACCCATAAGTCGGAGGAAGAGGAAACTGTGGAAGAACGAGAAGATTCGGTTGAGCCAGAACGCGTTAATGAGGATATGTGGGATTTTGGCACTGTCCGACTAGTGAGCGGCCGAGGAGGAATAGTTAACCGACCTGGTTTGAACCCATGGATGAATTACTAGGAATGCCAGGGCATCAAGACCGTTGGAGGCAGACTATGGTGAGAGCCCCAGGGGATCATCACCGACGAAAATTCAAGCCCAAGACTTCGCCAATTCCTCCGTAACCAGCACATTGAAGGCTGCAAACGCCCCGCTATTAGGGACGTCCCGGCAATCTTCGCCTCAGCGGAAACCTGTCCCGGTCGTGACACCCGTATCACCTTCAAAAATTCCATTACCTCCTTCACCACAGAAATACGCACAAGATCCCAGTACTCCACGGCCTTCGAGGCCCACGCCTAATACCAGCATGATATCAGCCGATTATGATCGGGCACTGAAGGATCAAATACAGCAAGATATGGGCGCTCTCAGTATTGCGCCTCCCCAATCTCAAGTTACTCATTCGCAACAGCCTATAACTCCCAAGAATTCTCAAGCCCAGCTGCAGCAGCAACGCGGAATTCCTAGACCCATCCCGTTTACACTTCCAGAAATCCCTCCATATCGTGGACCTAGTGCGCAACAACAGCCTCCACGGGGAGTTAGCAATCAGCATTCTAACCCGGGCTCGCAAGCGTTTGCTTCAAAGGCACAGCCCAAGCAGCAGGCTCCTATGCCAGACGCCTTCCCGCCTCCCGGCCCCACGAACCCGAATGGCGAGCTGGACGCACTGAACGACGTTATCTTCCCGGCTCTCGAGGAAGCCCTTAAGCGACGGCAGATCCGGCTACAGCAGATTTACCGCAACGAAAAAGGTTATTACCCCGCAACGGCAGCGAGCCGAGGCGGCACACGACCGCATCCGCAAGCACGTGTACAAGCTGGCCAACGTGTGTAAGGAGATTGACCGGCTCGACAAGAGCGAGCCCGTGGGTATGGGCAAGGAAGTCGGTACCTTCCTCGAGGGCCTTCTCGAAGAGATCCTCGTTCGAGTCGAGCCACTGGATGAAGATGAAACATAATGATTGGATTGATTAAACGCATGGCTTGGCACGGCACGGAACTATAGGAGTACATTTTATTTCGAGAAAAAAGATATACCCTGCGGAGGGATAACGTGTTGTGTAAGTATATATCTAATAAGGGGGTGCTGGTAGTGATGGTATGTATTAGGCACGGGTCTTCCGTTTTGTACTACTCCTTGCCCGTCCCGGAGCTATACTAGCTAGGCTTGCTTGTATTAGGTTCTAGAATCCCCCGTCCCGTCTGCCCTGGATGCGATGCGAGGTTTGGCATTTATGTTACGAAGGCGTTTAATGGTATTGCCGAAAAGCAGAATAGAAAGGAAAAGGGAAATTATGTTACTTTGTCCTCTGTGCCTCCGACTGAGTTCTCTTCGTCCCCTCCGTTTCCTTCTGCGCATTCCGAAACTTCTTCTCTCTCTCCTTTCACATCCTCAGTGTTGGTGCAATCAGTACTTTGCGTCTCGCTATTGCCGTTGGTATCGCTACTAGAACTCTCAATACGACTGGCGATCCTGCTTCTCGTTCGGTCGCGTAATAATAGCCTTACATGGTCCTCACGCTCGGGCTGCGCCCAATATAGGTAGTCCTGACCGAATAGCCGGCGGTGATCACAGCGATGCTCTTCGAAGACGTCTCGAACCCGCGAGACGTAGTAAGTATAGAGGCGATCGGCCTCGGCGGTCTTGTCAGCGGCCGGCTTGCGCGGCTGTGCCGCATGTACGTATGCTAACTCCCGTAGGTTCCACACGTACGTTTCTCGCAGGGCTCGCCTGGTTTCGTTGTATCGCTGGATCGAATCCATGAGCTATGCGGGTGGGAAAGAGGCGTTAGCAAAATTATTAATAGGGGCCGTGGGGAACGGCCTCGAGAAAATATAGGAGAGAATAAGAGAGAGGGCATACAAAAGCTCTGTAGTGACATTGTGAGGCCGGGCACTCGGCGTGATGCACAAGGTGCTCGTGTAAGCCGGGCGGATAGTATAATGGCTGCCCGTAGTAAGCACTTGCACGTCGAAGGGACATGCTCGTGAACGGGGGGCGGCGCTGCCATGGTGGGTTCTCGATGCCGTTATATCCTCTATTTATCTGCTGCCTGTACGCCGTCGAACTGCTGACGATGGCCGCTGTTGTTGTCAAAGCTGTGATAGCTGCCGCCGCGTATTCGGCCATTGTTGCTGTGTCTTTATTTTGATATACGGACGGCTGGCTAATGATAGGGGTTTAGTGGTAATGAGGTTTGACAGGTTGCATAACGGGTATAAGTCAGACGACCCAATTTCTTGGGGTTTTCAATCTCCTTTTCCCTCACACAGCTTATCTGTATGTTTTGTAACCTTTGCTATAATATATACTTTACGTTCCGGCTGGGTTTATTTCTTCTAGGAGTTACCGAGGAGGGTTGTTGGTGTGTGCCCACAACTCTCAGGTTAGGGATGTCCTACTCAGAAGGGAAGATGGAAAAATGAGAAAGGTATATAAAGTAAACCTATTATCCGAAGGAGATTCTGTCTGAAACGAGTGGCGTTCAGCAGAATTGGTTCTTGCCCATGCTGACGTGCTGCGTTTGGGAGCCATTTAGGTAGGATAGAATGATATAGGTTACTAACTAAGATATGAGGTGGATGCGGAGACCTAGGAGAGTAAGTAATACCTGCTAAGTTTTCAATGAGAAGTAAAGTTTCCCTCTATATACACCTCACTCTTATCGTGTGATCTCCCCTTTTGTGATACGGAAGTGGTTTGGGGTGAAGTTTATAAATAAAAAGGAAAGGAAGCTTGGACCGATAAATCGATGCAATATAGAGCAGTGGCATCTACTAGGAAATATCAAAATAAATCAAGCAAGTGGAGAGGAGTTGCAGTGCTCCGCCTTATTGAAAATTGAAGTCTATGAGTGCCTGAGTTTCACGAAACTTCGTATACCCCTTATTGACAGCACATATTATACATCGCGGTGGTTTTCAGCTTGTTAGTATATATAAGGTAGGTATAGTTTCCTTGTTCTTATTCCTCGACTAATTGTCTTAGTCGTTTTGGATGTTCTTATCAAAACTTCAAAGGTAAGAATATCCTGGCGGTTACTATTAGCAGGAGTTTCCAGCATATAAACTAGTTACAGATTGTCGAAATAATGAAAGTAATCTAATCTTCGTCGTAGTTTCTCGAGGGGATGCTAAGCTAATATAATATCTTCTAAATAGACTCATGACTATCTGTTTGAAAGAGGGATAGAACTTTACTCTTTTAAGAAAATATTCCTTCAGTCGAATAATCCTTGCTTTGGAACGTTACATGTGAATACCTACATGTAAGTACACAAAAGTGCGGGTTTGAGGTACGTACCTAAAAGTTATGCATTCTGCGATCAGATCAGATAAGATATAGCGCCACATATACCCGCATTTACGTGCATAATGTGGCTAGAGAGCCACCAACCTAGAAAAAAAACCTGTAGCACCTGGCATTAAACGTGGTGAAGTACCAAAGTACCATCGGAATTAAAGGGTGTTTTCAAACGAACCGTGCTCTCTTTTTTTCTCTTGCCCCCGTTCACCCGATCGGAATGCCACGGCTTGCCCATTCTCCCTCCCACCAACCAGCACTAAGCCTAGCCTACCAAGGACCTATCCACCAAGCTTTTTACCACCTGCGCCATTTGCAAGTCCTCGCATCACTGATTCCCTTTCCTTGAGCACTTCCGACGCATCACTCCCTTTTAATAAGGCTACATACCAATTTTCCAACCCACGATGTTGTCGCGAAACTCTGCCAGAGCTGCCCAGGTACATATATCTCCAATTTGCTGAGCCCAATGGCTCGAGCTTCCCTCTACCTTTCACATGCCCTTTTTTCGGTAAGACGATAATTCGGCTAACGCTCTTCTCCCGCAGCGCCTGGCGCGAACAGCCACCCGTCAACAATCGCACATCCAAAATGCTTCGCGATCTTTTGCGACGGTCCAATCCGACATTTTCAAGCCTACGAAGTATGGCGGAAAATACACTGTTACCCTCATTCCCGGTGACGGTATTGGTGCCGAGGTAGCTGAGAGTGTCAAGACTGTTTTCAAGGCCGACAGCGTGCCCATTGATTGGGAGCAAGTCGATGTCTCTGGTGTGGAAAGTGGTTCGCCTGGTAGCCTCGAGGAAATGTTCCGCGAATCTGTCGCTTCCCTCAAGAGGAACAAGCTGGCATTGAAGGGTATCCTCCACACGCCTATCAGCAGATCAGGACATCAGAGTTTCAACGTCGCTCTGCGACAAGAGCTTGACATCTATGCCTCTATCTCGCTCATCAAGAACATCCCTGGCTACAACACCCGTCATAAGGATGTCGATCTATGCATTATCCGAGAAAACACCGAGGGTGAATACAGCGGCTTGGAGCACCAGAGTGTACCGGGCGTCGTCGAGTCCCTCAAGATCATTACCCGTGCTAAGTCGGAGCGAATTGCCAAGTTCGCTTTCTCCTTTGCGCTAGCCAACAACCGCAAGAAGGTCACTTGTATTCACAAGGCAAACATCATGAAGTTGGCTGACGGTCTCTTCCGAAGCACCTTCCAGAAGACTGCTGCCGAATACCCTACCCTCGAGACTAACGACATGATTGTCGACAACGCTAGCATGCAGTGCGTGTCGCGACCCCAGCAATTCGACGTCATGGTTATGCCCAACCTGTACGGTGGTATCTTGTCCAACATCGGTGCCGCTCTCGTCGGTGGTCCTGGTATCGTTCCCGGCTGCAACATGGGTCGTGATGTTGCTGTCTTCGAGCCTGGTTGCCGACACGTCGGTCTCGATATCAAGGGCAAGGACCAAGCCAACCCTACTGCTCTTCTTCTCTCTGCATCTATGCTGCTCCGCCACCTGGGTCTTGACGACCACGCTAACCGCATCTCCAAGGCCGTTTATGGTGTGATTGCCGAAGGGTAAGTTTCTCTTGGAATAAGTTATGATTATTAGTGCTAACTAGTTCCACAGCAAGTACCGCACCCGCGACATGGGTGGTGATTCCACTACTCACGAATTCACCCGTGCCATCCTAGACAAGATGGACACCTTGTAAACAAACCCATTTCTATAACTTTACACCTAAACCCGAAAACTACGGCCTACTTCCTACGTGTTGCTCTGATAGATACCTAGAGGATAGGGAGAACGATAGCATGACTACATGGAGTCACGGAAGGCGACGTTGGAGAGTCCTAAATATGTACTGTACGTAGATTAGGATATGATTTGCATCGAATAAATTTCATTGTTTTAAATTTTGTTGATCCTTTTACATTCACATGTTTAAGGACGGAATCAACGCCTATCATTAGATTTGTGGCTGAACTCTACAGTCTGTGGCTAGGGTTAAGCCACATCAATGGAACTGTGGGCTTCCACAGCATAAGGTTGTTTATTTATCACGTGATCTTTGCAACGTCTTATAAGTTACAGAGTGAGAGACATTTCAAAATCATCGGATTTTTATTAATGTACCGGAAACTAAACACACTGAGATGCAGCAATTATTATTACATGATGGGTGTATACGAAAAATATAATAACATAAGGACTAAAAGTAGGGATGGAGAACCACTTGAATTGGCTATGGAACGTAAAACACTTATGCGCACTCAGCAAGCGTGCTAAGTGTTTTCTAAAAACAAGCCGAACATAGAAGCATTAATCACAAAAGGTCCCCTCATGTGTAACACGTAATCTCCTGTGCTGAGCAATCGAACTTTAACGGCCGATTAGGTGGGAGTATCTTCCCCATCATTCTGACGCGCTGCTTCCGCTGCTTCAGCCGCTTCATCGCGTGCATCAATCTCGGCTTCTATGTCTTCATGGAGGTTATAAATATCCCGCAAGGTTCTTTCCTCAACCGGGAAGATCAAATCGTTAGAACTGGTATCTTGCAGATCAACGATTTCGCCTGACAAGGGGCTTCGAATCTCCTCGTTGCCTTCGAAGTCGATGTCGCGTAAGAGGATGCGACCTGAGGCAAAGGTCTGTCGGTTCGATCCGACTTCGATAACCATAAGCTGCAGCGGTTCGTCCCGGCGGTTGCCGCTGAACACGGCCCGATCATCTTCCTAAGTGTCTCGGCGACGTCGGTCCAGCGACAACCCCTTGACTTTTGCTAGCTCCTTGACAAGCCTTTCCTTATGGTCTCGTAGGAAATTCAGTGCGTGATGCACGATGGTGAGGTTGCGCGGTGTAGATAGAACAAGGTACTTCTTTACCTTTACTCCATCGCATTCCCATCGCAAGCCGCTCCCAACCCACTGTCTGTTTTCTTTTCGCGCAAAGTACCAGTCAGGAGGGTCGGCACCAAAGCCGTTATACGTGAGGTTGAACTGGAGGTTCCAGTTATATCTATCCCAAGTAGCCTCAATCTTCTGTTCCAAGTAGTTCTGAGGCGTTAATGAGCCTCTCTCTTCTTCGATTGGAGTCGAGCCAACTTGTTGCAGTCTTCGTCGCGTGGTTCTACTGTGGAAGAGGGGAGGAGTTGCAGGTTTCTCAATTGCTGACTGACAAGGAGCTCTAGGCGATGCATAAGTATGGTCCGGATCATCTGTCTTTGATAGCTCCAAAGCCGTTTGGACAGCGTTCTTGCACTGTTCTTGATGTACCCTCATCGCGTCAAATCGAACCAGCCATTGTTGGAGTGTTAGGCGGCGCTTTTCCAGCCATGATGAATCTCCTGTATCTTGGTACGTCTCAAAGAGCTCCTGACAATGAGTGAGGACATCGTGGGTATGGCGGGTGTTTAGTTCTTCAATTGTGAAGAATTCGTCGTGATTGGGGACCGGTATTAGGATGCGACACCATTCTTCACCGCGCTATTGAAGATGCGTTAGCATTTGTGTTCATTATTGTGGCTGGTTGTCAGCAAATTAACTCACTAGATCGCCTGCAGATGCAGCTTGGGGAGACTGAAGTGCTCGTGATGATGCCATATTTCTATCGAATCTTAGAAGTGATTTTGTTATTGCTTAAGTCTATAGCTTCGGAAGGTCAGTAAGAATGGTGCGAACGTAGAAAGTTAAATACGAAGTAAAGAACCATTCTTTACTACATGCGTGTAGGTAGATAATCAATAGTCACGAAACATTTTGCTATTGTGTTTGTTATGATATATTTGCCTGCATAAAATACATGTATGTTCAGGGCAACCGTTTCTCACATAAGGTACTGTATGCTACTTAGGTACCTACAGTTTGCATTACTCGAGTGCCTCTTCAACATGACCACCTATTTACATAATTAAAATGGGGTTATAATCCGATCTTGCATCAATATTCACCTTTAACTCCTTTTACTAGTCTTCATAGCTATGCTAACCATTTATGTAAGTACTTACTTATAACTTATAGCTGAAACTTAAGCCTTACCATATCCGGGTAGAATCGACACTGCACATTAGCTGTATTAGTATTATCTGACATATAAGAAATGGAAATAAAAGTTTAGCATTTGCTGTATGGTTACCCATCCATTGTTAAGCGGCTCAATGAACATCACGTGACCTTCGCAACGTCTTATAAGTTGTAAGAACGTGAAATTACAAGAATTTTTTCATTACTGTACCAAAAACTAAAATTAAGGCGATATAGATAGTTAATTTTATCCAAGCCAGATAATAAAAGTTTATCTTTTCTAAAACCCAAATGTAACCGGTCTCTCAACTTCCAGCTTCGACAAAGCTGTCTCGCAAAAGCTTTCCGGTTAAACAAGACAGGTAGACACTTATACAAGTACATTCAGTAAACATTCCAACCCTGCTGTCAAAGTCCTTAAAAAGACGACATAGTCATAGCTGGCGATTCATCCTCAAAACGCGTAGGAGTGGTCATCAATTCAAGGCCACAATATCCTTCGGAATCATTGTCGTAACTTAACGTTGTCTAGCTGCACTCTTTCCTTCGACGTAGCTTATGAGAAACTCGCGAAGAAGGTGAAGATCTCTCAAGGTCTTCTCTTCAATTGAGAAGATCATGTCGTCGACGCTAATTCCACCAGGATGGATTCTTGTATTGGAAAGGGGACATATGACTTCCTCGTCACCATCGGGATTGATATCACGGAGGAGAATACGACCAGAGCTAACTGTCACTTCATTTGAACCCGCGGGAATGATATGAAGTAGTAGATCTTTTTCCTTGAAGGTGTTGCTAGAAAAGTGCCGAGTGTCTTCCTAGAAATCTCGCTCGTGATTCTTCAACGACTGGTTCTTAGCTTGGGCTAGTTTGTGGATTAAGGTATTCTTATGGGCCCTCAAGTAGTTGTGTGCTTGGTGAATAATATTGGCATTTCAGCGCGTACCCAGAACGATATTTGTCTTAACGTCGACGCCTTTGGCTGGCACTTTCCAATCGCCCACGATCCACTCGCCCTGTACTTTTCGTGCGAAGTGCCATTCAGGTGCCGAGTATGTTGAGATACCAGCATACAAGAGAGTGAAACGAAGCTTGTGCTGTCTATGCCAGGACATCGAGATTTTCTTTTACAAACATAGTGGCAACGGAGTGACCACCTCTTCTTTGACTTGATGGGGGGTGTAATCTCGACGGATGATTGTTGTATCTTGAGTAGAGGCAACAGGTGCTACTGGACTTATAACCGCTTCGTGATTGTTGGTAAATGAAGTGGTATTGTTCGACGGGACTACCTGTAGAGGATCTAATGTTGCTTGAAGAGCATTCCTGCATTGTGTCTGATGTATAGCGAAGGCATCGAATAGACTAATGTAATTCTCGAGTGTCGCCCGATATTTATCTAGCCAGGTTTTATCGCCCGTATCATGATAGGCTTGAATAAGGCCTTGAGATTGCTCAATAATGTGCCGAGTATGTCGGCTAATCGTTTTCTCCATCATATGAAACTCATCTTTGATCGGCGTAGGTGCAGGTATCAGAACTACTGAATGCTCCTCTAGTTGACTCTACAATAATAGGTTAAGTTTTATTCACAGTAACTAGGTTGAAAGAGGTTGACAAGTTTCTTACTTGGTTCCCTCCGGATGCAAGGTGAGGGAAGTGTTGCTCCCCCACAAACGCCATTTTGCTAGGTTTCTTCCTCTAGATACCTATGGTGTATAAAAATTTCAAGAAATTTTGTCTTGATGCAGATGGGGTGAAATAAGACGTTGTGTTTTTGAAGAAAACAAAAGAAATAAAATTCTAAGGTCGTGACATGCTAATCCACTAAAGAGTAGGTCTAGAGTAACCGTTGCTAGGGGTTTCTCAGTAGTTAGAATCTAAATACCACTGCATTTATTAGAAAGCACATCTTCCAAAGTGAAACTCGGCGTATAAGGTGACCAAACACTGAAATATAAAAAATAAACCTTTAAGTGTACCTTCTAATGTACCTACAATACGCATTTACCCTCAGGCACCGACCAAGTTTACTCGTGCCGTAGAAATAGAATTCAGGTTTTTAACACCTGTGAGGTAGCTACTGCGTTATGTACCTTAAGTACAGATTCCAAACCGAGGCTACCTATGATTTAGGTACTAACTATATGCAGCTTCAATTTTCGAAATATTTACATGATCACTGCAAAGTGCTATAGCGTATTTTGAGTCGAAATTGATGCTAATCCCTAAGCAAGACTATTAGAATACGGGTATCTTCATTACGGGAGGCTGTGAGAAAATTATGTAGGCATAAGTCATAAGAAAATAGCAGGTTCAAAATAGGGGGTGTTGGATAAATGAATGAAATGGGAATTTTTGTCCAGAGAACGATTTGCAAGTACATAGGTACGTTATCGAGTATCTTCTGTTTTCTTAAGCGAGAAAATACAAACCTTAAAAGCTTAGGTACAGTTAGGTAACATATATAGGTAGATAGCAGTGCATCAATTAATCGGGATGGTGCCCCTAGGCGCCTTGGAGTCCTGGGAGTAAAAACGGGGTGGCGTAGTTGGGAGCACCGGGCTTCCTATCCCTTTGGGAACTTGCCATTTTCAGGTTTTTCGCGGAGGGGGCCTGTTCGAACCGGCGGATAACAGGCTCCAGCCGACTTTTTGCACTTTTTATCCTTTTTTTATTTTTATTTTTCAATTTTTCATTCCCTTTTCTTTTTTAGAAAGTATTTTGGTGGATTTGCCTACCTGTCGCAAGAATTTGCAACCCTCCACGCAACCAACCCAGGTGTCTCTAGATATTCCAAGTAAATTCACCAAGGTCAGTAATCTCGAGTATAAATCCGTTGCATTTTCAAAAGCGCTCATTTATTCCATGATGAAACAGACCATCTATAATTAAATAGGAATGCGGTCACCTAATATATGATCTTGCTAATATTATGGCAAATAGCTTGATTAAAGGAATAATACCACATTTTGTAGGATCTGACCCTACCCTATTAGAAAAAGCATAATACTAGGTATTTTTGTTTTATTTTATCATAGATCATAAGCTGCTCTCGAAATAGAATAACCCGAAGCACTGTAGGACTAAAATCTCAACTCATTCCTCCCCCCCTTCACGTCTACGGAGTATTTTCGACACTTAGTTCATCTGCCCTTCGATTTAGTCGTTGACTTGCTGTTGCATAGAAGAAAAGATAGAAATATTGATGTTGCCTTAGTAAGATGAATCCCTGTACTTTGGTTTCTAATTGTAGAGTGGCGTCTACACCCAAAACTCCCCTTAATTCTCGCTCATTTGGTCTCCAGTCAATTACCCATTGAGTGACGACGAGGACCTTTACGACACAGCTAGCCTCAACAATCATCCTAGCCATTACACGCAGGAATTCATCCCTCTGTATCTCTTCGCATGCGTCTAAGCGGTCAATTATCAGTGTAATAGTTTCTTCTTGATGGAATATCTTAATTGTGTCGTATAGCAGTCGGCTAAGTACGTCGATGCTTTTATCGTCTTCGACATCGGTACCAGCCATGGGTCGATCAGAACCCAAATGAGCGAATTCCTCGGCATCTGACGTTAGAGCTAGCTTATGTGGCTCTAAGAAGTTCTGTCCTCTACGCCTAATTAGCTGAGCAACGATAATGGGTATTGCTACGCTGAGGGATCTTCGGTTCGGTCGGCCAAAGAGGAAGAACGCATGCGGCGTTTCCGCTTCTCGCTCTTTATCGGAAGCGCCGAGTGCTAGAGGAGATAGCCAACAGTGACGCTTTATCGCCGCTATATTAGTGTTGCTGACCCCAGTGAGGATGAGCATCGAAGAGTTTCCGTTCGCTGACCACTGGGAAATAATGTCACCGAGTCCTGAATTCCTGATATTCGTATATGTAATTTGCTCGTATACCCCTTGCTCGTAATAAGCTTCATCTTGAAGGCTGAGACGATAGGATGCCAATTCTTCCGTCTCGAAGAGAGCTAATGACCAAGCGGGAATACCCAAGAGTTCCTGGAGCCGGGAAATGTAGTTATGCGCATCACCTTGAAGAAGTACTAGTTTCCGAATAGTTAGTAAGGTGACATTTGTGTCTTTATTTATAGGGGGGAAAGATTGAAGGGTATACTTACTATCTATTCTCCGCAGGAGATCTTCGCATGTTAGCAACTAGGTTTTATATAGTAAATCATAGGCTGTAAGATATCTGCCTACCATCATTTTTCTTTTTTATTTGGCTAATATTCAAGTTGATTAACTCCTCGCATCGCAAACGAACAGTAAACACTCGTTCATTCACTCTGTCCGATAGTTCCTTGAATTTCTTTGAATTCAGTATAGTAGTTATCCATCTCCCTGAGTTTGAAGAGGTGAGCAAAGCTAAATTCTCAGATAGGTAGACATTGATAATAGACGCAAGTACTAACGATAACCGTGTCGAAAGTAGTATTTAATTACCTCCATGACCAACTCAATGATTGAGAGGTGAGCGAGCGAGCAGTATGTTTCTTCTTAAGCCATTTTCGAGTATGGTGTCATTACTGTAACACTGCTTTAACATCTCAAATCCTGGCAGTCGGTCTCTTATTCCTTCTAGGGCAGATGATATCTGTTCCTCCATTAAGTGCTTGTTAGAACCGACCTAATAAGTACCTAGTTAGTGTAGGACGAGGCAGAATTTTCACTCTCCGCTAAGAGTGAAAGAGTTTCTAGACTTACTACAAAAAGAATGGTAAGGGTTCCAATTGCAAGTCCAGACCAGGGTTTCCCAAAGTCTTTACACACGTCAAGTGCTGGTTTTATGTCATTCATAAAGGTAAGGACGTGATTTGCGAAGCTTTGAGACTTTTTAACACATCGTCTCCATCCAAAATCATGCTTATTCCGGAATCCATTGTGTGCTTGTCGACAATACCTATCCCAGAAATTCGTAAACTCATCATGGCTAGTGCATCTCAAGGCTTCCTCCTCATATGATGACAATCTTCCATCTTTCTCCAACTTTTGGTGGAACTTGGCCTGTTTTTCCTCGACATCTTTGAGATATCTCTTATCCTCATCTGAGAGATTGTAGTCGCTTACGTCAATCTGAAACTCAATCTCCGAGCGGGTTTGTCTAGGCATTGCTACTGATCACGATAAGCCTAAAAAGAATTCGCGATGAAGTTTTTATTGGATGTGATTGAATTTGTAAGAATACTTTACTAGGGATAAATTCTACTGTTTACCAATACGTACATAACTTTCATGTTTCGGTGAGCCGGTGACACTATTAAATGCATCTTACACTCCCAAACACATCTGGCTCTATCAGTGGCGCAGCTGAGTATCTATGCATGATGCGATTCCAGATGTATCCAATAAGAGAGTTACCGGGCGGGAATTCACGGCTTGAGATCCAGAGCCTGCTGCAACATCTAGCTTTTCTGATAGGAACCGACCAATTATGTGACATATAGGTAGCACCTAATTTCAATATTGTGACCGTAGTTCTGCAAGAATCTTATTTGGGAGAACATGCTTATCCTACCCATATGAGTATAGAAATGGGCTAAATCCATGAACTCTTAATATACTAGCTTCCAGAGTTTATATCTTCATGTCCATTTATCACCGCCCTAAAACATCCAGGATGGCTGAAACTAGAGATGCGAGAAATGTGAGTGATAAAAGGAGGTTAAGTACATATATATACTAAAGTATACCAGCAGGAGGCTCTTATTAAGGAAATCCAGGACCTAACTACGCGATTAGCACGGCTTGAAGCTAAGTGCGCTACGGCGGACAAATTACCCTCGGCAAAAGATGATGATTTGAAAAAAGAAACGGTATGTAAATGCAATAAATTAAATAATACGACATTGTAATCTACAGTATGTGCTCACTTAACCTTAATAAAAGGAACATGATACGGAATCGAAAAAGACACACGAACCCTGGAGAGTGAAATTGGTCACAAACCGTCGGGATCCAAGCTCTCAAAGCGGCGAGAGGAAAGATTTTGAAGAAACTCAGGCTCCGGAGCCAGACAAACTTGACGGCCAAGAAGCTGCTTCTATCCTCAGGCTAGTTATATATGACTCGAAGGATTCAGGGAATGCGGACGGGGGGTATGGCGAATTGGAGATACTGAATCAACGTCTTCGCGAATTGCTCAAAGGGCTTCTTGCACATCATCCTACACATGATTTCTATGGCCAGTCTGTAAAAATCAGATCACCGTATGAGCCTCTTATCATGAACTTGGACCTCCTCATTGAGGAAGCGAAAAGAGATCCTGAGAATGAGGAGGACAACATCGCAAGAAGAGGCCTGGATCAAATCCTCAAACTCCTTCAACAGACCAGTGGTGATATGCAACTAGACGATTATCTGAAAAATAGAGAATCGCTGACTAAATCAAAAAGTATTACGTACGACACTCTATGGACTATTTTTCCCCCGGGGACAATTGTCTATGGCCGTCCTTACTTCAAGAACGACCAAGTATTTATCGTCCAAGATACCGAAGAGTTGTGGCCGAGCGAAAAGGAGTGGTTTATCTTTTGCCTGACTTACGACTGGGACGGACGAGTCTTCAAGCGAAAGCCTATCAGATTGGGTATTCCTAGGTTCCGAGGAACGAAGTCCATCTCTTCTCTTCCGTATTACCCACTATCCGAAGCCAAGGATGCAGAGGAAATCAAGCAATTATTAATTGAACGTGGGAAATTATATCGAAATTTTTGCACTGCAGGTGACGGCGAGAAGCGGTTCAATTATAATGGAGTAGCTATGGCGGATAAGTTCGGGTTTCGAGGCCATAAAGAAAACTGGGTGAATAAAATCTTGGTACTAACAATAATCTAAACTTGCTAACAAAGCTTGAATATTAGGCTTCAGCATTCAAACGCATGATGATGGGCGATCCCGACGATGAAGATACCGAACCAGGACCCAAAGAACTTATCGTATCACCCATCATACCCATATAAAATTTGCATATGTTCTATTCTAACATATTTCCAGGTCAAAGGCGAAGTGATGATCGATTTTGAGTCATATTATCTACATGGTCCACAGTTTAGGCGTATTGGAGACTTATACATAGGTGATGAGTCTGATGAATGCACTTGCTCACAGTGTAGAGATAATATGGCCTTGGCAGAGACATACCATCGTGATTTCGACGAAACAACAGGTACTGGTGATTGGGCCGACTTACAGTTCATGCTCTGCCCTCCAAGAATATTAGGATACATACTCCGCGAGAAGCAATGGGCTCAGCTCTACATTAGGTACATCAAGCCCATCAAAGATAATGACTCTACATTTAAATCAAGCCTTCACCTAAAAGGTGACTCCTATCTCAGCGAAACAGAGATGAAAGATCTATTACTAGATCTAGTCAAGACTCATGGTCAAGGCCAGGTTGCTGATCTGGTACAAGATAAAGGGAAGGGACTCGTAATTCTACTATATGGTGAGTAACTACTCTATTGGATAATGCTTGAAACATATAGAGTGGTATACGCTGACCCTAACATATAGGGAATCCCGGAGTTGGGAAAACATCGACGGGTACACTTGAAAAAAAATGCCACCAATACTACAAGTACTTAGCTAATTTTCATTAGCGGAAACACTGGCCGCTGCAGCAGGTAAAACACTGTTCAGCATCGGAGTAGGAGATGTTGGAACTAAAGCTCAGGATGTCGAGTCCAACCTGAGGAGAATATTCGACCTTGCTACAAAGTGGAAAGCCATTCTATTAATGTATGTTATCTCTCACTGCCAAGATAGTATGCTGACATGAAACATTAGAGACGAGGTAGACGTCTTCGTACAAAGTAGAGGCATTGGTCATCAGGGTCCAACGACAGAGCGAAATGCTCTTGTTTCAGGTAATATACACAAGCATAATATATTTTAGGTACTTCGGTAACAAATTTTGTAATATCATCTAGTCTTTCTTCGTGTTCTTGAATATTTCCAAGGTAAAATTCCCCTCATATTATACCAAATCGTATACACAATTCACTGATGCACCTAAGGTATACTCATATTGACTACGAACCAAATTGCCCTATTCGACGTCGCTGTTCAATCTAGGATACATATCGCGATCAAGTACACCGAATTGGATAAAGCTCAGTCCATCGCGATATTCGTACAACGTTTGAACCTATATAATGATAAGGGGCTTGTGGAAGAATATGACAAGATTGAGCGATTTGGAAGAACGGACCTTTATAAGAAAAGACTTGACGGCCGGCAGTTACGGAACCTCTTGGCCTCGGCCATGGGTCGAGCTCAAGCCCGGCAGAACGGCACCGGTAAAATGAGATTAGACGATATCGAGATAATCATTAGTATCATGACATCGTTTAAAGGGGATCTGGAATACCAGACAAGAAGATACCAAGGTAAATTCACTTAATATTCACTCCTATGACTCTTACTAATCTGCTACAGAAATTCAGCAAGGCGGGCGTTGATTTTAGTAACTTGTCTAGTAGCAAGTCCTACTATTGGAGATGACTAGTAGGACTATCAACTGGGCCGGAAAGACTGATAAATGAGGCCTATGTATACTTTCAAGAGATAGCTGTGGGCTAGCCTTCTAAATAATCAATCATTAATCATTATAGCACTGAATGCTGTAGCCACATGATTTAGCGATACTGATAAAGCAATCTTGCTGGTAGCCAGTTGTTGCGTTATCACCAGCTGATGTTGTAGCCTGAGATAACTAACTCCCTCCTCTATTATCCTTTTTTTTTGTTGGGATATGGTTATGAAAGCGAAAAATAGCGAAGCAACGAGCAGTTCCCAGTATATCTTCCATCGTTTATTACGATACTCTAGATAGAATAAATCAAGTATTTAACTTAATAGCCTGATACGTAGAACGTACATTGTTTATTCAAAATCTAATTGAGTGAACTACAAACACAAAACTGATTATCTGCAAACATTATTCTTTATTGGAGACAAACCTAGCTATGAAGATAGTCAATCATGTTCACTTGGTTTACCTTACGTGCGTGATTAAGGTGGTCTGTCCCAAGAGCCTTTCGTATTAATATGCAATCTTTATCACTCTAGGTCTACCAACCAGAGATTCATAGAATTATTAATACCTCAGGAATCCTGAGCATAGGTAGATCCGTACAATGATTTCGTATCAATCATGTAATCACTCAAGTCATTCGGCAAGAAGGAGCAGGCGCAACTCTGTCCTCTATTATTCACAGTGGATTCTCCCGCAGTTTTATTGGTATGTGCATCCCATGTCCCTAGAATTAGAGCCGCAGGGGTTAATAAGAATTCTAGCCCCTTGTTCACAAAATTGAGCTTCCCGAGGGGTTATCTCAGGACTTCGTACTGTATTGCGCTACACTATTATTTATCTACTTAGAGGCCTAGCTACAGTAAACATTGGATCGATAAAGCAATAATGCTGGTCTGCTAGTCACCTATTGGCGTGAACAGTATGGTGTAATCATTTTACTGTGACCAGTGCCTAGCTGTGAGTTTAGACGAGATATTTAGCACAGTAACCAATCAGAAGAGCTAGAAATGGCTTCTCAATGACCAATTTATATCATCCGAACAATAGGAAAAATTATCTACCAGACATGACCTTGGTGAATATTTAGAATTGATATCTGCTCAAGCAGTGACCTATATACTACCAGCCCGGTGACTCTTACAGCTTCTTGTCCCCTCTACCACCCCATCCCCTATCGCAAAATCGTCGTCTAAGAGCTTTCCAAGACTCCTCTTTCCTGTGCCCGAATTAAAAGAAAAAGAAAAAAAAAGCCATTAGCACGTTCCACCAGGAAAGAGCACTAGCAGATAATAAATTTCTACTCCTCCTTGTTAATTCCTTGATATGAACTGATCCTAGCATTGGCCCAGAGAATTTCTAGAACCACAGCAGCGACCTTAACAGTCCACGGGCTACCTATAATCATCACCAATTCGGAGACTGATTAGGTATCATAATTATTCCAAAAACTTTAGTAGCTCTTTAGCAACAGCAATTCTTATCGACAGACAGAAGATACCTTCAGTAGCTGACACCCTTAGCGGCTCATACTCCCAGCGGACTTCGTGCCTGCCTTATCTAGACAGTATCGGGTCTTTCCCCTATATCCTCTTCAAAGGCGATCATCTAGACGCGTAAAGCTCTCACACATATCCATACACAGAGCACAGGATAGGTCATCGCTGCTTCCAAGTATAATCGCTGTTTGTTGCAACACCAACAGAAGATCACAAAGCTTCCGGTCGCTCTTTCACCTGGCAGACAGCTTCTTCAGCCCAGAAGGGGAAGACCGATACTGACCTTCACCGGCCCTAGATCTCTAGTAAGTATGCTCCTTCCCTCGTCGCCTACCATCTTGTCTATCTTGTCTCCTTGCAATTAGTTGAGAGGCCAAATATTTGCCCTTCAGCACAATACCCATTATCCATCATCCCGAGATAATACAAGCCCAACAAGAACTACACCAAGCTGCAAGTCTATCCCTACGGCTAGCCTAATCATCATACTCCTTCCCATACTCCTTCCCCATACCCCCCCTTCCCAATCCTGCTCATACAGTGCAACTCGCCTATAAATATCTACACTATTCACAACAAGAACCTTGTTGGGATAGTACGATGACCCACCGTGCTTTCTGCAAAGGCGATCACATACCCTTAACACCTATAAATATACCCTCTCCAGTTCCCTTTTCTAACGAAGTCCAATCCCCAGTCTTCCCAGTCGAAACCGCCAAGATGTGCTTCGTCGAATACGTCGGCTACACCTGCGGACACACCAGCGTCCCGGTCATGCGGCCCTGCCCCATGACCACGCAGATGCACAACAACCCCTGCTGTCCGCGCCCGGCGTGCCGCCCCATGCTCTCCGCGACCATGTGTCCGGCCTGCGGACGCATTCTCCACGGCCGGTACATCGACATCATCGAATATGAGCACCGATTCATGCACGAACGCGGGGCCTGTAGCTGCAGCATCCGGTTTCCGCACCTGCAACAGCCGCGCATGGTCACCCACAGCGGAAGTGACTACGGCCCCACTTTCGGCATTGCCGAGCCCTCGGTACCCAGCTTCCCGGCAACTGCGCAGATGGACGGTTCCCAATTCTCCTTCTCTCCGTCAGCCGCGGCCTTCACACCGTCTATTGACCCGAGCCCATACTCGGAATTTGCACAGCCATCGACCTCCAACGCTGCTAACATTGCAACAACAACTCTTCCTGCCAGCATGGCTAATATCAACATTAGCACACCCTCCGACATTCGCAGCGCTAGCCCCGAGATTCCTAGCCGACAGCGCCCCGGAAAGGGCAAGCGATGGAAGGGCAAAGGTCGTGGGGATCAGTCCTTCTACCAGAACAATCGCCAGCGTCGTCGCGCCTCAAGCTCCGGCACGCCCCGCAATGGCCCCGGACTACCGCCCCTATTCGAGGAAAAGGAGAACAACTCCTCTAGACGCCTCAGCGTATCGGTCCGTATGCTAAGTCTCTTCGGCGCCGAGTGGACACGTGACCATGCCGAGCTACACCGAGCCGGTCGCTGCTCATGTGACATTACGTTTGATCGCTATACCGGCCACGAGGAAATGCGTGAAGAAATTTCCGCTGCTGCGACTGCTGCTAGGAGCAACAACGACAGCAACAACAGCGATGGTATGCCCGCAATTCAGTATGGCCCGAACGACGCTCGTCGATACGCCAACGATGGCGAGAGCGCGAACACCTTGCCCACGTACAACTACAACGGCAGCAATGGTGCCAGCGCCTCCGGCTACCAGAGCCCCGGCGTATCAAGCTTCGCGCCTAGCTTTCAACCACCTATGGATCAGACAACGCCGCCGTATCTGCACATCTCCAACACAGTCCATCAATACTGGACTCCCCACAACGCGCAATCCGCACCTATCACTCCCGTCGCTCCTGGTCAACCTGCCCGTTGGGCTTGTAGCCCCTATGACACATCTGCGATGCAGGGCCACGGACAACAGCCCCAGCCCCAGCAACAGTATGGTTACACCGCCAACACACCCGGAGCTCCGTTTTTCCCCAGCGCTATTAGCCACCCCGTCGACATGCAGACCATTTACTACGAACCACAAGGTACCCCTATTGTTGGACTGCCCGTTGGCGCGGGTCCCGAAGGTGACTCTCACATGCCTCCCTTCGAGAACTGTGAGCTGTACTACCCCAAGCTTTCTCCGGAGCAGCGCCCGGCATCTCACTAAAGATATCAAAGATATCAGAGATATCAGATCTCACAGATCATCTTAACATCCGACACCATATTGTCGTGATCTGCACCTGCATATGAGCTTTCGCCATTTCGGCAATATACCTACTTGCTGCAATGTTGCTTGACATAAGAACGATAAACTAGTGGCAATTTTCACTGAACAGATCGTCTAGAGAGGAGACAAAACTCACAAAGAGAGAAGAGGGAAGGATGAAACATAAAAGAAGAAAAAAAAAATTTTTCTCACGAAATTTTCATATCCATATTTACTAAATCAGTACGATGCTTCGATGCTATATGCGTTATGCGAGACACGTCACCAGTGACCTCGTCGACTATCGTACAAGCGAAAACGATGTCTATGATTTGCACCGCGAAATGTCTTTTTTTTTAAGAGTTTAGCCTTCTTCGTAGGCCTATCACCTATCTACTTCACCTGTTTCATTCGAATGCGTTAGTATCTAAATTCTTCAGGTTTCTAGAGCATTGATTGTACTTACCGAACACCAGATCCATCGTACCGATGATCGCTACAGCATCAGCGATCAGATGCCCTCTAGCGACTTGATCGAAGCCGCCCAAGTGCGCAAAACCAGGCGCACGGATGTGACACCGGTATGGCCTCTCGCTTCCGTCGCTCACCAGATACACACCCATCTCTCCCTTCGGCGCCTCAATGGCAGCATAAGTCTCGCCAGGAGGTACAGCGTAACCCTTGGTGTAAAGCAGGAAGTGGTGGATAAGGGCCTCCATGTTCTCCTTCATGGCTGCTCGCGGGGGTGGCGATACCTTGTAATCCTCAACTCGGACAGGACCGGCTGGCATCTTGTTCAGGCACTGGTGGATAATTCGGAGAGATTGGCGGAACTCCTCCATTCGGCATAGGTATCGGTCGTAGCAGTCACCGTTGACTCCAACGGGAACATCAAACTCAACTTGATCGTATGCGTCATATGGCTGACTCTTACGTACATCCCACGGTATACCTGAACCTCGCAGCATGACGCCAGTGAAAGAAAGGCTAAGAGCTTCCTCGGCGGAAACCACACCGACACCCTTTAATCTCTGGATCCAGATTCGGTTATCTGTTAGCATTTCCTCGGTCTCGTCGATTCGGTCGCCAAATTGCGTCGCCCATTGGTAGATGTCGTCTAAAAGGCCGAATGGAATATCCTGGTGAACACCGCCGGGTCTGACATATGCGGCATGCATACGGGCTCCAGATACACGTTCGTAGAATTCCTATAAGGAGAGATTTCCATTAGTCCTAAAATTTTCCTATTTTCGTTGTACTACTTAGATCATATATGGTAGAATAAACTCACCATCAACTTCTCTCGTTCTTCGAAACCCCATAAGAAAGGTGTTAAAGCGCCCACGTCCATGGCATGTGATAGAACGGACATAAGATGATTTAGAACTCTTGTAATTTCTCCAAATAAAGTTCGAATGAACTTGGCTCGCTCCGGGATTTCTACGTTTAGTAATTTCTCGACAGCGAGGGTGAAGCATTGCTCGTTGGTCATCATAGAGACGTAATCTAATCGGTCGAAGTACGGTAGGGCCTGCAAGTAGGTCTTGTACTCGATCAACTTCTCCGTTCCTCTGTGAAGTAGTCCGACGTGGGGGTCGGATCGAATGATCTCCTCTCCGCTCAGCTCTAGAATTAACCGTAGCACACCGTGGGCAGCAGGATGCTGAGGACCAAAGTTGACTGTGTAGTGACGGACCTTCCGATCAGTTATGCTTCCTTCGCGGGAGGCCTCGACGGAGCCATCCTGATTTTGAAGACGTTGTACGCCATAAGGATCCGAGGGGTGGGCGAAATCGGGATCGACGGGTTGAAGGGTGGTGCGCTGGTTAGGTAACTCGTTGGCCTTGCGCAGAGAAGTCTGCGATAAGGCGCGTATTGCTGGCTTTATTGTTGGCTTCGCAAGCTGCAGACGTCTGGCGCCGCAGCCGACAATGCGATATAGCGACGCCATCTGCGTTATGTGATGGCCAATTGGTATATTAGGGGATTTGATAATGGAGCTTTTAGGTACTTAGCGACAATTCTCGGAAGTTGAGGTCAATACTTACAATTAATGTCCTTGTCATTGGATCGCCCTATCATTTATCCGCCCCACTATATGTACTTTTGTATGTATAATGAATGTTAGGTAACACTACGTCAGGTGGTTCCGTTTCTATCTTTTACCAGTTTAATCTAACGTTATTAACTGTAACCATGACACAGGTAGCTAATACCGTAACAGCTCCTATATATATTATTTCTACTTTTAAGTCGATACCTAAACCAGAGTTTTCATATACGATCAAGAAAATATATGCACTACAACCCGAGGAAGAAATAATAAAGCTACTATCACGATAATCCATCGTTGTTAAAATATGTTTGCGTGTAGCTCCATGGCTAGGAACTCGTCTATATAAATTAGTTGGTGAACGACTCGATCGGTTTACCCTCCCGAGTTCCTAAGAAAAAATCTAAGTAGCATCAAATATTATCATGAGAAGAATCTGTCGCTTTCCACTTCCACCCATCTAGGCATAAAAAGCATAAGAAATTAGGTCCCCTTAGCAAGATTGTCGAAGTACGTCTTCCTCGCCGCTTCGATAAGCTTGCTAACCTCGTCTGCTGGAATCTTCTCCCTCCTGTCGAATGAGTATAAGCCGTTGACTTCCTGCTCGACGTCGGACCTAAATCAGTCAATCATTAGCAATCCTCACCCTCATACCGGATCACCTCCCCGGTTTAATAAGTTTGTAGCGACGACTTACAGCTGAGTATACACAAATCCACAAATATGCCCCCCCTGAACAACTGCCTGCATCAAAGCCTCAAGACGTTTTAGTAAATCCTTCGGATCGCTCGCAGTCGTGTAACCCCAATCCCCATCTCCGCTTTCCGCCCCCTTCCTGGGCGCAATGTTGACGCCGCCGAACTCGGTACATATGACAGGAGCACCCTCCCTATGCTTGGTCCCGCTGTCGGTTCTCCCGTCTTTAAGTGTTAGTGGCCCGACAAAGAAGTCACGGTCGGCAAGCTTCTTCCCTAGAATGCCTTCTAGAGTGGCACAAGTCTTAGATAGGTCTGGGGCGTCTGAGTAGTCGTGGAATGTGCTTAGGTCTGTTATGACGTGTTCCCAGCCGCAGTTGTCGTTGACGGGGCGCGTTGGGTCGAGCGTCCTACGATTTGTCAGTATTTGAATTACCTGAATCTGCTTAGTTCTTACTTTGTGATATGGTAGAGCGACCGAATATGATTTCGTTGGTCTATGTTGTCTTTCAAGTTGGGATAGGCCCAGCTTTCCTGTTACAAGTTAATATCTCATCCGAAATGCTTCTAATCTGCCGATTACACATCCACTCTGACCCCAAATAGAATCGAGAACTGGTGAGTATACACATGTAAGAGATATAGAAACGTACTACGAACATGTTAGCTCATATTTATATAGTGAAAACACTCGATGTAGACCTAATATAGGCATAAGACTCATTTCATACATACCATTAACAGGAGTCCAAGTCACAATCGAGGGGTGGTTAATATCCCTCTTCACAGCCTCTACCCATTCTTGGCTAAATCTTTCAGCGTAGTCTTCGTTGAACTCGTATGCGTTTGCCATCTCACCCCAGACGAGGAACCCCAGCCTATCAGCCCAGTACAGGAAACTGGATCCTCGACCTTTTGGTGTTTTCGGCACCCGTTAAAGCCCATCTTCTTCGTCAGCTCAATGTCCAATCGTAGACTATCAGGTGACGGCGGTGTGAGGCCCGTCTCGGGCCAGTAGCCTTGGTCGAGGGTCAGCGCTTGGAAGAGTGGCTTGTCGTTCAACCTGAGGGTTCTGTCGCCTCGGTTCCAGTCGATGCTTCGAAATCCAGTGTACGTCTTGACTTCATCGATAAGCTTGTCCTCTGAGTCATATAATCGAATAGATAGATCGTATAGAGTTGGGTGGTCCGGCGACCACAAGCTAAAGTACCTCGCCAGGAGTGGCTATCATAGTAGGGGGCGTCCTGGGCAAGGGTCGGCGGTGCGTTTGACTTCTGATCGTCGCTCAGAGATAAGCCGAGGTTAATAGAAACATAGTCCTTGTCGCTAGGTAGGTTTTCTTTCGTCTTGGCTACGCTGACACTGTAAAGATAACCCTCGATCTCAACACTATACCCATGACCAGCTCTCCGTCCCAGAACGGCCACTGTAGCTTCTAGCAGGCCTTCAGAAATGTTATTGGACTTTAATATTGTGCCCGCCCTACTGTCGCCAATCCGTATCCGTGGTAAAACTTCCAACCAAACCGGTTGCCATATCCCACTAGTAGGCTTGTAGAAAATAGACTCTGGCTTTGGCGCCCAATATTGCTTACCTACCTAGTATTAGTGTTTTGATAGCAGAACCTCAAAGGTCGAGAAATATATATTTCTATTATCTGACCAATACGTTCTCATACATACCACGAGGCTGAGCAAGGTCATGCGGCGAGTCGCGAATGCGCAAGATGAGGTTCAATTCCCCCTTACCGATATTCTTCCAAGCATTTGCCAGAGCATCAGTAATGTCTACGTCAAAAGGTACGTGTCCGCCCCGGTGCTGGCCTACGGATATCCCGAAGCCCAGATCGTCACATCGTAATCCACGGCGCCAAAGCGAGCCAGGACTATATCCCCAGCTTCTATCTCAGCTTTTTCGCGTGGATCAACGACTTTATTCTCGTACCATAAAACCTCGTGAGCATTGTTGTCAAAGACACCGGACGCGGGTGTTTGAAAGGCGAAGGGCACATTAATGGGCTTTTTAACATGCTCACGAGTCTGGCTTTTCGGGGCCTGAAATCCTTTCTCCTTGAGTTCGGGGAATGCAGCCAGCTTTTGGGCTTCAGCTTCGCTGATTAGGTTAGAAGAAGGCGTGACAGACACTTTGTCTGGGACACCATTAAATCTGCCATGCCTCCTTCAGCCCAACATCGTCGTCGTCGAAGAGTATCGACCACCCCTCATTAAGGGGTGTCCATCTGTGATTGCCGTGAACGAAATCGGGTCGGGGGTAAAAGTCTTTCGAGTTGTAAGCCATTTTCTGCACGGATTACTCTGTATCTAGTTAAGGGAATCAAACGAGGGAATACTCGGGGAATATCAGTTGAGAATTCTCTATGTACCTGCGAGGAAAATCACTGGGTTCTAACGTGTCCATCCCACGATATCGGCCCTGTTGTGGTCCATTTCTTTGAAACGTGAGGAGAAAGATTGACGTCACGGTGTGCACCAATGATACCTGGTGTAATTTGAGAAAATTGGACTTGAGCTGCATATTCTGCATGTTGTAACTTGAGTATTGGAGAGAGTATTTTGTGCTCCTCTTCCACATATAGACGTAAGGAAGTAGATCGTTTGCTAGTTTTTGGGTGAATCCCTGTCAACAATAGATCGGTTATAGACGGAAAGTTATTTAGTTTAGTTATTCTTTTATAATAAATACACTACATCATAGGTTCAACAGGATCCAGTTTAAATTCTAACGCGACAGAGTGACAGAGTGACAGGGTCGAGTATAGCTGACACCGTAGTTGACTGATGGTAGTCGACTAAGTGAACAATTCCCTAGGACATTTTACTTTATTAATCTACGTCTTCATCAACTCGTTTGCTAGCCCATATCTCATACCCAATTTTCAGAACACTTATTCATCGTTAAAAAAACACCAGTGGGTATTGGCATATTGCTCAACTATATCACCCCCACCGCTAAAATACCAGGCTGGGGATATTTATCCTTCTTAACATCCTCCCCTGCGAAGTTCACGCAACACCAGTGACGCGTCTCACGCTCCTCCTCGCACCCTCGCCACTGATCATGACAGATCCCTCCATTTCGAGCGCTCTCATAGTCTCGGCAAAATCGGCAGGTTCAATAGGAACACTCGCCCCTTCGTTTAGACGTTTGCTAACTTCACTCCACCGGACATTCTGCCCACTACTGGTTAGCTCATCCAGAAGACGTAGGATAGCCTCCTTCAGCTCGGTCTTGCGTTTCCGCTCTGCAGCACTGGTGCCTTCTGTGAGAAGACTCATATCGATGCGACCCTGAGAATCTGTCGCTGCAGTCTTCAATGCCGACTGGATAAGTCTCTCGGCTTCAAAAACATCAGCTTTAGTCACTGTCGTCGAGAGTCGCATTTTGGCGTGTGCTTCAGCGAGGCGGATCATCGACTCAAGCTGACGTGTCGTAGCAGTAATACGTTTTTCTGCTGCGCGAACATCTTGTCCTAATTTGCGCATATTCACGTACGCATCCACAAGTGCCTGCGAAGCATCTTGGTCAACGTCGGGTGGATGTGAGTACGAGCGTACGAGATGTAGGACGTTAAGAACTCCACAGGCTAAAGGATCTGTTAGTATTACTCTTTCCAGTAAAAGTTGTATTGTAATATGAACATACCAATATCTCATTAATCGAAGGAGCAGATTGTGGAGTATCTTCCAAATACATGGAAAGTAAATGTCGCGCTAATCTGCGGTCGGCCGACTCGTTGACACGATCAAGGATCAAATAAACAAGATCGAATCGCGATAATAACGTAGGTGGTAAATCAATATTTTGCGGTACAGGTAGGTCGGGATTGTATCGAGACCCAATTGGATTGGCCGATGCCAAAATACTTGTCCTGGCATTCAACGTAGTAATGATACCGGCTTTGGCTACTGAAACTGTCTGCTGCTCCATGACTTCATGAAGAACAGAACGTGTAGAATCGGACATCTTGTCAAACTCGTCAATACAACAGACGCCACCATCAGACAAAACCAAAGCACCAGATTCGAGCACGAGTTGCCTAGTCTCAGGGTCACGACTGACGTACGCCGTAAGACCGACCGCAGAAGATCCTTTGCCGCTAGTGTAAACACCACGAGGGGCGATCTTGTGAATGTACTTGAGCAGCTGAGACTTTGATGTTGACGGGTCACCACATAGTAAGACGTTAATATCACCTCGATATTTCGGGCTGCCACCTTTCTCGAATGTTTTGTTTGTTCCTCCAAACATTTGGAGGAGAATGCCCTTCTTTACGTCGTCCATTTCGTAGACAGATGGAGCTAGTGACCGGGCAAGAAGTTCATAGATATCCGGACGGGCGGCCGTAGCCTTGATTTTTTCTTCTTCCTCGGGGCTGATATTTCGGGTTTCTTCGATATTATTCTCCTCGTCGTTAGCTCCATCATCAAGGATAGATATATCTATATCCATTTTCTTATTATCGACCTTGGCGACGTGGACAACATCAACAAAGGTCTTGAATATGCTCTTGACAGAGCGCTGACGTGGGTTTACCCTAACTGGGCTAACACGGTAGATACCTGTGACCTTGATGCGGTCACCAGCCTTACAGAAATCTACCAACTCGTTATAAACACAAACTGACACCGAATGTGGCGTCTGTCCAGCGGGTACCTCATCGGGGGTCTCTTGTAGCTTGATAACTTGCTTGTCCTCAAACTCACACCTGTTGTGAATGATCTGCATAGAATTCTTCGAGTTGCATAGATATCGCGGGCATTCGGTAGGTTCTCGAATCTTGCCTCGGTCTAGGCCTACTAGAAGAGAATGGCTACAGACACTACACCTAAAAAAGGCTTGCTTCATATCTGGGATGACGGGTGTTGTCCGTATTACGAGGCCCTTGATGCAGATGAGCTTGTCCATATCAGAAGGATTAAGATTGCGCAAATTGATGACTTCGTCTAATCCATAGGGCCGGGTCTATAGGTCTGGTCCATAACTTTCTCTTCCAAGGTAGGGCCCTGCGGACGCGGTTGAGACTGCTGGGGCTCCTCGCTTCGCTCTGAGCTCGGGACTTGCATGTCAGAACTAGGGGCACCGTTACGTTGGGTTGCTGATGCCCCATTACTCTGGCTCCTCTGGCGCGCCGTCTCTGCCTGTGCGAGCTCGATCATAAGGTCGTGGACAGACTGGTCCATAAGCGGTACAATTTCCTGAGGATAATGCTGGATTTGGTGCCACATTTTCCTGGTGGGTGGGTATAATTTAAAGTCTTGAATGTTAACGTAGAGAATGCGTTGGCCGAGGAGCAGCATGTTCTGAAGTTCCTCCCAATATGGTTTGGAGGTTGATTCGGGATCAGCATCTGTCTGTTCGGTTGTCATGCCTGAACCCCACATGCGATATTTCTTAGTGAAATTGCGTAAGAAGTCCTTAAATGCAGCATATGTGTCGTCGATAGATACTGTGGTACCCCAGATAGTTGCATTGTCTTGACCGCCAAGAGCATCAGCATCGGAAGTGTTGGGATTCAAGTTGGAGAATGTTGCCGCATCAGAATGAATTTCTCGAACCACACGCCCGGCATCGTCTAAGATAACACGGCTGTTGCCTCGAGCGCTACTACTGAAAATTTCCGAGTTTATATCACCTCTTCGATTTACCCTATTGGCACGTGGGGTATCAGAGGGACCGACAAATAAGTTACTACTCTCGCTTCGAAGATCGGATTGCGGGTGCAAACCACGACCAGGACTCGAGCTTGGTTCGTATCGGATGGGCGATGATTCTAAAGCATCAGTCAGTCAAGGTCTCTAGATACTTTGACAATTATAAACTTATACTCACCACCCATAAGTGATCTAGCCCTCGGTGTGCGATCGCCATCGCTTTCTCCCATACGGCGTAACGGTGAGCTAGGCGCAGCATCGGGGTTGGGGATAGTGCTCTGGCTATCGGTATTATGTCTTAAAGCGGGAGAACTTCTGTCGTTCCCATTCGCAGGGGATGACTGGTAAAACAGAGGACTTGAAGCCAATTGTGATGGGCGAGTGATGTCAAGAGTATTGCCATCTTGCGCTCCGTTTTGGGATGGGCCGCCATTAGCAGGACTGCTACGAGCGGCTTGAGAACTTCTTGTATTTCGACTTGGGGTACCGGCCTGCGAACTCCGCTGACGACGGCTAGATGGTGAAGACATTTTGAGTTGTATACGATGAGAAGCCCGTACTACACTATAGAAATTACAGCTTGGTGAGATAGTGGGTAGTTGAAGAGATATGCAAAGTGGGTGATACAAGTCGCCCTAGGAGAAATCATAAAACGGGGCAACTACAGGAGCGCGTCAAAAAGGGGTGGGACGCGACTTTTCGCGTAAAGTGGAAGTTGTGCAGGTACTTAAGTAACTTTATTTACTGTTGCACAACATCATTTGGCGTTATGCACATTTTAGTGCGCATTTACATATAGTGGACAACCTAACCCTTGTACATGTAGCGGCTCCGCTAAAACAGTTTATCCATATCTCTCTCTCTAGGTAACCTTAGCAGCCAAGTCAATCAAATGCCACATGCGCTGTACCTTAGCGGACATTAGTATCATAAGAGACAATTGGTGATTCTTAAGCGACACCTTCAATATCTACGTTACTATAAGCCTATCATATCCCTATACTAATATTCAGCTCTCAAGATGGCACCTGGAATGTCCTTGTCCTCGGTGAATGCCATCATCATCCTTAACATCGACGACGGCTCGAGGATATTCGCGAAATACTACAATGCACCCCACCATGCTCCCACAGCTTGTAGGTCTGGCCTATTCTAATTTTGGAAAGTTGCAGTCGCTGATGAGAAGCGCGAGTAGCATCAACGACACATCACCAACCTAGCGGACCGTTCGCGGATGTCAAGTCGCAGAAGACCTTCGAGAAGGGTCTATTAGACAAGACGGCAAAGCAGACCGGCGATATCATTCTCTACGATAATCGGATCGTGTTATATAAGATGGAGTCCGACGTGATGATGTATGTCGTTGGTGGTGTGGATGAGAACGAGGTCCTCTTATACAATGTCATCTTGGCCCTAAGAGATTCGCTACACCTCCTATTTAAGTATGTTCGCCAGCTGGGGTTCCACCAGTACCAAGTTAACCTAAGAGCAGGCAATCGGTTGATAAGCGAACGATAATCGAGAATTACGATCTAGTCTCACTGGCGATCGACGAGATCGTGGATGACGGTATCATCTTAGAGACCGACCCGACCATCATCGTACAGAGAGTTAGCAAGGCGCCGACGCAGGATGTTAATCTCAGCCGTATCGACCTCAGTGAACAAGGAGTAAATAATTTGGCGCAATTAGGAAAAGCCAAATTGACCGATTGGTTAAGGCAAGGCTTGTAAGAGATTAGTTCTCCGAAGCGTGGCGACTTACGAGATGACCTTCAATGTAGACTCCGGCGTGGCGTTGGTAAAAAGTCGTTATTTGTTCTTAACGGAATGTCATTAAGCTGAGCGGTGTATCGCACCGGTTATGGTCTACGACTTAATCTGAGAAGCTGCCTTGCGCAGCCTGTTCATGACAGCCGCGCCAATGTCCTCATCGTCTATTGTACCCTCCACAAATATGAGATCCGCGCCTCGCCTATCAAGTTCTCGTAACGCCGAAAAAATCCATGCGCTATACTTCTAGTGTCCGTCCCTATGCTCACATCCATAAGCTTCCCAATTGAAACTGCAGTCGTACTATCATAGAGTTCTGCTTCTTGGACGTCGAGTTCAATCGTCAAGTGGTTCTCTTGACCGTTTTGTGGTTTCACAGTCTCATTTTTGAAGTCGCCGCAGCGCAATCCGGCTGCGGGTTTCCAATGTCGAGTCCGTATAATACCGATCTGTAATCCATCATTCCCGTTTCTTGATATTTGCTGGGATTGTCGGCCTTGGATAAAAGTTTTGACGTCCTGGGCTTGTATGCCATTATAGTCCGCTGCGAAGGATGCCTCGTAGAGAATAACTGTTGCTTTTGGGCTATAGTGTTTATACTTCATCCCTGGCGCTCGCGGCGCAGACTTGCCCATTTCACTCTGGTCCTTATACCCCTTTTCAACCTTCTCCCATCCAGGACAACTCCGCAGTTCGTCTATGCTCACTCCCCCAGGCCTCAGAATTAAGGGGGGGTCACATAGACCATCTACTACGGTACTCTCAACTCCAACGGAACACGGACCCCCATCAAGTATAAACTCAATACGGCCATCTAAATCTTCTAATACGTGCTCAGCAGTAGTCGGTGATGGCTTTGTAGAAGCATTTGCTGATGGAGCTGCCAGAGGCGCGCCTGTTAGTTTAATAAGCGAGAGAGCAAGGGGCGAATTTGGCATTCGAACACCAAATGTCTTCAATCCGGCTGTCACTTCAGGGGCTAACTTAGACGAAACCGGGTTGGGGAGCAGTAATGTCAGAGGTCCCGGCCAAAATCTTTTTATAAGAGGTTTGTATATCTCAGGTATTCGGTCATGGTTTGTGTCAGTTGTGCCATTGGAAGTATTCTCGGGGGCTAGAATACTTTGAAGCATTTCCAGATCTGAAATATGAATAATAAGGGGATTGTCCGATGGTCTTTTCTTTGCAGTGTAGATCCCTTTTACTGCCGCGCTTCTTGTGGCATCTGCTCCGAGCCCATAGACAGTCTCAGTTGGAAATGCAATAGGCGTATTCTTAGTTTTCAGATATTGTGCGGCCTCATTAAGGATTCCGACACTAGGTGACTTGCTTTGAGAAACCTCCCATAATCCCAATTTTTCCTGATCATTTTCATCCCTAAATTTCCCTAGATCTGTCTCTAGCACTTTGAGAATTTGGGTGCTTATCCTTGGGAGGTCTTGAGACATTGTGCTGTAGGAGTTGAAAATAGCTCGAACAATTTTAATTCGGCGACTTAAAATTACAGACGCCAACTTGCTCAGATATTGAAATATTTTTAGTCGAGTTAGATTTTTTTGGTCTTTTTGGTCTATAGGAAAGATTTTGATAAGCTTAAAGACCTTTCAAGATTGACAAAAAATTCAACCCAGTGAGAAAATGTATGAACCTTCACTTCAGTGACTCATAGAAGCACCAAGATACACAAACGACGACAATGACGATATACCGTATGAAAGTATAGATTTACTAAGGTAAGCTTATCGATTAAGATTTATCAGCTACGAAATAGGCCAAACTTTAGGTAGGTATTTTACCTAGTTTCAGAAGCTTTAGAGCCTAGGTAGGTAGGTACCTATCCTTTAGCGGCCAAACGTGTAACAATAACTATCGCTAAGCCCTATCAATTAACAATACCTAAGGTACAATTGGCGATTTAGCGGAACGTACGAAATACAACGTAAAATCGTCACTTACAACCCTTGAACAACGCCCGTTGGTTGGATCAACTTGGTGTCTACCCACATCAACGGAAAGGTGTGTTCAAGGTCCAGCAATTCAGGCTTGAGTATCTTAAGTCGCTATGCACCTCCCACAACCAGTATCCCAATGTCCGCCAACAACATCCCCAATGGCAACTCTACGGTGTCAACGCAGAAAGCTTCCAATAAGCTAAACAATCCCTCCTCAAGTTCCCCCATCCACGATGCCTCGACTCTTTCCGACGTCCGCGCTGGGCTAGCTGCCCTACATGTGCGCGAGACCAGCATAACTAATCGCCTCAATGCGCTTCTATCTTCCCAAGCGGACTTATCCCGAGTTAGGCCGGCTCGATCTACTTCGTGCGAATCTCGGCTCCCAGGTCATCGCGACAAGATCCATAAGCAATGGGATGCTCTCATCGGCTGCCGACACTGCAGGACGACTTTCCAGTCGGGTTAAGGAGCTCGACCTAGAGAAAGACAGAGTGCAGCAAACACTGAAAGTTGTTGAACAGGTCGCGGAACTCAAAGCATGCGTCCATGGAGTAGTGGGCAGTATGGGCGCCCCCCAAGACTGGGAAGCGGCAGCAGGCTATATCTCCCGCGCAAGCAAAGTACCAGAGCCTATTATACGTGGTGGCTTTGCGGCTTCCATGGTACCGAGTGTCGAGGTGCCAGATGCGCCCTGGGTAAACACTTGAGAATGCAAAGGAAAGCTTATGCGGCCTGTTCTTACGAGAATTTGAGAAGGCAGTCAAAGAAGGCGACGGCGCCAAGATTACAAGATTCTTCAAACTGTTCCCTTTAATAGGGAGAGGAGATGTCGGATTAGACGTATATGGGCGCTACGTATGTCAGGGTGTTGCCGGCACAGCTAGGGCAACTCTCAAAGCGACACCTGGCGACGCGGGGAAAAGAGATGGTTTCTTTTACGCCAACGCGCTTACGAAGCTCTTTGAGCATATTGCCCAGATTGTTGAAAGTCATGGTGGACTCGTAGAGAGACACTACGGCGAAGGCAAGATGGTTAAAGTCATAGAGAGACTCCAGATGGAGGCTGACGTTCAAGGTGGTATTATTTTGGATTCGTGGGGCGATGAAAGAAGCGTTGATAGAAAACTTACCGACGCAAAAAGTTATCCATTTTCCTTCTTAGTACAAAGTTTCCTACCTCCGCAAAGGACGCTTACGGGTACTCCGCGTGTAAACTCTCCAGCGATAGGCGGCGGTACCAACTCGCGAAATAGTGAGGATGAAGGCGTAGACATGAAAGAAGTAGATGCTCTACTTAGCGAGATCTCCATCATGCTTGGCCGATGGTCGTTATACTCAAAGTTCCTTGCTAGCAAATGCAGAGTAAGTATTTCTAGTCGAGTTTTGTTGTTCTAACAATTAATTATAATTAGAATCCCGATACTCCTGAAGATGCACCTCTATCAATACCTGAGGTTGTCACAAAATCCAATCTCGGTCGAAAGATCTCATCTGCCTAACTAACATCGCCTTACAATTCCTTGGCTTTGTTCTTTTTTAGACGATCTGTTGAAAAAGCGTTCCAACTAGACGAATCACCTATTGGTCTTTCCCTAAATCTTAACAAACCTATCGATGGAAACGCCCCTTACATCATTTCGGCCGTTGACGATGTCATGTATATTGTCAGCGCAATAATTCAGAAGGCTATGTCAACAGCGCAACGCGATGTAGCCGCCTCAGTAATTCCAGACGTCGGGAGGGTACTAGGATCAGACTTTATTGGAATGGTCCAACGGAGGATGCGAGATGAATCATATCCGCAGCCAACTGTCCAAGGGGGACTACCACCTGAAAACAAGATCATTTCTTTCATTGTGCTTATCAACAGTCTGGATGTTGCGAAAGACTATCTAGACCGTATCATTACATCCCAACTAGGTACTTCCCTTGATCAACCTAATGGAGCAACAGAATCTAGCCCCCTTGCCGCGTCCTTCCCGTTCGAGCATGATGTTACTTTCGTAACTACAGCACTTAACACGTTACATTCTACGTTCGGGCTTAAGACCGGCGAGCTGATATCTGATGCTTTAAGAGTCTTATTCTCTGCCGTTATCAAACAAAGATTAAAACCAGTACTAGTTGAAGCCTTCCGCGATGCTGATTATTGGCGTTCCGAAGATGAATTAGCAGATATCGCACGCCAAAATGACGAAGACGAAGACGAAGTTATAGATCGTGTTCAACGAAGGTTCGAAAATGGGTGGGATACGCTGATGAAACCTATAGCACGAATCATGACCCCGAAAACATTCACGGCGCTTATGGACCTCACAGCGACAGATCTGTCTAAGACACTTGAAAAAAGGGTGTGGAGTTATAGCGGGAAGACCAGCGCATATGGGGCAATACGAATGGAGCGGGATTTCTCGGGAATTATCAGCACTGTTGCTCGAGGTAATTACTCTGTTAGAGAGATGTTTGCGAAAGTATCACAGATACTCATGGTGGCCAATATGGAAGAAGATGAATGGGAAGAGCTGAACAACGACGAGGACGAAGACGGCATCCAATGGGTTCTCAACGAAGACGAAAGGCGAAGAGCCAGAAATTTGGTTAAGGCGTGACGATAGATGATCCTCATACTCCCCGGGTTTTTATAACATGTGGTAACTGTAGGATGCATCAGGTTTGTAAAAAGTCATGGTAGAAGATATAGTAAAAAGACTCATACATACTATTCCATTTTCTGTCATTCACTATGCTACAAATTTCCTCTGCTATTTTCAATACCTAGCATAGTAATAACCCGGAAACATTACCTAAGTAACCTTTTCTTTTTCGTACATTGAATGTCCATGTCAAGATGTAGAGAAAGACATATTCGGGATAGAAGGGATTATTACATTATACCATACAATACTTATTACCTTAGGCAAATATCACATGCATCTATTGCAACCTTTCTATTGAGAAGAACCCCATCGGCTTATCGATACAGACATAATATCGATAAGCCAGCTGCAGCCGCGTTTGACTTTCTAAACCCCCAAGCTCTATTATCAATCTTCATTCTTACAATCTCAACATCGAAATAAATATACCCCCAGCTTTCACCTACCTACCCCCTTCGCACCCATCATAGGCATTAATACGATCGATACCTATTATCATCGTCGAAATCATGGCAACCTCTCATTTTGGCCTCTTAGAGGAACGAGAAGAAAATGAGTTGCACAAGACCCGTCTCCTCAATGTAGAAGAGAAGCCCTTCAAGCGGCTTACCAAACGCCTCGTCGCGCCCGGCGCCTTCACGAGTCCCGGGAAGCTGCTCACACCTCCCCCCGACGGTACCAACGATACCGAAACAAACTCATCACCGGCAATCGATATTAGCGCGCTAAAAGAAGACATTATGCTTGACTTCGAGGCGTTCGACGCGCAGATCCTACGATTACAACTTCTAGGGACAGCGAACGCGCAGGAGCGCGAGCGGTACGCGGCGGATAGGATTCGCATCCTAGAGACGATGGAGTCGGTGCGGGAGGGCAACGCACGGCTGAAAGCGCAACTCGACGAACGAAGCGCGCGCGACGCTCGCCCAACGCCGCAAGTTCGACGAGTTGGCCGACCGCATTACGAATAACCGCATGTTGCGCCCCCGCGCGGAGCAGGCCACCAACCTGGCTAAATTGGCCGAGGAGTGTGAGGACTTGCACCGCGAGAGCGAGACGTATGGCGCTACATGGCGAGACCGCCGCGAGCAGTTCGAGCGTCTGGTTGAAGAGGGTAAGAGGCTGCGTGCTTTGATCCGAGACGAGAAAGAGGAAGTGGAGCGCAGGGAAGGCATGGATTCAGATGCGGAGGATGGAGAGGCTGCCGCTACACCTGGTAAGGGCGGGCTTGTCAGCGGAAACAATACGCCAATCCTGATAGGGTGCTGTCTCTGGAGGTGGAAAACCCCGAGACCTGACAGTCCGGGCGCTGGAGGTCCTCCCGGGTTGAAGCCGCGACTCGATGTCAGCGGAACTTTCTCACGAGCAGGAAGCCAGGCGCCAAGTCAACGGGCGGGAAGCCAGAATCCGAGAGAAGAGCCAGAAGAGGGTGAGGATGTCGAGATGGGCGAGTCAACGCAACAGAACCAACAGGTCGATACCCCTGTGGCGGAGGATGCATCGCAGACACCCCAAATTACGGTCGAGGCACCTGGTGCTGGTAATGGCGATAGTATGGATATATCATGAACGATATTATAGACTAGGAGGGAATATACATTTATGGGTAGGTTTAGCAGTCTTGTAGTTCATCTTGGAGTCATCACCTATGATGGTTCATTATGCGCATCCGTGTTAAAGGAGTGGAGGAAGTATACCCAGCCAGCAAAATGGCACCATACTAGACTAATAGAGAGGGGGACGATCGATTATCGATTTTATACTACTCAGGTAGATCTACCTCTCAAAGACAACAATATAAAACGAGCTTCTATAGCTCTTTCTTGGTAGGAATCGTGGTATCACTGTATTAATTCATTCCTCTTCGTAATCCTACACACTCGTGTCGTAGTCCATGAGTTCACCTCAGACAGCTCCCCCTCACGCAACAGGCGGTTCTTCAACCGACTTTCCTAGTTCTAGCGCTTCTTTGGCCTTGTTTAATTCGTCGGCAGGTGCGTCCTCGCTCTCAGCTGTTGCGATCTGTTCCTCGAGTCGTTGGACGGCTTCTTCGATGCGCTTGTTTAGGGGGGCGAAGACGGCTCTGGTTTCGTCTACGGCTTTTTGCTACAAGGTTACAATTTACTTGTTAGCACGCTGACATATATGTAGGTATCTTCCAGTTTGCTCAATAGCTTTATGATCTAGCTCTCTAGAAGTAAAAGGGCTAGGGATAATTCAAACATACCTCCTGCTTCAGGACGAACCCAGCGTTACTATCTGCGTCTTCACCCGCCGCTTTCAGGTCTCCCTCAAGCTTCTTGACGCGCTCCGATTGTTGCGTGAGTTCCTTTCGGGTAGTACTTTTCTTCCTTGACGAGTCGCTGTACGGACTGCGTCGCGATGGTGAGGGGTGATGGAGCCGGCATTATCGTTTGTTTAGGTCTGCCAGTTGTAAGATTATATTATGTAAATAATTTTCTTTTTTTTCTTCTAGGTGAAAACTAGTAAGGACAGTCGGCCAAGGAGAGAGTATTATTTCTGCCTATTATTTCTGCCTCTTAAATAGAGATCTTTTAAGTAGCTGCCTAGATGTTGGAATTATAGGTGCCTACAAGTCAACGTTTATTCTAAGTCTAAACCTGGGAATATGTTTTGGTGGGGTTGGCGGGGTAAGGGGGAAACGGTAATAATATGCGATTAAACGGAGGATGGGACCGTTTTGTTAGGTTCAAATAACGACTAAGTGAACATATACCTCCTCGTCTCCCCCTATTCTTATACAACGTTTCTTCATACTCATTTACTAGACGCCACAGGTGGATATGTTTTATTATTTATGGACTTCTAAGCTGCCTTCAATTAACATATATACTCTCTTTAATGTGAGAATGTTATAGATACATCTAAGTATTAAGGTATCCACGACAGACGCCTGGTAATTCTGCTTTATACTGACGAAAAGGGGTCGGTACTTCTCGAGCACTATCTCTGCGCTTACCCCTGAGTTCGCACTGCTATAAACCCCCATAATCCGTAGTTCGATATTTTTCTCTTGCGTAACCCAGAAGTATGTCACTGCAAGAACCATGTTCGCCCCTGAGATCTCGCTTGCGACCAGAAACCACTTACCCGGGTCGACTCCTAGATTCTCAACGTTTTTAGAGTTAACAGATCACAGCCTTGGGTGAGGATCTGCTATAGTTACTAATTATTACTTTACTTATTCGCATATACTCTGCATCGATGCATTCTAATCTATATATACACCACCCAAATCCAATGTACAAGCCAAACCCAAACACACGTGCTATTACGTTTATAAGTTCCGAATGAGAAATCCATCATTCTGGAGCGTCTGAAACACTCGTCCAGGGTCGTATTTCGCTGCTGTCGCCTTAATGAATTCGACATTCCCCACGCCATAGCTATTCAATACGCTTTGAGTCTTGCCCGCTGTGTTCATGAAAAGGTAGGGTAAAAACAAATCCTTCACTTTGGCTGCGTCCGTGCAACGTTGAGTTATTTTCTGGGAGATATCCCATATGGCCCTATCCTGCGTTGGGTCTGTCCATGTTATGTACCACTCATACCCTAGAGTATTCTATTAGTACCTATTATAAATAAATTATAAAGGAGAATGGGTAAACTCACATTGCTGCGGGACCTCCTTTAAACCTAGCAAGTTTCCACCACGTTGTTTTCCTAACGTAGCTACACTAGCTGCAATTGAATTTGGTACCCAAACTGCCGAAGCGCCGCTAGGGAGGCTGGCCGTTTCTTCAGTAAAAATATTGTGTAATTCGACCATGAGATCAGCGTCTGTCTTGTGACTAAATGTCTCGCCATAGGTGCGTATCTCGCCGGTCGAGAATCGTGATCCTGTTAAAGTCATAATATCCAAGAGTGAACCGTTGAAAGCCGGTACGATTGGTTGGTATGTCCCAAGAGCATAGAAGGCATCGAATTTAGCTTTTTGCACCGGTTCGTTATAGAGTAGAAGAATGGTCGGGCCACTTTCTAGTAACTGGACCTATTGCGGGTTAATATCTTACATAAGAGAGAGGGTATGAGCAAAAAGGTCTTGTCACATACTATTCTTATATTAGTTTAAATTATAGAATCGGATCCGCGCGTAGAGTTGGGTTATACGTACCACTAATACTTGACAATGGGTCTAACTGTCCCTCCTTCTGATATTCGGCAACGGCATGTAGGAAATCAGAGGTCTGATTCGGACTATAGGCGCGGGCATCGACGTAGAAGTCCCCAACGGGGTATGTGTAAAGCTCATAGCTTGTTACTATACCAAAGTTAGAGGCGCCACCTCGTAACCCCTTATACAGGTCCGAATACTTGTTGTCAGCTGAAGCAGTAACGATGGTTCCATCAGCTAGAACCACATCGTATGATTTGACGTTATCAAAAGCAAGGCCACGTTGAGTTGCGAAGTAGCTTAATCCACCTTCCTTTTGTTAGTTTCGACTATTTTGGGATACCTGTTATGATTGCATGATTTACTCACCCCCAAGCGTCAATCCACCTACCCCGACAGGACCAACACGCCCACCGACCACGACCAGGCCTTCGGGCACAAGAGCCTCGTAAACTGCCTGCCATCTGTTCCCAGGCCCAATCTTGACGGTTTTTTTGTCTTCTGACAACTCTGTTGAGTTTAAGCTTGAAAGCGAGATTAGTACTCCTTCGTCGACACTTGCGAAGCCTGGAATATAGTTGTGACCGCCACTTCTAATTGCAAACTTGGCCCCATTCTGAGAGAGTATCTTTACTACCGTAGATACTTCCTGGGCGTTCTTTGGGCTGACAATACACGCAGCCGGTAGCCTGCATGCTGCAGAACTGTAAATGGAATGAGTTAGTCCTCCATATGTCTCGGTATATACGAGAAAATAGCCTACTAATTTTCATCTTCGATATCTTTATACGTAACTCCGTCTGAGGGGAGCAAGGTTCCGTTTACGTCTGTTAAAACATCGCGAAGTACTTCGCAGGTACACTTTACATCGCCTGCACATGTTTGCTGAGTGCGTAATATGTGACTTGACGTGCTAATAATACCTACTGGAACTGGCGTAGCGGATTGGATTGTAGGTGTAGCTGTGAGTGCGACTAAAAGCGCATAACGGAGGCTCGTAACCATGTTTAATTCCTGGTATAAATGTTTCAGGCAATTCGGCTTCGGGCGGTAACGAAATGGAATAGCTCGAAGTATCATATAAGATGATAAACTAATGAAAAAAAAAATTGAAAGCTGCTCTGCTACCGCATGGGCAGGCCCAATAGATTATATGAGCATGACGGTAAGTTTAAGAGACTAGAACACTGAACAGAGGCCTCGAAGGAAGGGTCTTTTGAGATTGAATAGACGATAGTGTGTATCGAATGCAATGTTCTTTCGATTTGACTATGGTATGCCCTGTCTTCGTACCCACATCGTCTCTAACTGTGTGGAGTTTGACTATGCCCTGTCCTAACTAGCCGTTAAGGCTGGTTCAGCTATCCCTCTAGCTGGTAACCAACCATGATGGTGGTAAATATACTATGATTGAAATAGCTTGCTAGAGTATGACTATGAAATTGGCAGTTAGCAAATAGAGTTGAAATCGTAGTCGATAATTCTAGGGAGACCAGTTCCAGTATATTACAAAGTCAACACTCTCTTTAGAAGCTCTTTCCGCGTTGCGACTCCCGGCTTCAATGCAAGGTCTAGAGGTAACCTAGCAGTATTGAGTTTACACCATATATTGTACTTGGCTATAATTTTATAGTAATCTAGTGTCGAAGTTAATGAAGTTATAACGGGCTAGGCTTAGACTTAGATACGTAGAAGACAAAGCAGGATCTAGAAAGAATCTATACGCGTTTACACCTGTGAAGTGCATGGTTTTCGGTAATAAGAACTAATTGAAGCATAGCGGATAGCATGACAAAGCAATAACTTGGCTATCTAGGGCCTAGAAGATCTTGATTCCATTTCGTTTAATTCCGAAAGAGGAATCTTGGAACTTTTGGCGTCGTCCGTGATGGAGCTATGTTATATTGCGCCACAAAGATCGGATTTTAGATAAAGATTTATGGCTGTGTCAAATATGTACAGGTAGTTTTGACAGTACCTACATGTACCTAGTTAATCCGTATCTTATCAGTTATCTTTGTGCCTAGGTAACCAACAAGTCACAAATCGCGTCATAATCCCTCATCTTTTTTTGAATCATTAATTGGCAGTTCCGCCACATCCCGCGACAAAAATTCAGAATATCTTAAGTACCTACCCTATCATCAATACATCCGCACGTTCTTTAGTTCTTTACATACTTTGAACACAGAAAAACACAAGCACAATGGCGTCGCAAAGTATTTCAATGCGTAAGGAGGCTTTCTGAACATCTGTCAGCTAGTTACCACATCTTGCTAACTTACTTACCATAGCTTCGGTCTCTAACTCCGAGATTAAGCCTGTCGTGAGCTCCGGCTCCCAAGCGGTCGCAACGTCGAAGCCGAGAGTATGAATGCGACCATCTTCATTTATCACAATTATGCTGACTAGTATACCAATTAGCCATGCTGTGTCTGTAAAGACGAAAAGTCGAAGCGCGACGAATGTATGCTGTTCTCAAAGGCAACCGATCCCACCAGCGATTGCAAGACAACTATAGATCAGTACCGAACATGCATGGCCGGCTTCGGGTTCCAAGTATAGAGAGACGATGGACCACAAGTAAAGAAGATCATGGTCACTTTTAGGGAAATCTCTGTACAATAAGGGATCGATTGGATTATGGCGAGCCGGCGTTCCGGATCGGATAGACATGAGGCGATATACCTCAAAATGCATTACGCATTGACTGGCGTTCAACAGGAGTAATAAAAGCAGAATCCACTCTTCGGTGCAATTGTTCGGTCTATTTGATATTCGAAGTTATGCAGGCCATGAGCGAATTATGCTCTATGGGTATGCTGATGGGTATACTCTTTGCTACCGCCGCATACCGGGAGCCATGTGGGCTCGACGGATATTTGTTGCTGTCAGGCTGAATACGTTTGAGCCCATAACCGAGATAATTGCGCCGCTTGATTTATGCAGCCGACGAAAATAGACCTTGTTAGCAAACGCATGGGAATAAGAGAGCGAATGCCAGGCGTCCAATCAGTCATAGCACTTAGTTCAGCTCACTCTTGCGTCAATTATCTCAGTATCTGCTTTGAATCAAGTATGACCCAGACCAAGATCCCAAATCCGGTGCCCCGGGGAGAGGCTCTCTGACAGGAACAGTCGCCTCTAATTCATCTGTCCGGGTTCCCGGGTCATTGGTGAATTAACCTATAAACACCAAGCTAGCAGAGACCACATGGCAACCCCCTTTATGGTAATCACATAGTGAAAAGTGTATCCAATAGTTAAAACTTGAATATTTTGCGGTGATGGCTTACATGATAGTACTATAAGGTTGTCTTCTCTTGCAACAGCTCGATGTTGTTGTCAGTCTGAGATTCTGAGTAGTAGCGAACTAATCTATCAAACACTAAAGACTATGTCGACGCTCGCTAACGGATATCTAGCTATTTACTACAGCTTTCTCATCCGCGAGTACTTTTGTTAATCATAGATGAGTTTGTCGAGCTAGCTTACGAGGCTGGCATGTGCTACATGGCATAGTTCTCAGAACTGCACCATCCCGCAATCCTAGCAAAGCGTGCGTTGCCTCGGAAGCTTCCGCAAATACGACCCCTGATTATTTGTTACATGGGACCCCGGTAAATGACCGACCAGGCATTTTTGCCGCATTTAGGCTAAATGCCTTCATCCTCAACTTGTCCACGATGATCCACCGGTCTAGAATTTAGAACGGGCAGCTGAGGGTCTAAGATTTCAAGAATACTTGCTTAGCATTAACGTATCAGATCGAGCGATTAATCCTCTAAAATACATTAACTATGCGGCGTATGAGAGGCACAAATTCGCCGCCTCGTTGATGATCTAACGTGGCTCGACGATTAGAAGTTATAAGCGAACGCCGCTAGGAGCTCCTTCTGAAGCTATCGGCCCAGTTTGGGGTGACTTATTATACTCATGAGTCGTGAGACGTGAGAGCGGTCCGACAATGCCATTCCTTCAAGAAACCCGGGGCTCCCACGGGGACACCTCTACAAGTTAGCGTCATAATTCCCCAGATCTGGGGCAAACTAGAGACGCTCTACTATGTACAGCTGGTAATAACTCATAAAGATCTGCAGCTTGATTGGAATCCGGCGCCTACGTAGTCGCATCACTGGCTGCATTGGTGGAACCAGCGCGCCGAGGTACAATAGCAATTCACTTACACCGCATTCAAGTAGCATCATCCTATATCGGTCAAAATCAATAACGACGATAGCAACCGGAGTCTATCAGGGTTAGCTAGAACCTATCTTTCAATTTAGACACTTAACCAAGACCTCACGATATCCCAACTAGGATAATAAGCCGTAACAAAAGTGCCATGTGCTTTATTAGAGGTGTTAGTTACTAGAGCTGCATTCGTATTGAGGCTCGAAAATGACTACTACGAATTGCTTTGCTTAACTCGACTTCTCCAATTGTCCGGCTTCGCGGGACGTTATCCCGAAGCGAGACATCTGCTGGCTAACAGCTGAGCGCCTGACCAGGCCTAAGCTGATTACTGTTCCGAAAACCCTTGTTACGTCTAATCTCTTAGTATTCCTTCCATTCCCCTCTGAAGCTCTTAGACTGCCGGTGTATCGAATTCTTGGTGTAATCGTGTGTGTATGGAAGGACGACGTATTACACAGTAAAGTAGTAAACGCAAGCTTTCTCCAAAATACCATATAGGCAGTTGGATGGAAGACAATTAGCTCTTTTAAGCAATCTACCCAATAGGGCATGTCGTAAGCATCCAAAGATGGACGAAGGTCGTTGGAGAATGGAGATCGAAGGGGGGAACGGAATGCCAAGCGTTGTTAATTTAATTTCTGCTACGACCGCCGCAAGATAGTTCGGGTCAGATATAGCACTATCCCAACAATACAAATCTGTTCTCTATGGACGAGCAGAAAGCTCTGAATAATAGATTCATCTGATGACGAAGAGATTTTATGTTTAGCTGATCTCAGTGGTCAGATTCGTTAGCCACATGAACATATACGCGTACGGTAATAGAGAGATGCTTAACTGTAACCGAATTTATTTTGCTTCACTGCGATGTAACCTTTATTTGCCATATAAGCGATAGGTTGATCTATTCTAGCCAAGGTGTGACTTATGGGTCTATCAAATTCAACGACAATCCGATTCTTACCTCTCCTTCTGGTTCTCGTCGACAGGGGACTTGCACCTCCGGCAAGGGACTCGGAGCTTTGGTATTATACTATCCCACGCGCAAAACTCTCCTAATGATTCTGACGTGCATGAATTGCATTCTAAGTCATTCTGCCTAATACAGAAGTCAAGGTATTATATTCTAGGCCGTCTCCGACACCATGGAACCAATAAGTCTAGGCTAGAATCAGAATAGACCATCATACAGGCCGCAAATGAATTTGCAGTAGGAACAATTTGAAGAGGGCATGGGTTGATCATCATGAAACAAAGGTATCGTCCAAGAATGGTGTTGTCGCTAGAATAGTAGTACACCATCCAGGTGCCACCCAATTGCCACCAATAGGAGGAATACTATGTGAATGCATTTAGTATAGGTTAACTTACACAACCCAAATAAACTAAGTTCATCTCTCACGTCCCGCGGTGGGATCAGACCCAGGATATCGGTGTTACTGGTCGAGTATTTCCCCGCAAATCGATTATATCCAACCAAAGACAACTCGCATCGTGCTGCTCGTTCGCTGAGGAACTCATCACACGGCATCTACGATTGCTGTACTATGGTACTATGTATAGGTAACCAGGACGTACCGTTATGCGTTCTCGAAGAGTTCCAGCGCTTCTGGCCCCCCCGGCCAACCCAACTGTTTATCATATCAAATCGTGACATGGGCGGCCGGTCGATACACCGGCGAGGGCTACCCTCCCGCAGAATTATCCTAGGCACGGTAGAAGATCTACTGCGACCAAAACGGTACGTCGAATGAGGATCTATGACAAAGGTATATACCTATTGTAGATGGGAATATACTACCGAGCAATATAGAACACCTGTAAGTCATATCAAACAGGTCGTTGTTGACCTGATTATGTGCGGTGGCGTTGTAACTCGGCCGGGTCTCAGATCGCTCGTGCTCGGCGCATCCAGAATTAAAATCATTAACCGAAATGCGGATTTTTTTTCTCTCTCGGTTCTGAAGTTCCCATTGCCAACGGGTACCCTTACTAGTAACCCGCACCCCAGTCCGTTTACTTACTTGGTCCCAATTCCCCATGGGCCATGGCGCCACGGGGGAGACTAGGGGATGGGGGGGCAATGGGGTAAGGAAGACCCGCAACCCACCCACATATGTATGTAAGTGACTTACCATGAGAAAGGGTCCCATTCCAGATCTCGCGTTCAGGAAGTGAGATGGCCACGGACTAGGTGCAATTCGTTCAAGTGAGCTCCTCTACCGGTCCGCTCGCCCGTCCAATGTAGATGGTACCCTTGCTACGGTCCCTGGTCTTCCCATAGATCATATATTATATCTGATCCCTCCGTCTCTTCGAGTTTTGTTTCGAGCACCTCGCTGTAGACCCATCACGTCTCTACCCTTTCAACTTTAAGAGACCAAGCTTTTCAGTAAGCCTCAACCTTACCGGAGGACCAAAGCGTCTCCCTTTAGGTTACAACATCTCGACGTAGTTGCCAGTTACGTTTACGCGGGTGTGAAAGAAAGTTCGCGATCAACCAACACAATGGCGATCGGCATCATCTCGCAGAAGGCGCCGCGTAAGGAGGAGATCGCAAATGCGCAGGAGGAGGCCCCGGCCTTTGAGAGGGTCGACTGGAAAAGGGACCCCGGTTTGAGGAAGCTATACTTTTACTGCTTCATACTCTGCGTTGCTTCGGCGACTACTGGTTACGACGGGTATGGCTTATACGCAACACTCGCTTGGATGTGGCGAAATATGTCAACTAACGAACTTATAGCTCGTTCTTCAACTCGGTGCAAGTATTCGACAAGTGGAAGGCTTTCTTCAATAACCCGCAAGGATCACAACTAGGTCTCCTTGCTGCTTTATACCAGATTGGTAGCCTGGGTTCGATTCCCCTAGTGTAGGTCCCAATTATCTTCTCCTACGCCGTGGGGATACGAAATTATATGTTCTGACGTATTATAGCCCTCTAATAGCTGATAACTATGGCCGAAAAATGCCAATTATTGTCGGTTGTGTCATCATGATCGTTGGTGCTATTCTCCAGGGAACTGCCCAGAACATCAACTCGTTCATGGGTGGTCGTGTCATGATGGGATTCGGAAACAGTTTAGCTCAAATCGCCCTCCCATGTTGTTGACCGAGATTGCTCACCCCCAGCACCGGGTCGTCTCACGGCCGTCTACAACTGTCTATGGAACGCAGGTGCCATTGGTACGTCTCGCCTTTCGCCTGGTGTAAAATGGAAGTTGCTAACCCTTTCATAGTCGTCACATGGCTTTCTTTCGGCACGAACTACATCCAAAACGATTGGTCGTGGCGTATTCCCGCCATCCTTCAGGCCCTTCCTTCCATCATCCAGATCACCTTCATCTGGTGGATCCCCGAGTCGCCCCGATACCTCATGGCCAAGGACAAGCACGAACAGGCCCTCGCGATCCTCACCAAGTACCACGCCAACGGCGACGCCCACCACCCGACGGTCCAGTTCGAGTACCGCGAGATTAGGGAGACCATCAAGCTAGAGATGGAGAGCAAGACCAACAGCAGCTACCTTGACTTCTTCAGGACTAAGGGAAACCGTTACCGATTGGCGGTCCTCCTGTCTCTAGGTCTCTTTTCCCAATGGTCTGGTAATGCTATCATCTCCAACTTTGCCAGCACGCTCTACGACCAGGCTGGTGTGACGGACTCCAACTCCAAGTTCGGTGTAAGTTTTCATAACCCTAGTCGAAAATTCAGTTCCTAACCTAAGACCCTCTAGCTTTCCGGAGGTCAAATGATCTTGTCTCTTATCGTCTCGGTTACCATGGCCACGCTCGTGGACCGATGGGGTCGCCGAACGATGTTCCTCACCTCGACTGCCGGTATGTTCGGCGTGTTTATATTCTGGACACTCTGTGCGGGTTTATATGGCGAGCACCGCTCCCCTGGCGCCAACTATGCCATGATCTTCTTCATCTGGCTGTTTAGTTTCTTCTACTCGTTCGCGTGGTCGGGTCTGCTCGTCGGTTACGCCATCGAAATCCTGCCTTACAAGCTTCGTGCCAAGGGTCTTATGGTCTTAAACATTATGATCCAGGCCGCCTTGTGCCTCAACGTGTACGCCAACCCAGTCGCCTTCGAGGCTTTCGGTCTGGACCACTCCTGGAAGCTGTATATCATCTATACCTGCTGGATCTTCTGCGAGTTGGCCTTCGTGTACTTCATGTACGTGGAAACTAAGGGTCCCCTCGAGGAGCTAGCCAAGTCATCGACGGCGAGGACGCGGCTGTTGCTCACTTGAACCTGGAGCAGGTCGAGAAGGAGGTTGCGATCGAGACCCACGACATGCCTCAAAAGGTGTAATTAGAGACGAGTGTGTTTTTTTTATATTGATGTCATGGTCGGTGGGTTTCTGGCGATGTCTTAGTTATTAATGGTGCTGCTGCCGTTGCCGTTGTTGCATGAGCGAGACGCGCTTCTTGCATGCTCGATACCCTCACTTAACGAATTTACATGCATGCTGCTCCTCTCCGTCATTGTGGACTGGTTCGGGGCAATGGGAGTTTTAAATATACAATGTGTGTCTTAATGGCGTCCTCATCCGGGTGGTTAGTTCAAAATAGGTAGCCAAAATGAAATAATGCCATCACCGGATGCTTGCGCTCTTAGCATTTATACAGTATGACCAGTATGACGCCTTCGTCAAACCGCCCTGGTTTATATCAATGGGAGGTTTATCAACACCCTCATTTATTTCCAAATAGGGACACATAAAAGGTTTCGCTTTGGTTCCGCTAATATACTTGATCCCTTATTCACATAAAATAATCTCATCCAAAAAAGCAAACGGAAATAAATCGAGTCTTATTTTAGATGTTGAAGGGGAAAAGAACCCACAAAACTTGGCCGTGTGTCGCTAAATAATTTTACTCTCGGTCAACTGCAGGAATTAGAAATTATAGACTTCGACTTGACCGATATTCTATAATTAAATATCAGCACCAGCTCTTTTTTACCTAGAACGATTCCATTTGTTCCTAGCCTCATAGCTTGTCATTTAAACAGCATTTTATTTTCAACGGATACTGTACCATAATTATCGAATCAGCCTACAATTATTTAAGTACGGTCTACAGTAAACAAACTTGAAGTATATCCAAAGGGGAAAAAAGAAAGAAAAAATGGAATCCTTCTCTCTTGCTGCACAGCACGCAGGTGCTATCAACCATGTGCACATAATCCGCCTTGATCCGACTACTACGGCTGCAGTACGCGAGCTACGCATCATAGTGACGGTCGTCGTCGCTGGCTGGGTCGCTATCCAGGGAATGAGGGCTTACTTTCGAAATCGATAGGACTGCCTAGATACCTAATTTAACGACAAAGCAGAACCGTAGACGGAGGCAAGGTTCTATTAAACGATATAACCTCATACATTGGGTCGGAACAACGGAAAACATATCAGAATTAGACAATGGATTTTTCATAATTATTTCGCATACCAATACCCGCATGTGTAAAATACTCGCTTAACAAATATAATGATTATTATATGCATATTTATGACACAATGGAGGTAATCTCTGATCCACATCGTCGTAAACGAATTGATGATGTCCGAGACTTCCACAACTACCTACCTCTAATGATACCTCTAGTCGTACTTTCATTTCATTCCGTCGTATCAATCTCGTCTTGGTCGGTTTAAACCCCTTATATAAGAATCAAATAACTTAAAATGCGTCTATCCGGCTTACAAAAGGATGTCCTGTCACTCTACCGCAAGTGTCTTCGCGAAAGCCGCAAAAAACCGGTGGTTCGTGTAGCCATACTCAACCTTCGTAATGCAATTATATAATTAACAACTAACCACAGGCTACACGGCCGCATTTTGAATCATTTATCAGGTATTCGAAAAGTTTTAAGCCAATATGTTTCTGTTATGTGTTAGAGGTTAGAGACTAACTTATACCTTAGATCTGAATTTGAGAAGAGTATCAAGGTTGATAAGAGAGATTTCGCCGTAATTGAATTCCTCCTACGCAAGGGACATCGTCAGTTAGAAATGTATTCGGCACCTGGTATAAAAGATATTAGATGACGTCGATCATTTATTTCATCGGTTCCTTCTATAAGTAGATTCTTAGTCTACAGGTTCACACCATAGGCATTACAATTGCGACTATCTCAAATTACCATGCTGTAATAATACTACGGCCGGGAAACCGCAGCTCATTATCATATAAGGAACTTTTACAATTGCCAACTTCTAGTCTCGATCTACCAAACTACCGCTTAAGAGCAAGAACGGCTCACTCTCAGACCATATGACATCTCCCGAGGACGAGGCCAGGAATGACCCTGAATTTATCTTTTCCAAACTTTTGCTTTAAACATGTGGCCAGTCAATACACCCTTTTCATAGCATACGTTAGGTTAGGTACCTTTGGGATATTTTGGGGATCACTCTTGGAATATCGACGATGCCTAAACTCAGTTTACCTTAGAAGGGGAGTCCACATCGTCGACCGAAAATCACTCATCCATCGGCAATCCCAAATGAGCAGCTCTCCCAACGAGCCACCGAAGCATTATTTCGCCCACCATTACTAGAACCTTTAGCTGGAGAACGACAACGGCAACGCAGGATTAGTCGGAAGAAGAATGGCGTCCGAGTTAGCAGGCGTCTTCCCTCACGAGGAACGGGGGAATCCGCGAGTGCGAGTGGCGGTAAACAGTATTCGCTGATGCAAGTCCCCGAGTTCACAGAGGACCATCCATATTGGGGTACCCTACGACAATCACAAATACCCAATATGAAGCCCAAGACGACAACCTCACTGGAGAATAAGCAGCTCTGCAGGGATCGCACTCAAGCCCAAACTGTTGATAATAGAAACCATTCAACTAAAAAGATGGAACATACTAGCCAGATAGCCGGTGGCCTACGGCGAAGAGGTATGAGTATTGTAGCACGGAATCGCGGAAAGGCCCGAGAGAAAAGATTTGGCCTTGCAGATCCTCTCGTCTGGGATGCAATTAATAGATCACTAGTCCAGCAGCGACAGTTATCAACCTTAGTCATACCAGAGGAGGCAGCGGTAGAGCATTTTCAGCCCTCAGAAATCCCTTCTCGAACTTCAAGCCAGCGTAAGGCCTTGAATCGTTTTACAAGGCAACTGGAGAAGTATGCAGATGCCGCTGGGGCAATTGGCAAGGCTCCAGTCAGGACGCCCACGGACTCGGACTCGAAGATGTCATATCATACTGTTCAGCCCCTCTTACCATATCAGAAGGAATTTCAAGCAGCTGGCCTTGCCGTGACGTCTGCAGAACAGAGCCGAAGGCCTCTAATTAAGCACAGAAGCAATGAAAAGCCCGTAAATAGTTCGTCTAGGTACGTTCAGGCCTCAGTTCAAGTAGATGGTGAATTTGATGGACAAGATAATGTCTTGAGCGAGCAATCAGGCTCGAGCTCTGGGTCATATGTCGAGTTCACCCCAGCCGGTAATCCAATCGAGATACTACCAAGCCCAAAATCAAAACCGAAGCGGAAATTATTGTCTAAGGACAGGGGAAGCATATTGCCATGGTTAAGAAAGAAGTCACCAGCTAAGGAAAGCTATAGTGACAGCCGAGCCAGACCACAGTATACACGTCAGCCCGTCAAGGATAGCCAGGTTAACCACCGGGTAAAGACTATAGATTCCCAACATGCACGGCATAACCATTCTTCTCTCAGCCCTGGGGCCCGACCGTCTGGATTACGCCGTGTAGCTCCATCGAAACCGATTGCTTCTCCTACACGTCGTGAACCATCTGGTCGAAAGTTGTCATGGGTCGAAGTTAAGCGCGGCGACCATGGACGATATTCAGGATCAATGGCTCCACGAGCTGGTCCAGAACCTGGGGCGATGCAGCCATCAGCACACACTGGTCTACGCAAGCGAGATGTGGCCATGGCGCGTCTCCCTCTCCCTGAAACTATCGAAGAAGAAAAGGAGACATCTCCGACACGTGTATACCAAGAAAAGATTCAGATATATCCCTCCGCCGAATCAAAAGATGCCCAAGTTCCCGTCACTAAAATGAGTCAACATAAACGTAGCGTGTCGCCACGGACATCTCCTTCTACAGTTCCTTCGCTGCCATCTGCGGCACGGTATGCTGTTAGCCGGGCTTCCTCTTTAGAGCGGGCGCTAGATGAAGTTTCTCAACAGCTTGAGAAGTTGGAGCAGGAAGCCGATAAGTCAACCCAGTTATGCAGCCGCCCTATAACCTTGGTAGATAAGACGAATCAGAAGCAATACCCACCCCGTCACTCTAATCCTTACGCTTCCGGGATTACTCCCACACGCCGGCCTAGACTGAACGAAGAGATCATCTTTGTAAACCGGAAGATGCCACCCATTAAATCGCCTAAGTCAATGCCAAAGAAGCCATCATTATCCTTGCCTAAGCCTACTCGGGAGCCACCTACTCCGCCGCCGAAACAGCTAACATCCTGCCCTTCAAAGGAAAAGACACTACCTACGATACCTCAGACTAAGGACATTTTAAAGGACTTGGACGTATTCTTTGATTATGAGGACGCACATATCAGCGACAGAGACGTCATCAAGGGTCTCCAAGTGGCTATACACGCGGCAGCAGATAATACGTATGATGCAATGATACGGGTAAAAACTGGATTGAGAATTCGACGGTTTCTAGCGGATCTAAGAGCAGTTGGTGAAATGCATGACGAAGACCCAGCCGGCCAATCTGTTAAAGAGTGACTTACGGGGTCTACGAGGCTTCTAAAAAAAATACAGGATAGAAAGAGAGGTATACATTAGACTGATTCCTAGATAAGTCTCACACCCTTTGGCTTATGGTAGACGCAAAACTAATACGTCGGTTCTACGTGTCTGAGGATAGAACCAGTCTTTAGCAGTTTACACAAAGTAGTTAGACTAGGTTAGGTAGTCACCTATGCTACTTAATAGAGACGATGGTTTGGTTCGATTATTTCTTGGTCCCATAGAGAAGACATATACTCGCCATGATTCCTGTAGCCTCTCCTATGAATAAGAACAAGGCCTAGGTAATATCAGTTAAGGAGGGAAGAGTGGCGTTAATACCGGCATTAGCCACAATTCCCCTCCATCAATTAAGTGAAGGCTTGGCTAGTACATGAAGAGCTGAAAAAAGATACTTCAATTTTGTATTCTTGCAGACTATATTTTGAGGTATCATGAGCAAGTTACAATGTACTCTTCATCTTAACCAACCATGGAATAAGACAAGGCACAACTCGTGCTTACGAATCGGTGAAAGGAGACCCGCCTTCAAGGTGATTGATTTGAAGAACGAAGGACCGCGCCGTACCTTTCCTCTCGTAATACTATTGCAACATCCTTCTTAAAGGAAACGACTTCAAGTGAAGCTCAATATAGAGATTTACACATAAGATGGCGACGATGGAGACGATGACGACCGCGGAGGCTGTTGGCTCAGCTATGGAGTGTGCTCCGAAGCACAGGGCTTGTGATGAATGCCGTACGTTTTGGCGATCGTTCACTGATTTGAATCGGGGTCCAGATTGGACTTACATTTGCTACAGGCACGCGTAAGCTAGCTTGCACCAAAGAGCCCGAGGGCTGCTCTCGTTGTAAGCGTGAGGGCATCGCCTGCCACTACTCTCCCCAGAAGCAGATGGGTCGCCCGCGAAAACGTCCCCGAGATGAATCGAGCAATGACACTGCGAATGCTGTCTCCGCGAGTAAGAACGCCATGACCGAGATCCCGCCGGATACCGAAGACCTTGGCTTGTCTTTTATTAACTTTCTGGCGGCGGGTGAACCCAACGTTAACAATCTTAACGCGCCGATAAGTTCGCCGCAGGAGAAGGGCTTCTCATGGTCCTTTGGGTATGCCGGGGATAGTCTTGGGGATGTAGGCTTCGACTCTGTGCCTGAGACTGCGCCATCCTTCTCCTCGTTAAATATCGACCCGTCCCTCTTCGTATCGGCGGCAGACCTACCGAACATAGATCAACTGCCGAACCTAACGCCTAGTTCAGCTACAACGCCCGAAAGTGTGGGGAGTTCATGCAGTGCCGCCCCAGCGGCTAAAACGACAGGTTGTGCTCATACGCGGCTCTATACCTCTCCCTCGACTCGATGCAGAAACAGCCCGAAGGCGTCGAAGAATCGATCCGACACGCGCGAAAAGCGACGAGGACGGCTTATGACGCGGTGTACTGCCCCGTTTGCTCTTTTAGGCTTGAGCCGCCGGATCACAACTCGGGGCCGGATATCATGCGTTCGTTCCAGAACCTAATGCTCCTCGCTGCCCTAGTCCCGAGCATCGTACACGCCTACCAGCGGATCTTACAAGCCGTCGATGAAGAAGCAAGCCGAGCGACAGCCGAGCGGCGGCGACTGATATTCCGGCTTCGCGGCTTCGGCGGCATCCTCTGGGGCTACGGGTCGGGAGAAGAAGAAAACATGTGCATGGCGGCCGGGTCGCTGGATTGTCGGGAGATGGAGCCGGCGATGTGGCGACTGACGGTGCGGGCGCTGCTCAAGGCGGATGTGTACGGATTATCAGACGTTGATACGACGGAAGCGGAGACGTTGCCGATACATATTGGTCTGAAGGATATCGTCAACCAGATGGAGCAGAAGAGCCGAGCGCGACACGCTCTTATGGACGCGCTGATAGCGACAGGGAACTGGCAGCCGCCGGATTGTGGGATAGCGCTGCATACGCAAGGAGAGATACCGACGTGCCAGAAAGTTATTGCGATTGCAAAGGCAGCTATTGATGCGTTGGTTATTGCGTGAGAACGGGTTATAGGGAAGTGGACACTTGATTGGGTTATCTTGCGATTACTCGGTCAAGTCAAGGAATGAGGCTAATGATGACTTCGCCTTGCCTGGCTACTATCTACCGACCTACCTTACTGTAAGACTGATTTTGCTCTGGGTTACCAATTCCCTGGTTCATAAGGTAGAGCAGTGAGGCCTTCAGATCCTAGGTATCGATGCTTGGATATATAATATATATATATCTCTTGTCCAGCTTTGGCATCTGCTCAAGGAGTAGTATTAGGGAATAAGGACTATATCACGAGGACTAGGATATACCTCCTGGGGAGGTTGACTGGCGGTACATGCTCTTTGCTCCTTGTCGGCCTTCCTGGTCACATTGTGCTAGACGTGCTTCCTCCGCTACGGCATAACTACTACCGATGATTGGTTTAACGTGGAAAGGGTTATGATAGGAATCATAAGGACATACGCTACTAGATCGGGAGACTCCATGTCACAGATTCCCTAACTTAAGTGGGATGAATTGCGAGAATATAGTAAGGGGTTTATAGCTGTATATTAAGGAGGTTTGGAATAGCTAGATAAACTCTAGTAACTAAGAAGTCACTCGACTCAGTCATTACTAGTTGATCCCTGGTAGGTATGGGTTATTCCTGACTTATATACACATTCTTGCTAAGATGCCTCATGTTGTACTTGATGGTAGTCCCTCTATCACTCATCTTAGCAAAAATCAGCTCAAGTCTGGCTCCGTTTATTGAACATGTGCATCATCATCTCGGGGCTTAGAGTGCATCCCCCTTTTAATCCACCATAGACCCATCAAGTAGCATTGCTTGAATGCATAGTAAATTGGTGGTACGTTTTTTTGCCCAAAGAATAGTGATGTCTGTTGGCTGACATGTACGAGCAATCCATCGTAGGTGAGGCTTATTACTTCAGCCCTATTTCGTGTCTTCTATACCCATTTAATAATGTCCAATCAAAGCTATACGAGATGCTCAGATCTACCAAGCGAGTGGATCTCATCTTCGTATGTGTACGATATGTTACTCTTAGTCTGGACGTGCGTGATTACGTCGGGATTACAGTTTTATTTTTGGCATCATGCGGCTAAGCGTCATGCTAAGTACCTAAAGGTACCTAAGGTTAGATAGGCTAACCTTGTCGGCGGCGGATATACCAGATGCCCGAATATTTAAGGTTAAGCTCACATGTGTAGCTTCGTACATAGTACATAAGATACCTCCCGCACGATCGTGATGTACGTATGGTGGATGTATAGTGTATGTATAGTGTATGTACCTAAGCGGAGCTAGATGATGGACAGGTACATTGATTCCACTACATTCCTGACGCGGGTGCCAAGTTCCCAACTAGCGCAAAGAACATTTCTAAAACTATGGCCGTGGTCTATATGGTCAATGCGCTAACCATGCCACAATGTTCTCCCCCCCCGAAGCTAAGTCAATTTTTAGTCAACTAAGAAAGAATCTAACCTAACCAAACTAACCAATTGCCAATCTGGCATGTCGGAACTTTGGCCTTGCATCATTCAAGTCAATTGAGGACACGGTTGTCTAGCACACATTAAAACCTCAAAACTTCACCGGAAAGAGGTAAAATAATACTCAACCACGGCTTTAACTTACTAGTCTTCTTTTTCCTCTTTATTATTTATCCAACTTTATCTACTTCTAACCCTTATATAGCTGCCGTGCCTCCGTTTCTAATCCTAGTACCGACGTTCCCCGTCTCGTCCGTCTTACTAGAATTCAACCCTCCCCAACATTCGCCTCCTGGCTTTATATTCTTCACGCGCAACGACTGTCTCCCCATTCCCGTCGTCTTGCGCAAACAAAATAGCTGGTTTGGGCGACGTAGTCCGCGATTAAATCACGAAATGGCCCAGATCAGAGGTACAGCCGGCTACCATCTCGGTGGCCCGAACCCCTTCGGTGGTCCCAAAAATGAAGTCGCCGATCCTAGTCCTTTAGACGCGATTAGGGAACAAACCAGTAAGATTGAGGATGTTTTGGATACAATTAGCGAGCCCATTAAGCCGTACGTCAATACCTCCTCGCGCGAGCTCTACGCTCTCGTGTAAATGTGTACATTAGAACTTGTAGCCAAAGGAAAGGGGATAATGAATAATAAGAGGTCTAGCTAACACGCATCTTCCACAGATATCTCCCTGCCATCGGGCGTTTCTTAATTGTTGTGACATTCCTTGAGGATGCTCTAAGAATCATAACACAATGGTCCGACCAGCTGGTATATCTGAACAGCTACAGGCATAGTAAGTTCTATAGACAACCTGAAGCTGCTCTTCCGGAGCTAACTAGACTCTTCTATTAGTTCCTAGCGGGTTGACACATCTCTTCCTTATCGTGAACGTTTTAACTATGGTTATTTGCTCCACGATGGTTATCGTTCGCAAACACTCCGACTACGCTGTTGCCGGTCTCATGGGTGTTGTTGTCACGCAAGCGCTAGGATATGGATTGATCTTCGACCTCAACTTCTTCCTCCGAAATCTCTCCGTCATCGGTGGGCTGATCATGGTTCTGTCCGATTCCTGGGTTAGGAAGACCAAGGCGTTCGCAGGTCTTCCCCAGCTCGACGAGAAGGACCGAAAGATGTACTTCCAGCTAGCCGGTCGTGTACTTTTAATCTTCCTGTTCATCGGCTTCGTCTTCAGCGGCGAGTGGTCCGTCTGGAGAATCGGTGTATCTGTCATTGGTCTGATCGCCTGCGTCATGGTTGTCGTTGGATTCAAGGCCAAGTTCAGCGCTACTCTCCTAGTTCTCATTTTGAGCGTCTTCAACGTTTTGGTTAACAACTTCTGGACTGTGAGTTTACGCGACCCCGGGAATATATATATTTTTTATTCCATAGGCTAATCTTCTTTTTTTTGCGCAGCTTCACGAGCACCACCCCCATAAGGACTTCGCCAAGTACGACTTCTTCCAGATTCTGTCCATCGTCGGCGGTCTCCTCTTGCTAGTTAACAGCGGCCCCGGCCAGTTCAGTATCGACGAAAAGAAGAAGGTCTACTAGACGATTAGAGTTTACCAAACCACGGAAAACTCTACTTGTGGCACTTCGCATCGTGATCGCATTGGCCCAACCAAAGGCCATCTTGCGCCATGTGCCTATGCTAGCTGGGGCAGCACATTTTGTGGCGTAACGGGCGTAGAGCGAAGTTTTTATTTTCAACCGGAAAGATCAGCTGGAATGGCGCGGTCTACTGCTTGCCTCGTGATGGGTCTCGGTTGTCAAAGGGAGGATCAAAAGAAGCTTATGCAACATAAGAGAATTGAAATTAGGATTTTGACACCTGTGCATGTATCTGTGACATGTGGGCGTGAATGCGATTTGATCCTTACTTGATCTTAACCTCCATCCGTCTGATATCTCAGATCTATGAATAAATGAGACGTGCCTCCGGCTACTGGGGACTATTCTAATGAATAAGTTAAAGCAGAACGGATAAGTTAGCCATTTAGAAACCCCGTAGTTATTAAATATAATCATAGTATTTCTAAGGAGGCAGTTCAAGTCGCACCTCAACTCCAAGATGGGTCTATACAATAGCCCCTTTAAATGCAGTTGCTTACCAGTTTGCCTTTACTAGATGCTCAACCTACCATCTAGAACTAAGGAATAGTTTCTCTCCCCCTTTTTAAGTTCTCGAGTTATTATAATGTAGCCTTGATAATACCGTCATTGCATTAGTTGTAATTTTCAGTAATAACGATTATTCTTGCGATTGTAACCCTTTTTTACTTACAATTACTTACTCCTCCCCCCTTCTTCTTTTTCACTTATTCATTAGTTTCAATAGTTATCTCTTTTTAAAGTCTTATACTAGATGCTTTTCCCAGCATCCTCTTTCAAAGTTACAATACGATTAAGCACAATAGTACCATCCGTGCTATCTGAGTCCAGCGCCTGCCGCCAACCAGAGACTATTAGTAAAAGCGTGATAAAACGAGTGGCAACCACTTACGACGTAGGCAACACGCATAGCCTGGAAACGCACACTCTCAGGCCCAGAGTCACCGGTCTTCTCGCCCTCCGCTTCTGGCCACGGTACTCGACGGCGCACCTCGTGGAAGCCGGCTTCGATCATGGCGTTTGGCCAGATTGTCTCGCTATCAGGGACGATGTCGTCCATAAACCCGCCAGGCGCCGACGAGGGCTGTTCTGATTTGAATAAGTTTTTGTGGATGCGAACCTCAGCTGCAAGTGAGCCCTCAGGTACCCACTGGATATATGTTTTGGGCTTCTTAGCATCTTTATCAAAGATAGCCTTGATCTCCTTGACAGCCCCCGAGGCTTGGTCCTCAGCATCTTCGATCACTACCGGCACAGGATCAAGTACTAGCATGAGGCGAGGTACAGTCCTTTCTAGATATCGTCGGACGGATTGCTCAAAACGCTTCATCTCGATAAAGCTAGTAGCCGTAGTGACACCAAGTTCATTAATAAAAGAAAGAAGCGCCCCACGTGGTATACCCCGCCGTCGGAGCGCTTTGAGGGTATATAGGCGTGGATCATCCCAGCCGCGAACGATTCCGTTCTCTATCAAGCACCTTATATCTCTCTTACTCATGATTGTACCCCCGAGGTTCAAGCAACCGAATTCGCGTTGCATTGGCTGGAACTTAACTAGAAGCCTGGTTTTGTTAGCTTGCGCGAGAAAAAACAAGAGGTTTGTGAATGGAAAAACGTAAGTTTCTATCATCTATTTTCCAGTATGTATTGTTTCAAGGCTTAAGACTTATTGGTTTAGCCACTCCTAACTTTCTCGGGACATTATAAATTCGCTGGTGCATAAGCTGTGTGTTATGCCTTCAAAGCTGTCGCATAAACAATGCGCGAAGTCATAAAGTCATAGGTTGGGTATTCTATATGCTGCAATGTCCCACATCGAGGGATTAGGATTCTCCATGTCCTGCTTCATGCGAAGCCAAGCTGCCTGAGGTGCATACTCTCCATTTCGCATATCTCGGAATTTCTGGAGGTTGGTCTCGACGTCTTGCTTTGAATGTTCGCATCGATATCTCGGCTTAGACCCATCCTCACCGCCGCGTTGCATTCTCGTCTCGGCCTCGTTGCAATGACATACATAGGCTTTCTCCTGTTTAATCAGCTCTTCGGCGAGATCATACATGCGCTGGAAGTTATCGGATGAATAAGTAATCTCAGCTGGGGTGAATCCCAACCATTGAGTCATATCATTGATAGTGATGCAGTACTCCTCCTTTTCAGCGTCGGGATTTGTGTCATCAAATCTGAGATATTCGTGAGCAGATTCCTAGCTAACAATTGACAGTCAAGTAGAATATAAACACCTCAGAATCTATCAAGATATTAGCCAACGTCTTAAAAATTATCGGATGTAATACGAGGCTGGCCGTCTTGTCCCCATAATGTCTTGCAAAGCCAAAATTTATTGCTATTGCTTTGGCATGCCCAGGCTAATCTATCATGTTAGCTTGTTGAGTAAATACAGAAAATTGGCAAAGGAATGAAAACATACGTGAAGGTAGCCGTTTGACTCAGGTGGGAATCATGTTACGACGTCCTTTGACAGGTGCAGCCTGTAAACCTCAGCTAGGAAGCCTTGGTTGGACATGGCATCTGGATCGATACTGAACCCCTCTGCCTTGGCGGGCTTGCTGGATGGCGCATTGGTCGGTCCTTGACCTTCAGATGCCAATATACTATTGATACTATTGTGAGAGGAAGCAACTGCGGCGGCCTTTTTAGCTCGCTTCTGCATGCGTTTCTTCAGCTCATTCTTTGACACCATTTCTCCGGTCTCCTCATCCAGTTGCAGCTTGGCAGTGCTTTCAGCAATGATGCCCGCCATTATTCTGTGTAAAGTAGGATGACAGATTCAATTTAGAGAAAGGATAATTTTAACAAGGAGTTTTAAGGATATTTCGCTGTGTTTTGTAGCTAAGTGAAGATCTAATGTCACTGCTTTCATTTGTTCGGTATGTTGACTCATAACTGTGCATTATTACAAGGCTATATTACAAGATAGAAACTAGAAAACAATAGTGTAACAATTAACTGTATCGTAATGAATAATCAAGTTGACTTGAATAATATTTTGAAATTTTATTTTAAATGTTGAACATCTACGAATATTATAATTTTAATGGCTTTTAAAGTCAAAAATCATCTCATTGTAATGCACTTGTACTTATGTATTAACTACATATTTAAATACCTCTTTAACGTTGATTTGTTTGCTACGACAAATCAAACTATGACTACCTGGGTAGTTCATGTGAAGACTCATCTTTCGTATGAGTATCTGCCTCTAAGACCACTTAAGCTCTTGATGTCATAAATTGGAAGCGTTTATACGTAAGTGAGCAGCACCATCCCTACCTATTCTAAGATATCCGACTACTTTATAGACCTGAATTAAGTTATGCAAACATGGGAAAGAGCTTGTCGAGTAGTTCTATAACTAGAAATTTATGAGGTAATGTGTTAAGCTAGATGGATAAAGAAACCCCATCTAAAGTGAGAGGATTCTAGAAGATCTTGTAATATCGATAGATTTACTGTAAAAGCCTTTTAGAGGTAATACAGAAATTATAGTTCTTTCAAATTTGTGTAAATGCCACTAAAAGAGTCAAAGTATAAAGAGCAATGCGCACGACTACCTAGGTGGCCAGCTTCGTAGTCTAAAAACTCTACATTACCTTGAGGATGAAGAAGGCGCTGGGAAAAGCGTGACATTAAGGGGTAGTGGTGATGAGCCGATAAACTTCTAAAGTTAGGTAAGCATTCGGCTCCGTATTCTCTCATAGGTGCTGGACTTGTCAAGGACTAGCGAGTATTCGTCTTTATATAAAAGTTAAGGTTCGGATAACTAACCTAAGACTGCAGGTTCGTGGCTGTTTTTTTATCTAAGCAGGCTAATCCGTACTTGAAGTAGGTATCATATAAACACCTTGCAGACTCAATTTTGAAGCTTTGATTTCTATATATACAAAATATGAATTAAAAAGTCGAAACCTCATTTTTAGTTGGAACTAAATAGAGGAATGGAATATTAAGTCGGAATATAAGACGGTAACGTCTGTTAAAATTAGAATGCGACAGATATTTCTAAGACTTGAACTGGTAGAGAGCATTGCCAATGAAATGCCTGGTTCTACAGGCTGTTGAGGTCTTTGTGACGGAGCTTATAGGTACTTACTAATACCTATATAATTGACTACCTACCTAGGTACTAGGTTAGGTAGTTACTTGGGATTGTTGATGGCGCTATGATAGAATGAAGGCACGAAAGGAGACGAATTGTACTCAAGTACGCGAGTAAAGCTAGCTTGTTAATTGTCCTTCGAGAAGTTACTATATTCTCTGTGGTTACCATCAGAGTTGATGCTTAATAGCAAACGAAGAGTACATCCCCACAACCTTCTGACGGAAGGAAACATCAAGAGTGGATAAACTGCCGCTTTCCGCATACATGTACTGCCGATTGCCATTTAGAGATATGCATGTTGCCTGATGAAGCGCACGATTGAATTCGATCTCCTCAATAATTCTGGCAAACACAATTTTCGATAAGAGGAATAGTAAAACTGAATAGGTCATCTGCGTATTGTTGAGGTTTGAAGGTTTGGGTGCAGACGAACACGTCTCTTGAAGTCGTACCGATATGGCATCTCAGCAAGTGGTATACTGCAACTTGCATGTATAAGGGGTCTATGTTTACACTATAGCTACATAGATAACATACGATAATTGTATATTTTTCTTGGGTGGGTTAGCTGAAAGTTGTATACCTAATTTAGGAAGCGGATAGCAAGATGCTGTCACACAGACGGCCACTCACTATGCTGCTGGGCTACACTAGGAAAAATCTGTCAGAAATCAACTATGATACCTGAGAAAAGTCTATAGAGGTATACATACATTGAGCGTTGAGGTCATCGGATAGATTGGGAGAATCAAATTTTTTTATTTGAAAGCTTTATATTATAGGCCATGTACACAAATACGGGTCTCTACCCGCGTCAAGTTGTTTTGACTTTGGATCCTGGGGGTTTCCGAGTAATGATTCCGCTCTCCTGTATTAGTCTCCATAAACACCACATGTAGCACAGGGAAAATCCAGCTGCGCCTACACCGACGTTGGCGACAACCCAGAGGTCAGGCTTATCAGGAGGTGGTGTAACAAATAATTCCAGTATATGCCAGGCTCCCATGGAGACGTAGAAAGCACCATGGATAATTACTGTCAACCATTGAACCCATATGTTCTGTCCTTCTTCGAAATAGGCACTGGTTGATACAGGAGGTAGGCCTAACAGATACGCCCACAAGAGCGTCAGTACTGTGTATGGCATACGTAGGTCAACTCTCTGTAGCAGGGGATACATAGTCCACACGCCAACGAGATTACCAAATCCAACCCAGGACCTAATATCCTTTCCTAATCCTTGCTTTCCTGCAAGCAATACGGTCATGGGGAGAAGTGGGAGAAGTGCGCTCTTCTCATGAACTTGGTAGCTGAATAAGAAGAAACCCCACGCCGTTGCACTAAAGGCGTACGGGAGAAGTTCCTTGCGGGGCTTGAAGAATAAAATTGCGCAGGGAGGAGCAATTGAAGCAAGAGTTGCTAGGAGTGAGACTCGTTGTAAGAGTTCAGTTGGATATTTCCGCAACTTTACGACCACGTTGGCTGCACACCAGAAGTTGGCAACTTTGTCCTCAAATAGTCCCCGTGCAAAAGGGAAGACTCGATGGACCATCTGAAGCCTTGCTCAACTACAGGGTAGTATGAAGCATTCGTATCCAGATAGGTTGATAGAAAGGCGAATATAGGTAACGGGGGATGGGGTCCATCTAGATCAGGTCGCGAGTCAATACCTCGGTTAACGTCGTATAGCGTACCTATAACTATCGGTAGGACAAGTACGGCAAATGATGCTAGAGTAACCGCTGCAATCCCCATGAACCGCCCAATATTAACGCGAGGAAAGGTACAACTTCCCAAGAGGAATGCGAACACAGCTGGTGCGTAATAAAGTGCCATCTGCTTAAACCCCAAAGCGCAAACGAAGAAGATAGAAGCCCACATATATCGACCTGCTACCATGCTAGACATGCTCGCTAATACAAATCCGAGCATGACCGTATTATATGGAAGTGAACATGGTCGATAAGGATGGTAGCTGGCTGCATGAGAATCGCGACTAGCGCTACAGATGAAGTCATTGAGCAACACCCGAAAGCTTGCTATACCTCCTGACAAAAACCACCGCGGCAGGTATATAGATTAGATATTCGGACACAATGACAGTAGCCCTCATGAAGACCTTGAGCGTCGGATCATCTGAGCCTCGCGATGTGTAGAGTGCGAACCATGAGGGGTCGATGAGTGAGCCGACCTTGCCGAGCAGCCAGCTATGATACGCAGTCAAGGGAGGATAGTCGAGACCCCACCACTGTAGGTCATGGAAATACCATTGCGATATTGGTAGATGTGTAGTTATTTCCATCCAGTGTCTCTGCGCTTCGTAGTCACCAAATATGGGCGGCTTTCGGAAACCTATTGGGTTGAGAGCTAAGTTAGTTAAGAGATCTTATGATAGATTGAGCAGAATTGGAACCAACCCGAATATCCCCAAAGCCCTGCAGCCCATCTAAACAGACCGACAACCATAAGAATGAGTGGTAGGACCTCCCATTGCGACAGAGAGCTCCTGGCTGGCCAGAGGAAAGCTGCGAGAGGGAACGAAGGAGTCCGGATTAGAGCTTCGGGTTTGGCATTGACAGTGGTTTCGAAATGGGTCTTCTTGGTTTTGCGCCGAGGCTTATGTGGTGATGGTGAGGCTGAAACCATGGTATTCACCGTTTTATTGTCAGACACGATCTCGTTGGAATTATGTTAAAGTCGATCTGACATTTTGGACATTTTGGATATTTTAGGTGTGTTATTTTAGTTGTAAGGAGGTACTTACATACGTAGTTCATAGCTTCGTACCTTTTTTTAAGGACAGGGGTCCACTCGTTTTCGTACACAAGTGTACATACATGTAGCCATTAGCACTGCAGCTATAGCAGGGGTGCCTATGAGTAGGTACAATATGTATGTATCTTGATCCACATTTTAGCAAGTACCTAGGTACCTATCCAGCCCAATCAACGTTAGACTTGATTAGTCAGCGTTAAAGTTAGACAGTAAATATCCAAGCCAAATAACTCACATTTGATAGTATTGTTATAGTATTACAAATAATGCTAAGCAGGCAGTTGCTAATCTGTAAGTTCAAGTTTCACATGTCTAGGTATCCATCTCCGTCACCTTGCGAGCCGTTTCCTGAAATGATAATTGAACGAAAACATGGCGCTTAGGAGGCTTGTAGCCAGCGGGAAAGGTTACAGGAGAAGGTAATGGGGAACGAATACTCATTGCGAAGTTATTATCCGTCGGAGACATTTTTTACGCTCAAGCTTTTCGAAATTACTATGGGAAACTGATAAGAAAATGATAAGTAATTGATAAGTAATTCTTCCATAAATGATAAGAAATTGATAAGCTGATAAAAGATTGGATGTCTCCGACGGATTCTACCGTGCGAGCCTGCGAGCACGTGAAAACGCTTGCGCGAGCTTGCGAGTGCATGCGTTTTCCTAAATTTTATCATATAGGCTACTTCAGGTATTAATGCTGTCTATACAAGTTCAACGTAGCACCTTTAAGAAGGTGCTACGCATTGATTAAGAAAACGGGCAATAATTAAAGATTTAATTAAAATATTTTTATTTAAATATATTTTTTACTAAAAATTAAATAATATTGGTTAAAATAATATTTTTAATTATTAAATATAAAAATTTTAAAATTTATTTATTAAAATATTAATTTAATATTATTAATTTTTAAATTTTTTTAAATAATTAAAAAATTTTTATAATTAAAAAATTATTAATTATTATTAAATTTGTTTATTTAAAGGTTTATTTTTATTTAAAAAATTATTTAATTTTTTTAAATTAATTTAAACTATACGTTTTAAGGTTAAATTTTTATTAATATTTTTTAAATATTATAAAAAAATTTTATTATTATTAATTAAAATAAATTTATTATTTATAATATTTATCTAAATTAATTTAAAACTGGAGGCCACCCCGAGGGGCGACACAATCCTTAAGTTTATTAAGTAAGAAAAAAACTTTTTTAATATTTTAAAAATTAAAAAAAAAATATAAAAAATTAATAAAATAATTAATAAAATTATAAATTAATAAATTAATATTTTATTATTTATTATATTTAATTATATATTTTTATTTAAAATTTTATAATATTAATAAATTTATAAATATTATTTTATATAATATTTATTATTATTATTTATTTTTTAAAAAAATTAAAAATAAAATTAAAAATTTTTATATAAATAAATAAATTTTTTAAATATTATATTATTTTAAAATATAAATTTTTTTATTAATTTAATAATATTTTTATTTTTATTTTAATAATATATTTTATTTAATATTTTATTTAATTTAATTTAATTAATTTAATAATAATATAAAATATTATAATAATTTTATTTAATTTTTTAAATAAATTAAAAAAATTTAATAAATTTAATAAAATTATTATAAAAAATAAATTTATAATAAAATAAATTTATATAATATTTATTAATTTTATTAATTTTATGAATTTATATAATATTTATTAATTT